GGAGCATAACGCACTAGATGCGCTAGAAGTTTATCGTCGACTGGGTCGCAAACGGGGTCAACAATGGACGCTTCCGTGGTGGCACTGTCTCTGAGGTTTGGCTGCGAAGAGTTACCATCTGTCGAAACGAGAGTATCCGTCATTGGGTACATGGGATCTTGTTGGGGATCATAAACATTCACTGGATCCACGAGCCATTCGCTGTCTTCTGATTGGTGTCCAGAGGACTCAACACTAACGCTTGATTTGTCTCGATTCGTGTCACCACCATTCGGAGACCGCAACCGGTGAATCTCTTCTTCTTTATCAGGGTATAAGCCTCTCATGGCCCGATGTTGGGCCAAGGCATAAAAAATGGCTGCACTCAATTCGTGGACACTGAGTGGCCATGCCGTTTCATTAATACCAAGTGCCTTTCTAAGCAAATCGGCTGCCGCCAAGAATTCCTGTCGCAACATGATTCCATAAATACCATGGAGACCATATTTACGTAAGACATCTACAGTTTCCACTGCTACAGTCGCTTGAGCGCCCAGGGGTATCGATTTGGCCATGGCAATGGCAGCTCTGGTAATTCGCATTGCTACTTCTTCCACAGAATCCAACCCAACCTCGAAATAGGGCGTCAAGTTTTTAGCCGACAAGTCCCGGCATCGTGCCAGTCGCCAGGCCACTCGTTCCGCCAAGGCTTGTTCCAATAGATTCCGCTTGCAAATATCACACACTCGTTCTGGAACATCAGGATCGTATCCCAATTGTGGCAAACTATGAGCCGAGGATGAGTGGCTCTGGCAATAGCTATTTCCACAGACCCTGCAATGATGCCGTAATCGAGTTGGTCCAAAGGGTTTGTGACAGGTAAAGCAAGCATCTGCCTTTTTCCAACTGGGGCGATCCATTTGCTTCGGTACCAATTTTCTAGCACTTTCAAAATCAAAGTCTTCATCATTTTCATCATTGTCGCTTTGATTTGATTCATCATCATCATCGTGGTCATTATTGTCTTTTTCTTCGTCGTCTTCCGATGACATGTAGGTCCTCCATTCCTTGACCAATTGCCGATCAATCCACGACAGACTGGAAACATATGGCAATTGGGGGGTTAACGAGGTTGGGAGCTCCAAGTTCTGGGCCTCAAAGTTGAACCCTGCCACCTTGTTCCCTATATCGCTATACTTTCGATGCCATCGACCTCTTGCTACCGAAAGTCGGGCCGTATGGTAAACTCTGCGAAAACTCGAGCTCAAGAGTTCCTTGGCGGCCGCGGGCAAGACTTCGGATGACAATTCTTTCCAACTGGGGGATGGGTGGGTAACTATGACTTGCGTGGTGGCGGCCGTCGTGACTGGATAAGGAGTTGTTGTTGTTGTTGTTGTTGCAGAATGAAGCGGCGATTGCACATATTGTTGTTGTTGCTTCTTGTCTCTTGTATATATTATTCCATCTTCATCGGATTCGCTTTCGGATTCCATTTCGATGGAAACTTCTGCTCTTTGATGTTGGTGGGACTGACATGATTGACAAGCATAGCGACTCGGTATTGGAACAGCAATTGCGGTAGAATTACTATTGTCCAATGCATATTTTTCCTTCTCTTGGACATTTGAGAAATCCTCTGCCTCCCCAGCCCCTTCAAACCACGACATTGGTGGCGGGACTAACGCCTCGGATTCTTGTTCCATGTGATCACTGTCGCGCATCTCAGAACTCATGAAAGTACTCGATTCCAAGACGGCTGAGGAATCGAGAAAGGAGGTTGCCATTGTTCGATGTCTGATACTATGTTTCTATAGTCTACTAATCTAATTGCAATGCATGGAACGTCTCAACCACCCAATAGTTCAATCCAATCCAAACCAAAGTGTCACAAAATTCTTTCTCAAGGAAACTTGTAGGTATTGATCACGGGTCGTCGTCGAATCAAAATCGATCAGAATTCTCTTGGTAGGCTCCATGAATGAATGTCTCATTCGTGTCGTAGTGGACACCGTAACCAGAGCCACGAAATAAATTTCTTTTCCATCAATCAATATTCAATATTCATCTAAAATATTATTATCGTCTCCAACATTGCATTATCATCATTCACCAGACATCACCATTGCAGCAAGAGCAGGGAAGCTAAATTATCTTTACAAAGCAAAAAACAAGAGGACTAAGCTTAAAATTCCTTGCATATTGTACAATGAAAAGAATAATAACAGTCTCGGACTCTTTCCGGTCCAGCAGCATTCTTCGAAAACGAAGGCTTCCCAATTACTATCCTTCTCGAATAATACCCTCTGCATCACCATTCTACCAACATCGAAATTGTGCATCAAGAAGTTCTTTAGGTCTTAATTCAGTTGGTTGGAACGCTCGAAGGATAGGGAGTCCTTCAAACAACATCCACTCTTCTTTTTCCACTATGGCGGACAACGATTCAAGCAACGAGGACGAAGCCGAGGAAGACATTCATAATCAAAACAATCCAACCTTTGTCAATCAACTGAGCAATCACTATTGGACAATCCATAAATTGACCATCAAAGATGCCCTGCAGACGGATTTTATCCCTTCGGGACATACCGATCCATCCACCTTGTGGACGTCTTCCTTTACTTGCCCAGTCGATGGCAAGGTCTACCTTGCGAGTGGGGACCTTCCTGGGGATGAATATCGGGTACAAAAGACTGATCCAGATGGCGAAACGAGATGGTATTATGCCACCAGAAAGAGTTCCAGGCATGCAGCTGCCATGCAAGCGATTGGGAATCCAAACATTAGTACTAGCAGCAGTAGTAGTAGTAGTGGAAACAGCAGCAGCAGCAGCAGTGAAACGACCCAAGAGACCTCGTCCTCTCCTCCCATTGTCACGCCAAAACAAAATTTAAATACATGGTACCAACGAAATCATCAATTGAACTTGAGTGACGAAACCTTTCGGACCCAAAAGAGAAGTATTGCAGGTAGCGAGGCCCACAGCAAGGCCAAGGGCGGTGTTTGGTGGACTGCCACCTTTTTCTGTCCCATCGATCCGGGCCAAGAATTCAAGTCGATGGACATGTCGACGATGAAAACGGCAGAAGTTCTGGATAAGATTTGGTTTCGCAAAAAGAGCGATGCGATTCAAGCGGCAGCAGCTCATGCACTGTACATTAAACAATTGGAGGTGGCAGAAAACAACAAAGCGAGAGTAGGAGAAGAGGACCATGTAGGAGAAAATACAGAAGCAGAGGGGAAAAGACAAGAAAAGGGAGCCATAGAAAAAGATCAAGCGTTGGCCACTACGGATACCATACCAACAACGACAACTGAAGCATCCAGTGCCACTCGAGTGCCCTTGATGACTTACTACCAAAAGCATCACAAACTCAACATTACCAATGATGATTTTGTCGCCTCCATGGCATCCTTCAAAGGCAAGTCGATCGGAGGCAATCGGTGGACGGCTACCTTTTTGTGCCCTGTTACGGGAGAACGATATGATTCCAAACAATTAGTGTCGGTTTCCAGTCCATCCCAATGTCATCAAGATTCGGATGGAATCGTGTGGTACAAACGCAAAGAAGATTCCATTGTGGCAGCTGCTTTGGGAGCCATGGATACCCTCAAATTCAAGGAGTCGGGAGTTTTGGAGCCACGCTATTGCAAAGAAGATCCATCTGAATCCGTTTTAGTAGACGAAGAATCCCAAACGTTAGATGACAATGATACTGTCGAAAGTACTACGAATACAAGCACAGTGATTTCTACTTCTGCTGGAGATGACAAATTCGAATCAAGCGATGTGCGACAAGTTGAAGACGAGGAGGATGACGACGATGATTACATCATTGAGGTTGTACCGCAAGGATATGGTTTTGGCAGTAAATCTGGAATGGGCAATGGAACAACGACCTTTGACTTGATTGCTGAAACCTGGTTGCAATCGACAAACATACAACCAACGATGGATGCCTCCAAACCGCGTTTTGATGACTTCAGCAAGGAAAAGAAAGATGCAATTGACCGGGCGATAGCTTGGATCGAAGTTCAGCGAGAAACCTTGGATGATGACGACGGTAGACGCACGCATTTCGATGGAAACGAAGCTGAGACAAATGTCAAAACCGCCAACCTCCTCTTGGAATCCTTGGCCAGTGCCAATCATCTCCTACGATTGTCCGACAAGCCTTCCGGCATTGAAAAAGCCGCGACTTCCGTTCTAGATTACATGTGGTCGACCAAGTCATCCAGACCAAATGCCGATTCCTATGCTTCCTACATCAAGTGTCTCGAAGCAGAATCTCCGTCGACTTTATCCAAGAAAGTCCACGACCTTTATGATGCCATGGAATCTCGAAAGAAGTACAAAGGAGGTCGGATCTTGCCGCGTCCCAACACTGCTGTCTACAACAGCTTGATTCAACGGCTAGCGGAGACAGGAACTGAAACATCAATCAAGGATATCGATTCCAAGATACAACCAGATGAGGAAACTTTTCTTTCGGTACTATCATCGATGAAACACCCTTCAAATCGGACTGAATCAAATGTTGTATTCGATGTTGAAAAGGCACAGAAAAACTTGGAACAGATGAAAGCTTTGTCGGTTCAACCCACAATTCAAGCATACAATGCCCCACTTCGATGGGTGGGTGGACTGGCAGCATCACTTTCTAGACCGTATTCGGAATGTGCTCCATGGGATGCTTATGAGAGTGACTTTCAAAAAGGATTCAAAGTACTGCTCAGTGACCACCCATTGTTACAAGAAGCAACAAATGTCCAGAAGTGGTACAGCTCGATCGAATCTGGCGAATTCGGAAAAGGCATTCGCCCCAATATCGAAACAATGGAAAGCCAGATTCAAGCATGGGTACGAACGACGACTCGTGATGGCCTTGAGAAGGCATGTGAACTTGGAGAAGGCATGATCAATAAGGGGGATCACCAACTTCGTCTCCAGTCGTTCCATCCAATCATGGCTGCTTGGGTTTACAGTGGGGCTGGAGATGGCCCGGAAAAGGTCGACTACTGGTTGCAACGGTTACAGTCAGCAGGGCTCCCAGTCGTGAAAGATGGCAGGTACCGCTCCGCGCCTATTCTGGCAAGACTGTCACGGCAACGACAACTACTTCGGGATCATGACGTTCATGAATTGGCGAGTCAAACGACTACAGATTTCTATCAAATGGCAGTCGAAAGCACTGACCACTTGGACAAATTGATTGCAGACCACAAACAAAACGAAAGCTTCTTCCTCGAGGTAGATTCTTTCCAGCTTGCAATTCGAGGATGGAAGAATGTTGGTGACGCATGTGCGAGAATGGGCGATTTGAAAGGAACTGACGAGGCTTTGGCGGCCATTGAAGAGGTTGTCCGAAGCTTTGATGATTTGGTTCAGTATCTGTACACATCGGGCGGAGAGACTGCGACGATTCAGCTTCTCCACTTGCTCAACGGCGCACCTCAAATCTACAGTGGCGCTTTATCAGCCTTGAAAGATTTCGACTCTATTCATGCAGCACGCGACATGGGTGATGCAAAGCCCAAATATTTAGCCAATCACTTGATTTCCCTCGAACGAAGCATTCGTCGATCAGAAGAGTTTCGATTGTGCACAGAGGAAATGATCACAAAGGCCAATGCCCTCAACCCTGAGAGCGGTCCATTCGAGAACGGCGTTTCATTGCATTACGAAGACATGTTCTGTTTCTCTTCGAGCACCTTGAATCAGCCAGACGTAGCAGCAGCTTGGCCTGCGTTTTTCATCGAAGTCACGAGAGCTCTTGACGAGATCAAATCGGAACCAGGAAGTAGCCATGAAGTGACTCGTATTTGCTTGCTCGTGGCAGAAGTTATGAAAAAGCAAGAAATGGGAAAAATATCCAATGCGAAGGGACATGTGATGGATGTTCTCAAGAGCATACAACAGACGTCGCCAGAACTAATTACTCTGTTTCATGCCGTCCAACGAGTGTACTACCCATCAAGGAAGAAGCATGCAGCAGGTCCAAGCTCAAACTCGCAGTCAAGAACTGCAGAGATGGACAGTTTTTCCAATCGTTCGACAAGAAAGGGACTAAGGCGACGAAAACCAATGAGAAGTAAAACGCATCAAACAAAAAGTTCAGATGTGCAACAAAATGCACCCCAAACACGACAACAGCATGCTAGCTAGCTAACGATACGATAAGACACACTATCTTTTCTCTTTCAACCAATGCAGTGGTCGAATCAATCGTCATCGAATGTTGATTTTTCTTTGTTGCGTCAGTCATCCGTCCGGCCAGCCAGGTTTGATCAAGTTTCAAAATGAAAAACCAAACGAAACAAAAACTGGACGATCGCAATGACAAGTCTCCCACAGCACAGCGAGAATGTGGAAGAGGAACTGCACAGAATAGAGCTAGCTCTAAAGACAATATACTCTCCGTCATCATCCTCAAGTCCGAATCTTTCAAATCCTTCCAATCAGCAATGGTGGGAACAACGGCAACTCGCTGACCGTTACTTGACAAGTTTCCAGGGCACTGAAGTCTCGTGGATGGTTTGTGACTGTATTTTACGGGAAACAGACGCTCCGCTGAATCCTCTACAACAACAGCTGGAACAGCAACAACGTCGCTTCTTTGCTGCTCAAACGTTGCATACAAAATGTCGAACAGACGCCTATCAACTTCCCGCGTCTTCGCTTCCTTCATTGCGAGATTCACTAGTCAACAATTTAAACCGATACACAGCGGTGGGAAACATGGCACTTACCAATCGATTGGCCATGTGTATCTCTGCGCTATCGGTACAGATGGCATGGTCAACAATTGTCAATGATTTGATGCAATCCTCAGCCCAAAACAGCACTTTAGTTCTACATGTATTGAAGGTGCTCCCAGAAGAGTGTGCCTCGGACCGTCTGATTTTGGTAGATGAAAACTTTCGATTTCAAATGCGAGATCACTTGGTTGCAAGTTCTGCAATGGTTTTCAAGTTTCTTGAAACTTCCAATTGTCCGCCAACCACTATTTATGAAGTTTTTCGTTCTTGGATTCGTTACGTTCCTGTCCAGGCCCACGTCATCATGGCATCGCCATTGCTTGAGGCTACCATCCGAAATCTTGTGGAGCCTGCCCACTTGGAACTCGCGTCGGACGTCTTGGTGGAGATCTTGAGAATGTATCCTTCCCACGTGCCACAAAACCAAGGTCTTGTTCAAAGAATGATTCCAATGCTATCCAGCCTACCATTTGATCAAGCGATTCGCTCGGAAGACGAAGATGTGTTGCGTGCTTATTGCCGTATCATTACTGAGATGGGTGAATCGTACTTGAGCCTAATATTATCAGTCCAAGACACTCAAGCATCATCAATTGTCGACTGGGTTCTTCGATGTTCGGCTATTGCAGAAACAGAAATTGCTAGTATTACACTCCATTTTTGGTATCGAATGGTACTGGACCTTGAAAGCGTTGATCCATATGATGTTCGCCAAGAGTTGGTTGATCGTTATGCAACACAGTTGCTGAACCTCATTGATATATGCACTTCGAGCCTCATGAAATACCCAGAAGACTACAACGATCTGGCTCCAGACCGCGTTGACGATCTAGAGAGAGACCGATTCTATGTATCAGAGACAGTTGAAGATTGCTGTCGACTCCTTGGTGGCCAGATCGTATTGCAACGACTTGGCCACTTGCTTCAAACTGAAGGGAACCGTGTGGGTGCCAATATCAATTCAAATTGGCAGGGAATTGAGTCCTGCTTTGCTTGTATACTGGCAGCCAATCGTTTCGTGGCAAGCGACGAAGCCGATGTGCTTCCATTTTGCTTTGCTCTGATACCAAGACTACCTGCAGATGTAGAGCCTCTTCGATACACCACGAGCAAGATGATTGGAAAGTTTGCATCCTGGCTCTCAGAGCATCCTCAAATCCTTCAACCACTGATGCCATATCTTGCACAAGGCCTTTCAATAAAAACATGTGCACCTGCTGCAGCTGTAGCAATCAAGGAGTTGTGCGAATGCTCAAACCAGAAAATGTCAATGGGTGAGCCAGTACTACAGCTGTACAACGAGATTAGTGCCAAACCTGGAAGCTTGGATTTAAAGGACGAACTCGAAGTCCTAGAAGGGGCATGCCGCGCTGCATCACGTCAATTCAGAGAGACTCAAGATAATATTGCCGCTTTTGTCCAACGCATTGCCCAGCCAATTGGAGCAAGACTCGCAGCGAGTCTCAGCAACGAGAGCTGCAACGTGAGGCAACATGTGATCCCCGAAATTGAGCGACTTACGGTCATCGTTCGCTTCCTTGCAATACCGTCTACGCAACCGCCTCATCCGATTATTGAGCTCATAAAATCTAGCTGGGCTTTGTTGCATGCTGCCTCGAATCGCTTCCCACTAAGCACTGACTTGGCGGAGAAGATTTGCCGATTGCATAAACACACACTCAGAGCTGTTGGCCCCGTCGCCTATGCGCCCATGCTTGATGCCTTGATGGAAGAACTGGTAAGAAGCTTTGAACGCTCAAGACAGTCTCCCTTCCTCTATGCTGCTAGTATTTGTGTGTCAGAGTACGGAAGGGACCCATCATGTGCTCGAAAGCTGTTTGACATGGTCAGCGCATTGGCAGCCGCTGCATTCACCTTCCTTCGCGACTTGAACGACTTGACACATCATCCTGATGTTGTTGAAGAGTTCTTCTACTTGATGGGACGCATGGTATCATACTCACCAGACCTTCTCGTTGCAAGTCCTCTGCTACCATCACTGTTCCAATGTGCTATAGTTGGGATGCAGTTGGAACACAAAGATGCCAATAAGGGAACACTGAACTTCCTGGAGAATACAATAACCTTTGGACTTTCTCTCCGTGAACGAAGCCAGCCACAGTGTCAGCAGTCTCTAGGACAGGTTCTTCTATCTGAAGGACCAGGTATCGTGCGCAACTTGATCCTTTCACTCATCGGTGATCTTCCAGCATACAGCATCGACCGTGGCCACGGATCTATTTCAGGTATCCTTTGGAAGCTGAATATGTTATTGCCTCCTCAAACATTGCAGTGGGCAAAGGCTTCTTTGGCAAATGTACCTGAGCAGATTTGTGCAGAGTTCTTGACTGCTTTGAACAGGCCTTTGGATAGTGGACTTGCCCGTCAAGATTTTGATGGGGTGGTACTACGATTTATGGACGCTTGTTTACGGCATCGCAAGCTACAGAAGAGGCGTCCTTGATTATTGATTGAGACGGTGTCGATTGCATCACTTATTGATCATCCATTAGCTCTAATTTGGTCTTTATTTTCTGCTAGGCAATTCTACGTCACCATCTTCTAGATCGTCGTCTAACATTTTTTGCATCTCTTCTGTGAGTGCATCTGATCTAGGCTCATCACCATGGTGTCCATGACCAGATTTCTTGTTCTTGCCCGTAAAGTTTAGAACCATTGCCATCACAGCTACTACAAGACCTGTAAATTGAACTCCATTCAATACGTGGCCATAAATGTAGATGGATGCAACCAAGGTCGTGACCTTTCTTCCAAGGCCAATAATACTACAAGTCAACGCCCCAAACTTTGCAATGGTCACAAAAATAAAGACTTGTCCCAAGGCACCACTCAGACCAAGCGCCACCAATAGAAATCCCATTTCTTGACACATTTGAAAGAAAATGTGCAGCTGGTTGAGTACCAACAGAGAAATACCAGCAAGAATTGTTTTTCCCAGTTGGATATTGTACATGAGATCAAAGGGTTGCACACTGTGGACGCTCATTAGTTTGTCCTCGTAGGCACCAGTGCCACCATCGAAGCAGAGTGAAATAAAGAGAAGTATGATTCCAAAAGCTTGAGATGAGGTAGACTGTTCCTCATGCTCTTCCACTTTCTTGTCGCTTTTGTTGCTGCTTCCGCCACCCATGAACAGCGCGACTCCAGTGACAATCATCAAGACATTAATGTATTTTCGAGTGTCGTATTTTTTCCCCATCATTGCACCCATTAACATGACTGGCACAGGCTTGCAACTTTTCGCCAACACTTGAATCGGATAAATGACATATCTGGATGATGAAAACAGCAAGCATTTGTATCAATACCCTGCAACAATATGGAATGAAGATTCATCTGACAAGAAAGTCGCTTCTTACCGCAAGGAACGGACGGAACAGAATGTGGATCCCATACTTGTCAATCCTGAACGACAAGAAGAAAATGCACGATTGTTTTGTTAGTCTCCAATCATTGGAAAGTAGATCCAAAGATTAAGAATCTTGAGCACCTACCTAGAATTGCAAATCGGGCTGGTGGAATGGTGCTTGGAGTCTCTGCTCGAACATGACGACCTGCTGCTGCTGTAAGCGTATACAATCCAGAAGTCACAAATAAGAAACTAAGTTCGTGCAGCTTTCTACCACCGGATGTTGTGTATTCCAAAAGTAAGCCATAGCAAACGAAAGATGCCAGAATTCCGAGAGAGCAAAGCACGAGCCAGACTAGATCATTTGTCTTGGACTCCTCCGGTTGCTGAGGTGCTTGTTTGTAAAGATCCTCAATTTGTACCGTATCCACTGCCTTGCGATGGTTCAAGCTATCTTTCCCTTCACTGTGGTCAGTTTCCTCCCCCCTTTCGTTCCATCTTTCTTCTGTTTCCAGGGAAGGATTGGGCTGCAGCAGTAGATCTATGTGATCTTTTTCACTTGCTTCCAACTCCAGATCCATACTCCCCCCTGAAAGAGAGCTAGGAGTGGATGGTTGACCCATGGAATTGAAAAAGGCGCCTTCGCTTGCCTCAATTTCGCCGTTCTTTCCTTCGTTTCGAATGGGAGAAATTGGTGCGGCAAAGGCATCCTTGGTGATTGGATCGGCATTTGTGACATCCGAGGCATTAGTTGGATTCGAGGGAGGAGCATTTGCTTTCACTGGCGTATTCTTTTTGTTTTTCTTCCTGTTTCTATTCCTGTTCTTCTTTTTGCCGCTTTGTGGGTTGGCAGCACCTCCTGCTGTCAAGACTTCGTCGTTCCCCATGATTCACTCGTTGTTTGGTGGGAGTGGGTCGATGCCAACAGTTTGTCTCTCAAAAATGACGCTTCCTGGGCACGCGACGTCGTGCGAAGAGCTTGTGCCAGAGTCAGTCGATTCATTCGACTGAAGAGGGGAGCAATGCACCAAAATGTCTTTCACTTCCCCTTCATCTCATTTTTTCAACTTCCATCACAACTTTAGATCAACTGCCGATATTTCCAAAACTACACAACACGTAATTCATCATGGTGGCTACTAGAGAAGAAGTTTTAGGAGTCTTTTTTGCGTCAATCATTGGATTTTCCATCACCTTTCAATTATCCACTTCCATCCTCAAAAGGCTTGTACAGAAAGATGGATTTGCCTTGGAACCGAAACATCACCACACACTCGTCAGCCATGGTCCTTCCTATGTTTGTTCCATGATTCACTGTGTCATCAATGGTTATTGTGGAATCGTGCAACTTATTGGCCTACGTGATGCCCCTTCTCAAGTCAAGTTGGTTTTCCCACCTGTCCCAGAGGAAGTCGCGCTATACATTCGCGGGGTCGAGCTGTCCAATGCCTTCTTCTTTGCCTTTCTTGCATTTGATCTCTTTCACGTTCTACGGTTGTACCCCAAACTTGGTGGCATCGACACTGTGGCTCACCATTCGGTCTTTTTGACCTGTAGCATTATCAATGGCGGCTATCAAATCTTGCCGTATCCTTTCAGTTGGTTGATCATTGGCGAGCTATCAACGATATTCCTCAACATTCGCTGGGCACTGATCAAAACAGGGAGAGGAAATACAATATTCTTCCAGGGGGTCCAATACGCATTTGCTCTGACGTTTTTCATCACACGAGTCGTCATCTATTTGTACGGCGTTTTCGAGCTATTTCAACGAAGGGAAACACTTTTCGAGATTGTTTCCACAGGTAGAGTGCCTGGTATTTTCATGGGGATAACGCTGTCCTTTGTCGCGGCCGGGAGCTTGCTCAACGCTATCTGGTTTCAAAAGATTGCCGCAATGGCGATGTTGAAACAGACAAAAAAAGACACCAAAGCAACATGATGGTAGTTTCAGCTTTACGGTATATCTCACTACTTCTTTCTTACATACAAAATGACTTGGTACCTACAAGAAAAGCACAAAAATTCTTAAATTATTCACAAATATCTACAACAACCTTGTCTGCGAATGCACCATAGATCTGGTACCGTTTGCCCAAGCGGGTGATGTCCACAGTTGGGCCTCCATCTTCAAACTTGTCTAGAATGGTAAACGTGCAAGCATCCAACGGGACGCAGACCTTTTCTTCATACGCATAACTATCCAGCGAATAACCACCGCCCGATGCAGCGACAGTACCATCGCTTGTGGTGATCTCCCATGTTGTATCGTTGGGCCAGTCGTCAGTTGCCAATACAAATTCGACAATCATTTCATCGCAGGAAAAGTCCAAGCCAAGAGCAGAAATGAGGTTGCTTATTTCTTCCTCACTGATATTGTTCCCAGAGAGATCAATCCTTCTGAGATTTGTCAACTGGAATATCTCACTGGGAAGTGGCCCGCTTAGTCTATTGTTGTTGACAAACAAGAATTGCAGGCCCGTCAGGAGTCCGATCTCGCTTGGTACTTTTCCAGTCAATACGTTGTCTCCCAAATTCAGATAGGATAGGCCGTCGAGTAAACCAACTTCAGTGGGAATGGGACCACGGAAAGTGTTATTCTGCAGTTTCAGGATTTGCAACGGCAGGTTCATCATCTCTGGATTGATAAGGCCCGTGAACGAGTTTGAGTCGAGGTACAGCTTTGTCAGATTTTGAAAGCCCGAAAGCTGAGTCGGAATTGGTCCGACAAACTCATTGTTGTCCAATCTCAAATTCTCGATTGACACCATACTTCCAATCTCTGTTGGCAGCTGCCCACTGAAGAATTGGTTTGACAAACGCAGATCGAGAAGACTGGACCAGTTGGCAAAAAATGAAGGTTCGATTTCACCAGACATTCGATTATTCTCAAGTCGGAGCCATAGCAGTTCCTGTAGTCTGCTAAATTCAACGGGGATGGAACCCTTTTACAAAATAATAATGATAGCACATTGGTTAGTATCTCCAGTGGAATCTCGACCGGAAAGAGCTGAGCGCAAACCTACCGTGAGAAGGTTATCGTAGAGACGGATATCACTGAGCCCGGTGTGCATCCCTAAGGATGCAGGAATCGTTCCTGTGAAACGATTGGTTCTCCAATCAAACTCAACCAATGACGAGTATTCACCGAATATATCTGGGATCGAGCCACTTAACATGTTGTCAAAGACATTGAAAATCTCCAAACGAGTCAACAACTTTAACTCTTCAGGAATTGTTCCGGTTAAGAAATTCTTGTCTTTAGTATCAAAGAAAGAATCAAAGTAAGACGCTGATTGATAATTGCAACGGTGACACACGAACTTACAGAAAAAGAGTTTCGTTAGTTTTGTCAAAGCCGAAATTTCTACCGGAATTGTACCTTCCAAATTGTTGGTCCATAGACCAAGCAATTCAGTTTCAACCATTCTTCCGACCTCGGTAGGGATGGTTCCAGCTATGGCATTTTCTGACAAAACGAATGATCTCATTGCCGAAAGGTGTCCAATTGTCGAGGGAAGAGTCCCAACTATTTCCTTGTTCCCAAACACGTCGATTGTCTCTGGTAGCGAACGTGTAAGTCGATAGAAGAGAGAACCAAAAATCAAGCGAGAATACAATGAGCTTCATACCTAGACTTGTAAGTAGCGTGAACTCTTCCGCCCAAAGTCCACCTAGCCCTCCATTATTGTACCCATCTGGCCATCGTAGGCATACCAACAGCATTAGTGATGTTCACGAAATGCTGAGATGTCATTGGGATAACACTTACCGTATGCCAAGGACGATATTCTGTCACCCTTGCATGTCACTCTACTAGACCAGAAGCAATGATCTCGAGGCGAAATCCATCGTTGTGGCGATAATTCAGCATAGCTCATGGCTACCAAGGCGTATCTCTCGACTAGTCTTTCATCATTAGCATCCCTTGCACAATCCACAGTTCCAGATAGCTCTTGATGAAGCCAAGCAGTGGCGTTATCTCGATACGAACGAGTATAAAGTTCAGTAGGATCTATCGCACCCTTTAGTGCCGATTTGAGACACCTATTGTATACAATAGGCATCTCAAATATATCATCGGCTGTGACACTTTCCTTTCTCATCACAACAACTTTTTCGTCATCAAAAAAGTCATCAAGTATTTGGAATGTGATTGACAGTTTGGACCAAAGTTGGATACCAGAAAAAGACAATGCGCAAGGTGTTAGAGTGTCTGAAATTTTGATCGCCTGTGATGGAAACTCTGATAGCTGAGGGTTGGGATCGAGGAAAACGTTTAATGGCAGCTCCCTTCCATCTTGACATTCTACCTTAAGGGTATAGAAGTCAAAGATCCCGTCAACGTCCTCAATTGTCGAGTTCAGTTCAATTTTCAGCGGATTTAGGGTAGGATCGATGCAGTTGGGAAAACTCGTTCCCGCTTTCGGTAGGGTGTGTCCAAACGCAAATTCTGTGTCTATCACCAGATCGCATTTTCTTCCCTGGCATGTCGCCGCGCAGCAGTCGCCGCCGTCATAATTCTCCACATCCTTGTTGAAGTACAGATTACAAACACCGTTTCCCAGAGGTTTGATGTCACACAGCGTTCCGTTGGCTCCATGCAAGCATTCACAGCTACCATTTGTGCAAATGCCCTCGTATCGACAAGGATTCGTATCAGCATCACAGTTTCCACAACGCAGTAGTGCATCACTCGGACGGCCAATATCAGCAATCGCAAAATCAACACCTTCAGCATATTGAGCAGTGTACCAGCGAAGACCCAAAGGAGTACCCCGATCTGTAGCTTGTGCAACTGCTTCACTTACAAATGCAAATGGTCTTGTCTTTGTTGCAGAAGGAGAAAGCAGCCAAAGCTCATTGGATCGAAACCGGGTAATAAAATCAGACAGAGATGCTGTGGCATTTGCCAACAAACGCAATGCACTGGTAAGAACCCATCGCCGGCCTGTGAAAAAGATAACCTCGTAACCTTCCGACTCTGAAAATTGTCCAATGAAAACAGGATGCTGATAGTATGTGACGAATTGATCTTTATCTGTCAAAATATCAAAGTTCTTTGACCAGTCATAGTTGTCCACAAAACCTGTAAGACTAGCATCCATGGTGAGGCTTGGGCATGGGTTCTCTTTCTTGCCTTGACGATTCCAAATATCCCCACATTCACTCTCGAATCGATTCGGGTTCACCTCAACCAATTGAAACTTGGAAATAGGAGTACCATCGCGCAACAACCATTGATCGCCCTTTGCATCCAGTAGATCAAAGCTCGTTGCTCGCTCCTCGGAGGATCGGAGGTATGGATCCAAGCAAGCATTCTCAAAATCACCTGGTGCGAAGATCCAACTTCGAGTATCACCGTCTTTACAATACTGGAATCGACCTTGACCTCTCTGGGGTTCCGTTTGCATGTATGAAACTCTGCCCAATGTGCTAGTCTTCACGATCCTATAGCATCCCGAATATAGACCCAGAGTAGGATCTACGTTGTCTGTGACATTTCACGTTCACCATGTCAGGGCATGCAGCACAGCTAGTGAAAATATTTGTCATTTGCCTCACTTACCCCCGAATTCAACCTTCAAGTATTGAGGAAGTAGCTCGTCGCTACGCTGGAGGTGGAGAATGGAAAACAGAAACCCGTATCCACCTGGAAATGCATTCCGATTAAAATCTGTCGCAGCTATAAAAAAAAAGCCAAATCAGAAACAAGGAACTTACCTAGCAGGAGGGCAAGGAATATATAGATGTGGAGATACTTCCTGCAACCTTTCACATTAGATTGTGGAAACTGAGTTCGCTGGATCCGTTTTGCCAACTTCTCTGTCGGGGAGCCTGCGTATCCAAGCACGGCCATTTGGAAAGTGAGTTCATCGAGCTCCGAAACAAAGATAACTGCCGTGAAGTTTAGAAGCAAGTCGAATACGTTGTCAGAATATACGATCAGAGCGGTGACAACCGTGATCGAGAGCAATCCTTGTACGAGCATGACAAGATTTGAAAGAAAGAATTTTCCCATCGAGAATCCAACAAATCTCTTTCGAAGCACCCCAGTAGCCTCACAATAAAGGAGTGCCCGGAGCGAATTGCGAATATCAGTTTGGGCCAAGAAGCAAACCAAGACGCAGATGAATTGCGTACAACGGACAAGAATTCCAACATCTGGAGGGAGGCTCTGTGTGTCGAGCAGGTCGGCCAAGAAAAGTAGGAACAGACTAAACTGAAGACATACCACCATCGACCCGAGCACCATAGAAAAGCTAGCGAAAGGTGCGCAATACAAGAAAGAGTAGACATCGCAGTTCGATTGGATCATTTCAATTTCACAAGGCATTTGTTCTCTTTGGCTTTGTTCAGGGAATGTACTGTTGATATCAAGAGATGACGATCCAAGTAGTTGCCCACTGGGAAGTATGGTTCGGCTGATTCCCTCCGAACTCGTTTGCGGTGTTTTCTTCTCTAGCCTTGATTCGAGATTTGAAGTTTTCTCCTCCAGTTTTTCATTTTTTGTTTTCAAATCTTCCATTGCTTGTTTGAGAGCAACTAGCTCATCTGCAAGATTCGAGTCTCCCTCCTGCAAGCCCATGGCGATGGATTCGTTTAAATTTGACTTGCTCTGTTGCTGTCTACTATACAGAACTTCATGCATGCCGGTTGCATGAACGAATGGGCTGCATCAATGAAACCTAGTCGCGCTTTTCCGAAAAAATCGGCTTTAGCCGTATTTTTCGCGTTATTTTACGATGACCTAAATCTTTTATCTATTTATTGCGATTAGATCTGGAGTGTCCTAAGACACAGTGAAAGTGTTTCGCACTGGAAATGAATCCGATATAAATGTTATGTAACCTGCATCTGTCACCGACAGGAACCATAATTCCAAAAAGTCAGAAGTGTTTTGGGAAAAATGACAGGTATCAAAACGAAAAGCGCGCTAAACCATTTTCCCGCGAGCTTCAATTTTCAAAATGACGTTGAGTTCGAGTTCTGTGCGGTAGAAATCTACAGTACAGTACTGTAGCTACGAGAAAACGAGTTTAAGCGTACCGAGAAGAAAGAAGATCAGACACCTGCGTGACCGTCTCAACGATGTCGTTGATGACACCAAGTCCAACGTTCATATCATACCGTCTTTTGATGATCTGTTTTGGATGCCGTCAAATCATCTTTGATGAAGCTTGTTGCTTGGCCTGCATCCAGAAGCTCTACGCCACACCTGAGACGAATCCTTGGTGGTCGTAGGCGCTACTACAGAGATTCGAGCCTCCAATGGGCGGAAACAAACCCTGAAACTGCTCAGCAATCATTGCAACCGCCAGGATGGAATGTTCCTGCCGATGTGAATGATCAATCTCCGATCTATTCTATTGAAGATTATTTGAAATTCCGAGAATGGCGCCTACCTTCGAAAAATGATGGACGCGAGAATGCTCTATCTTTGATCTCTCATGTCCTTTCGACGCCACTGACGATCGCATCATTCTACAATCGGGCCCTCCACGAGCTGGATGCACCCATCCGACTATGTTGTGTTGGAGCCCGAGCTGAAGCTACACTGCCAAATGAATATTGGAAAGAATTTCTCATCTTTTCCTCGTCCTTGCCTAATAACGAGACAAAAAATGTTGACTTGATGACGGATTTTGTGGGTCCGGATATTTGCCCGCGTACACCAGACACCGAGATATCCTGGAATTCTTCCACAACCAAACTGCACTGGCATTACAAGGGTTTTTTGCATGATCTAGATGAATCAGAGACGTGGGATACCTACGTTTTGATGAATCCTGGCATAGGCCACGATAAGCTTAAACATGGCTGGAAACCAACTCTGGATCGCATTCTTCGCTCAGGTCGACCAGTGCTTCTGACAGCACATTCTGAAAAGGACAGTGACCGAGATACAGCTCTATTGAAACAATCTTATCACTTAGATGTACACTACGAAGAGAACCCTTTTGCAAGTCGCGTTCAATATGAAGACCCGTTTGACCAGAACCACTTTGTCCGTCCAAATCATTTCATGACAATGATCAAGTAATACTAATAATATACATAATTCCTAATATACCTGTTATTGTTTCATTGTGTATCCGAGGAGTAATAGTCTATGAGGCATCAAATATTGTGTACGGTTCAAGGACAGATTGGATCTTCTTCAGGTTCACCGGCTTTGAAATGAAATCGGAACAGCCAGTGAAGGCTGCTGTTTCGATGAAATTGTGAAGTGCATGTGCTGTAACCACAATGATAACAGCTGCTGGATCCTCTTCAAGAATGTGCTTACTTGCTTCCAAACCATCCATCACTGGCATTTGTAAATCCATGAAGATGATATCATATCTATTCTCGTTCGCTTTCTCCACAGCTTTTTGACCATTGTCGACCAAGTCAACATTTTCAACCCCCAACCTTTGCAGAACTTTTCGCAGGACTTTCTGATTGATCATATTATCATCTGCATATAGCACCTTAAGGTCGCTCGCCAATGGTTTGAGTTCCGAGCTCAACAAGGCCAAACCTAAAGGCATAGATTGAGCCCTCGAAAATGATGTAGCCTTTCGACTGGTCTCAATCTGTTTAGTTGCAAGTGGCATCGATGTGTCCATGCAGTCTCGGTATATGCTTTTCTTCAAAACATTTCTAATCATCTTTAAGTCGAACGGTTTTGTGATGTAGTCTTTGGCTCCTGCGTCTTTTGCCAGCTTAAAGTACTTCTCAGACACGTGCGCAGTGACAAAGACGATATTCGCCGCAGGATCGAACTCAGTTATCCTCTGGCACGCTTCGATACCTCCCATTACTCGCATTTCCATGTCGAGGAAGATCACATCATAAGAGGTACATTCGGCGTACTCAACCGCTTTTGTCCCATCATTAACTAGGTCAATATTGGTAACTCCGAGATTTGATATCATCTTGTGAAGCAATTTACAGTTGATTCCATTGTCATCCGCATACAAGATTTGAAGACGTTGAAAATCTTTTCTCGTCAGGAGACGCTCTTTCTTTTCTACCACAGATGAAGGGGATTCACTGTCTTGCAATTTCAGCCTTGGTTTGGTGTTATCTTTCTTGAGGAGCATTTGACTCCAGATTCTTTGCAAAACTGTCACGGGGAAGCTCGCAGACATAAAGCCCAAATGAAATCCACCATACATTTCGGTATGATTGGTATTTCCACAAGTAAATAGCGCACAACGAGAGCTGCCAATTTTCGACTCAGCTTTCGTGTACTTGCTATAGTCAACATCAGATGAATCGGCAATTATGGCAACGTAACTTCGCAGACTGACTGATTCTGATAACTTTGCATCGAGATCATCCCAATCTAGACAACGCAACATATCCAACCCATATGTTCGGGCAACTTCAAAACTGATGGACACAGAATCGTTTTCATTCGAGCCCGAAATTGGAATGCCCAAGTGTTTTGCAACGAGGACAACTGTAGTATCTGTAAATTCTTTGCTCAATCCAGCGACGTCTACAGCACCCCCTCGAAATGGAAAATAGACGCAAAACTCCGTGAACTTCCCGGGCTCCGAGTCAAGCGAAATGAATCCTCCAAGCTTCTTTACCAATTTCGACGTTATGGACAACCCCAAGCCTGTTCCACCATAGATGGATTGCGTTTCTTTGCTCGCTTGGGAGAACGGTTCGAAGACGGTTTCGAAATCTTTTTTATCGATTCCTTTCCCGTAGTCTTTTACGGAAAAGGAGATGACTCTCAGCTTCTCTTTATTGTCAAATTTCTCACCGTAGCACAACATTTGCTCATTCCTTTCAATTTCATACCGCCATTCATCATAACCCACCAAGCTGACAGAAAAGTCAATGACTCCACCATCTTTGCTGAACTTCTCAGCGTTTCCGAGCAAATTGAAAAGAACTTGCTGCAATCTTCGATTGTCAGTCTCCATGATACCAGAAAGCTCAGCTGAATAATCCGTTCGAACCGTGACATTCCGCTTCTTTGCTTTTTGTGCAATTGACGTGACAACACTGCTTATCGTGGGATGCAGCTCACAAGGCTGTACGTTTACCATGAAGCAACCACTCTCCAATTTCGCGTAGTCTAGTACATCATCCACAACGCACTTCAGAAGATTGCCATTTTCATGAATCATCCTGATCGACTCCTCATTCTCCGCTGTCATTTGATCACTTTTTTCCAACATAAGTGATGAAAAACCGACAATACAGTTTAGCGGAGTTCGAATTTCATGTGACATACATGCAAAATGTTCCAGCTGTTTTGCTGCGTTCCTTGAAATCTCTTCGCTCGCTTTTTCCAGCTCCCTGTTTGCCGTTGCAAGCTGACTTGTCCGTTCTTCAATCTCTCTTTCCATTCTCTCCGTTAGTGTTTTGATGACAAGAGCATTCATATGTAGTCTAATAACTGTACTCAACGCAGGCTGTGTCAGTTCAAAGAACTGAACGTATTCATCGTCAAACCCCTTTGGATGCTTCGTACTCCAAGCCAAGCCACCTTCGAATTCCCCGCGGTGGATATCTGGTAGTGCGAAGTAGTCTGCGTAGTTGCCAGCCCGAAACCACTTTTCTGTGTCTGGCGGAATGTAATTGTCTGACGATCGAATGCGAATAAACTCTGCTCTGCCTTGTTCGAGGACACAGAATGGTTCATCAGGACTGAAAAGCTCATTCCGTCGCTCAAAGATCTCCTGCGGCATTTCGCGGTGTTCAAAGGAATCCAATTCCCATTTCCACAAATAGGAAGTAAGCTTTGGGTGCAAACCAACACCCCCAAAGTATAACCGGTCCAATGGGATTTGTAGGTTGTCGCGAACAAAGTGGCAATAATTTGTCATCAAGCTCTCGATATCTTCATAGTGACCACCTTCTACGAACAACCACCGATGTACATCCTCCACTTGGGTCCGAACGTGAAGAGGTGCATTCCTGAGTCTTTCAAGAGGAACCGTTCGTTTCTTGTCCATCTTGGTGATGCCATACCGCCGCAGCCGGTCGACTATTGCACCTTCGCCAACACCTGCCATTGAACCTTCACTTCGGAAACTTTTTTGACGCTTCGAGGTCGAGGATGAGATCGTGCTCGTACAATAATTTTTTTTCGTTGATGAGGACGTGATGTTTGCCACAGGAGAAGAGTGATTTCACAAGTTACGAAACTCCGAGAATTTCCCAGTATCCAACAAATGAATTTGATTTTTTCCGGCATTTATATATATACCGGTATGTCCAGAAGGTCATTTGGACACAGCAACATAATTCTATCGATAAAAAAAATGACCTTGGTCCTTGGCTGGTTCTTATTAATTAACACCATCGTCGTTCTACAGTAGAGTGCGACTACAATAAATACTCCACAAATTATCTGGCAAGAGCAGCTGTCCTGCACTTCAGTCAGTTTCCATTTCATCATTGTCATCCTCCTCGACTTTTTCCAAATCATCAATCATCCCCTCAACAGCATCCAACTGACCTTCATCTAGTGCTTCTTGCATTTGCTTTGCTACGATTTCATCCTCTCGTTCACTTCCCTCCAAGCACTCAACGATTGAAAAGTTGATTTCTTCCATCGTTGGCTCTTCCACAAAAGTCCCTGCCACTTCAAAATCAGCATCTGTGCCCGGCGATGTGTCAACAAACAAGTGCCACGGCCTTGCAATAAAGGAATACTTTAGTCATGACTAGACGCATACAAAGTCATATTAAATCCAAAAGATATGTCGTGCTCACCTTGGGTACGCTCGTATTACCATTGCCCTAGTGATACCTTGATTCATCCCAACTTCGTGGGCGTGTTGCATGGCAGCTTCTAGTTCTTCGTCTTCTTTCTTTGAGGCTTCTACATCGTCTGGTGATTTGTCATTGGAAACCTCTTCCAGATCTTCCTTCTGTTCCGGGCCATTCTGACGATTCTGTTGGAGCTCATCAGCAAGCCCCCGAGACATGAACTGCACCCGCAGTAACCGAAGATGGTAGGCTGTTAAAAACTTTACAGGTAGAGAGGGAACAGGGAACATGTGATAGTTGAGAATCACCACTGTTTGCTGTATGGTTTCTTTTCCATCTTTTTCTTTCTGTGCCAAAAGCTCTTGCATCGCTTTTATACCTTCATCGTCATCTGGTGCTGGAGCCACGATCACAACCAGTTGATCCGAGTCTTCGACAGGATCAAAACCAAGGGTGCTCAATGCAACAACCTCAGGAGCTGCCAGTGCCATCGTCTTTCGATACTCCAAAAGCTGAGAGACTTTTGGAAATACAATCTTGACCCTATTTCTCTGGCTTTCCAAGCCTTCCAAACCAGCTGCAACTGGAAGAATCGCAAGTTCGATAAATTGTACCAGAGTCTCAAGATCAGTGCTCAATTCCGCATCGCGTACATCTACTAGCATTCTCTTTTTCCCAGCCAACATCCCCGCCAATATAGCAGAACCAGCTGCATCGGCAGCATCGATGACAGATGAAGGAGCACTTCCAAAAATTACCGATTCATCGTACGATTCAACGAAGGTGCCGGTTATTGGGCTCAGTAATTTTTTTTTCTCTGGTGTAACATTCTGGTCTCCCTTTTTGGCGCCAGATTTGTCTTTAATGCCAGATTCCTTTAGCAATTTGACAACAGTTGCAAAGGCTTCTGCAGTTTCACTGAGCTCATGGCAGGTTTTCCGTAACCGATGAAGTTCGATTTCTTGTTTGGCAACTATTTCCTCTAATCTGGAGATTCTCTGTTTGAATTTTCGTTCCAACTTTGATAGTTGATCGTTTTCCTTGCTTTCGTCTCGGTCCGAAGAAACCATTGTTCTGCTCACAAATGATTTTCTGAAATTCCATCTGTTTGAATTCATGCAATGCCTCTGCCGACCATGGCTATTATGTCGGTGTTGATAAGCAAGTACATCATTCTCCAAAAATACAAGTACAAGAAGCATTGCGAGCAAGATATTCAGATGAAATGCCGTCTGCCTATGCCGCCGTATTCTTCCTCGAATTCGACATTGTTGCATTCTTTCAGGATCATCTCCCGAACTACAGAGCCCTGTTACGCAGGCAGCCATGTTGCGTTGTTGTGATATTTCACTGATGGTCCAATCTGTAGGTAGAACTTTATCTGTAGAACTGGACTTGGTTGAAGAAGGAGTGTTTGAGTCTGAGTGACGCATCAATAATCTGATGGATGTTGGTCGGTACCTGGTACGTGTACATCGTCCACAATAAACAGAACACCCACACGGACAGCGACATTTTCTTTGCGGTCATCAGCATCACAGACGTGTGAATGGGCTTTGTCTTCGGATGAGTCGAAAAATGTGATCGATCCCGCCAACGGCAGCCCGCGCCTGCACGAGCGTTACAGTGTGGAGCTTCTGGTGTGACTGGTACCAAAAATTACGAAACATCGTAGACGTACTAGTTACTGCGCACGCATTTCTTCAGTCGAGGCAAAAACCACGAGTGCGAATTTCCGAACATCCATCAACGAAGATTTTTTATAATGATCCTTCAGCGAACTTGAAACGCACATAACGCTAGTCCGCATTGGAGTTTTTCACATAATGATCTCCTAATTGCTAAGGCGTGCGGTCGCAGTCACGCAAAGTACATGGGCAAATCCAATGGTAGCGTTAAAAAGAGGTTAACTCGATTCCACAAAACAAAAAAAATTGGAAACTCCAATCGGACTCACACTGCTTCTCTGAATCTTGCCGTCACAATCGAGCATAACACAAGAAAACACAAGAAAACACAGCATGGGAGCCAAGCCACAACTGAGTCCTAACGAACGCCTTGCTCGAAAGCGGGCTGCAGCAAGAATGAGACAACAACGCTGCCGGGCTAGAAAGCGCCAGGCATTGTTGGAGCAAAAGCGTATCCAACGAGAACAAATGTCACGGTCAGAAGCGGAACCAATTTCAACTCAACACGCTTCTAGTGCCTTTCGCATGCGTCGGCCCACTGATGGCGAGGTCGAATCTGCTTTGCCAACGTCAACGCAACAGCCAATTTACAAGGTTGTCTCTTTTGAATCTCAAAGATCTTTCGAAGAGGCAAACAAGGGCCCATCCAAGTCTCCTGTAGACACGATTGTCACGGTTTCTTCCCCACCCAGGAAAACGGCAGATGTGACTTCTATTACATCAGCAGATTCATCAGCTGCCACTCCTGTACCCGACAAGGAAGCTGCAGCGATTGCTGCCATGCTTTCCCTAAAGTCTCCCCCCTCCGAAAAGAAGGTCCGCACTCCACAACGCGTTGAGATGCGGCCCCGGGAGCAACAAAGGCCAGCGCGATCATATGGGGTGCCAATATCAGCGAAAGTTCCTCTTTACAAAAGTTATAACAACATTCGCTACGAAAAAGCACGCTACGCAATGCCACCACAAAGGGTGCCTCACTATTACATGGGCATGTCGCACCCACCACCACCACCTAGACCACATCCACAGTACCGCTATGGATATCATCCTTCGGCCTACCACCGATATGTACGATATGATTGAAGGGGCTACACATACGCACATACACATGAACCACATACACAAACCGAACTGTTGTTTTTATAGTAAGAATAGAACAAATCCATATTAGAAATTTTCATTGAACTTTACTTTTGATTATATGCCTATCATCGCTTCGAATAATATGTTTGAAGAGACTACACATGCTCAAACGATATCGTTGCGCTGTAGAAAAAATAGAGCAGAATCCAACTCACACATTCACTCTAATTTCAGCTTCCGCCTGACAACTGACTTCGTTGGTTTGTGCAAAATCGATTCAGACTAGTCGACTGCACTTACTCAAGTTTCGCATTTTCGTCCATGGATGACAAAAACAAAATTCAAAAACAATATGTCGGATGCACCAACGAAAACAACACATTCAAAGAAGAGGAAAAAAGGGAGGCTCTATATAGCATTTCTAGTAGTAGCCTTGCTTGGTGGTTGCTTGCCAATATTATTGAGCAGCAATTTCACTCATGAATTCTCCATCATTGGTAGTGACTTCAACTTACCGTACCTGCATGCTGGAGGTTCCAATGTCAATGCCAAGGAGGAGGATGCACAAAATGTCAAGGAGGACTCACCAAAAGATTCAACGAAAAAGGAAAAAGAAAAAAGAAGTAGCAGAGTAGCTGGCCTTGATTGCAAACCCTGGGGTGGTCCTCCAAACGAGGCAGCAGCCGAAATGGTGTATTGGGAAGACATTCCACAAGATTCCAGTCATCTCAGTCCATTTTACAATCCAGAGGCACCGCCTCAATTTTTTTCGTTTGAAATGGACTTTGCAGGATGGAATAATGTTCGGTAGGTATTGTTGGGAGGAGGGTGTGTCATGCATGGTATGTGGTGGTCAAGTTGAAAGTATGAACGTTGTGACTCATAACAAATATCGCTTCTTTTAGAATGTCAATGGAAACACTCATGGGCATTGCATTGGCCATGGGTCGGACGTTGGTTATGCCACCGGCACAAGAGGTTCACATGCTGGAAAGTTCGGACGAAAACCAAAAGAATGAATTTTCATTCAGCCACTTTTTCCCAATAGAGCATGTCAATGAAGAGTTTGACCACTTTGCAATAATTTCGATGCACGAGTATCTGCAACTCTTCTTGGAAGGAAAGTTCGAAGACAAGCATGGAAAGATACTCTTCCCACCAGGGAATAGAACGCATTGGGATGGAGCCAAAGAAGAGGATATAGCTGTTTTAAACACATGGCTGCGAGATGTTTCGATGCGACTGCGGTGGAAGGCGAACAGATGTTTAGGCGCATTCCCAAAATCACCAGATCCGGAAGACTTGCATCAGTTGACGGTGGATCTGGAGAATCTTACCAAGACAGGACTTCCAGAAGAGAGAGATCTTATAAATAAAAAGCCTTACGATGTGGACGGGGACTCACGTGAACGCATGCGACATCACATTGCAAAACGCGAGAGACTTTGCTTGTACAGTACCAAGTTGCAGAAAGCTCAAAGGGTTCACTTTCCAATGATGTGGGATGAAGAATTTGGAAAGTCACGAATGCTGATACATTTCTATGAATTTCTTTTCTTTCAAGACTGGAAGCAAGATTTGTGGATCAAGAGATTCATGAGGGACCATATTCGATATGTGGATGAAATCCAGTGTGCAGCAGCAAGAGTGGTGCACAAAATTCGAGGTCATGTTCACGCACGCACTGGTGGGAAAACGAGGGAGTTTGATACCTTTCACATTCGAAGAGGTGATTTTCAAGACCAGTACAAGTCCGCAGTTGTATCAGCCGAGGACCTTTTAAAAATTGCAAAAACTCAAATTCCAGAAAACTCTACTGTCTACATTGCGACAGATGAGGAGGACGACGATTACTTCAAGCTTTTGGAGACACACTACAATGTTCTATATCTCGATGATTTTAAGCATGAGTTGGCTGGAGTAAATAGCAATTACATGGGTACGTTTCTGCACACTTGCAATCTTTTTGGGCGTCACACTTTGTTTTCACTGACCACGTAGACCGTCTTCTTGATTCTCCTCAGGTATGATTGACCAGCTAATCGCAAGTAGAGGGCGGGTATTCATGGGCTGCTTTTATAGCACCTTTACTGGTTATATTAATCGGTTGAGAGGTTACCATGCAGACGCTGCAAAGGCACATGATTACGAAAGAGGAATAATCAACAGCTACTACTACGCACCAGACTTTGTACATCTGAGAATGCGAATGTACTTTCCTATCTGGGAACCATATTGGGCGCGTGAGTACTCGAATAGCTGGAGACAAATTGACAAAGGTATAGACCCGTAACGTTTACTGTTTTAACCATGAGAAACAAAATAATAGAAATATGGTGCACAAAATTTCTGTCCGTCCGACGTACTGTATGTTCATTGACTTTTATACCGGCGGGCGCGCATATTGTGAATTGTTTCGAGGTGAAGAATTTTGAAGATTCATCATCCTCATCATCAGTGTTTAGCAGCGTCGTTGTTTTTTGAATTTAATACAGAGCAAACATGGCAGCCTCCCATTTAAAGCAAAGGCCCAGTATGCAACAGAGTGCTTTGTCCACTCCTGTTTCCAATGGGGAAGGGGTATATAATGCCAAGGGTTCCAGAAAAGGATGCCCAACGTCCTGCATCAGCAAAATTGAACAGATCAAATGCGGTGGCAAACCTATCGTCTCTGGTATCGACCGAGTTGTCTTTGGTACTCAACCAGCTGCAGAACTTGTATCCATATTTGGAATGCGTCCCCCACGATACTTATTCTACATGATGTCAGGCATAGTTTGTGATATTATCCAATTCCTGATGGACGTCTGCTTGCACGTTGTTTTGGAGATCAAAGACGCTAGCGTCTGTTGGAGCTTGGGATTCTTCTTGTCGATCGTCTTTCGTCATACGTCACATCGGTATCTTGTTTTTGGAGATTATGTTGGAGGTAAGGAAGTTTTCTGAATGACCTCGCTCTGCTGTACGTTGCCAATGCTAATCGTTTGTGTGCGTCACCATACTTAGGTTATTGGAAGTCATTGGGACGAATGTATGTTGGTTATTCAATTATCATCTCTCTATCAACTTTGTTCAATGTTATCATGACAAAATGGGCCGGGCTACCACACTACGTTGCATGGATCGTAACACTGCTGTGGACGGGCATTGTCAATTACTTTATTCTGAAGAAAATTTGGTCATTTGGCGGCAAACAAGCAAATACAGAAGCAACAAGTGCAGGGACATCAAACGGAGATATGACTGAAGCCGAAATCGAAGTGGACGAGGAAGCCGAACTCGTTCTGGATGAATAGAATAGGTACCAATAGATGTATAGATGCAAAAATTTTAAATTGCAAAAGATTTCCATTTTCAACTTCTTCATTTACTTTTTTGCTCTGTAAAAGTTCAAGTAACTCATGTGCCAATCACCTCCGCCTTTCAGCTTCAGCACATCTTCAGTTTTGCATGGGCTGACTTCATCATCATCAAAGACGAACCAATCTTCATTGTCCTCCTCAGAGTTTGCAATTTTATCAACCTTGCCCGAGTTGTTGTCAGCCTTGACCCATGCCATGTAGTGACCACCATCTGCATCTCGACCCTTGTGTGTAACCACAGCAAAAAGCTCGTATTGACCTTGGAAATTTGCTGGCAAACCTGGACCAACTGGTTCAGGTGCGTCTTCCCCATCCTGCATACTCATTGCCAAAGCTGCCTTCAAAGCGGCGTCTTCTTCATTATCTTCGGACTTTCCTTCATCCGTTTCCATCTTATCTTTGTTGTCATCTACATCTTCACCCTTTAGCTTCATGTTGATTCGGTCTTCTTCTTCTTGCAAAGCCTTATCTCTCGACTTCTTGAGCTCCTTCTTCACTTTCTCTGAGCAGAATTCATAAACGTCTAGGACGCTATTGAAAGCAACAGGCTTCATAACCTTACACTTTACACCTGAATGATCCTGGGAGTCAGGAGTTGCTTTCCAGTAGAAACGACCAAACTGAACAGCGAGGATAGGGGGCAGCCGAGCGATTCTTTGCTTTCGTGTCCAAACAGCGTTGCGGCCCAAAACTTCAGAGTTCTTTTCGATACTTCCGTTCAAAGAGAGGTTGATTCCCTCGGCAATGTGAGTGACATTGAGAGTACTGCTGGTTCCGTCAACACCACCTTGAATATTACAGACGAGTTTACGAAGCAAATCATAGGACTTTACTGGTGGTTCCACGAGTCCAGCGGCAGCAGCTCCTTCTCCCTCAACTTCCATCTTGTCGTCACCCTTTCCATCAAATTCATCACAAGTCAAGGTCTCCTCCATCTTCAATCCAAATAAGGCATCTGCAAGATTGGAAGCACCATCCAACTCCTTAGGGCTGGTGAATGGCAAGGCAGCCTTCATTAATCTGTCATCCTTAAGCTCGCCGGCAGCGATGGTGAGCAATCCCGAGAAAAACTCTTCAGCATCTTGTTGCATGGGCGCTCCATTGGGTCCAGTTTGTGCGAACTGTGGAAATGCCATCTTCGTGGATCGAACAAATGTGGAGGGTGCAACGGGCTTTGTGGTTCTATCAAGTTGTTTGTATGTTTCCCGTAGAGTTGTAAGGAATAAAGCTTGAGCTGAGGTAGCAGTTGGTTGGTAGGGTTCCAATCCATTCCGCAATTGTGGGACCGATCTCAAGCATTGGGTGACAGAGTTCAAATAACAGGTATTTCCAAGATTCTCTAGACCAGAAGGTTCTTGAACCTTGGCAACTTCCTCCGGAGGTAAATCTTCCAAGAAAACAGTTTTTGTCTTTGGACCAGTGAGCTCAGCTGCAGAACCCATTAATAAAAGGTTCAATGGACCTCCCTTGGCCTTGGACAACGCTGCTGCAAAGTCAATGGAACCAAAATCAAAATCATCCTTCAGCACTCCTTTCCACAAGCCTGAAGAAAAAGAAAGATGAGAATCTTGAATCATCGTCTTACCATGCTGCTTTTGACCAGTTGATTGAAAGTATCTCACCTTTGCTCTTTGCCATCAATTTCATTCGATCAGCAGGCACTCTGGTCTTTTCCTCCAGTTCGGATTTCAATCCCTTGACTCCTCCAGCTACCACAAAGTTGACATCTATTGTTTCCTTTCCCCATTTCACTTTCAATGCTACCGTATCCGTCATGATCTAATGTATTTAGGTATTTCTAGTACGTGTTTTACTTTCCCGGGAGGATAAATATGGTGATCAATGTCGATGAATCGATTCTCGGCACTCGTTTTGAGTATCGAGCCGTTGGTCCCTCGTAGACTCGCTACGAATGCTGTCGAAAAATCAAATTTGAATTGAGTTAAGACACTAATTCAGTACCACCAAAATCGTTGGTAGGTACGGTACCGAGCACTACTCCCTACCCTCGGTAGTCAAACGGTTTCACTCTTAGTCTGATACGATCCACAGCACAATACCAGTGAGGTGTCAGAGCAAAATGCTTCCAAATCTAGAACACTTTAGCTACTGTTCTACGTTTACGTCTCTCGGAAAGAGACAGGAGCCAAGAATCTCCACCCAGGCCGAAGACGAATGACATCGTGGTCTTGGAATCGGTAATCTCGCAAAAAGTCCTCCACTTTGGCTTCTTTAGTTTGTCTCACAGACACGCTCTGGGCAATCTTGGCGTCTTGCAACGCCATGGTCACAAACCACGCAGATGGTGAGGTTGGGCCAGGATTTTGCGTGTGAACGCCAAATCCATACGCCAAAGCACCTGCCAAACCTAAGGTTGAATGCACTCGTCGGTAGTTCTTTTCCTTCGATATCTCCAACCATTTGTCTCGAAATTCGGTCAACTGCTTGCGAACAAAAACCTCAGTGGCGATCGTAGTAGGTGTTGGTTCGAAGAATTGATCATTCCTTCGTTCCCCAGGAAGAGCGAGAGGCAATAGGACAGCACTTCTCGCTCTGGACATTTCCAATCGCATCAACAACGGTCGTGCAACAATTCCTCCCCCAGCAGTTGCCTCCAGTAACAGCAGATTCGAAGGATCCAACTCATCTTTTTTGTTCTTTGCATACCCTGGCACGACAATACCACAGTGATCAAACTTTCCGTCAGGCATGACTTTATTGGGATCGTCAAAGCATAGAAAGTATCGTCCGAGCACGCAAACAAGAGCGGCAAGTGGTCCTGACGCACAGGTTTCCCATCGTCGATCAAATAGCAAGACGTCCCCAGGCCGGCATCGTTCGATCATAATATCATCAATCGTCTGAATATTGGGGACTCGTACTTTGGTACGGACCTCTTCAGCCTTTTGTTCACGTTCGTCGGAGGCAATCTTCCACCATACTAGGACCGGCACAGAGGCCACAGCACCGGACACTGCCATTTTCTTCAAGACTCTGACTCTCTTGGGAGTAAAGATTCTCTGAAACCTTGAAGCAGCCGAACTCATTTTCCTCTCTGTATTGGTATACGGTAGGGATCGTAGGCTGAACAAGTATCTTTTGGATGGTTATCGTAATGATAGGCTTGATGGTTCGTGTTGGTTGTTTTCGTTGTGGGAAAAATGAATGAGCTGGTCTTCATTCGATTGCAAAGCGGCGTGCGTGCTACTACACCGAACCAGTCCCCTTTTCAACCGTACAGGTACTTTAGCTTCCATCCAATACTTGTTCGGATACTCCTAAATGTAGTCATCTTCGACCAGTCTTTGTGCAAAGATGTAGTGCTACTTCTACTTGCAATCTGTCTCTATCTATTCTTACAATTTAACAGGATTCTTCAAATCCAAAAGCCATGTATAGTAAGCACTTTTTCCTTTGTGAACCATAGTGTATTTTCCAATCTAATCAAAAAGGCATACAGTATCACAAGCGCTTCTCGTCACGATCTAAGTCAGCATATTAGCAAAGGAAATCCATTCAAAAAAGTTGGAAGGCTTGGACTGCCACTTAAACCCTGGTGCGTGGTGAACCCAAGAGTAATCGCTCAATGGAATTTCGTATGCTAGTGGAGATTCCCAGCCCTTTTGAAGGAATATTTCGGTCAGTGTCGTCAAGCAATCTGATCTCGTCACCATGTGGCCGGATCCTGTACTAATGCCACCAAACTAAGTCAACATAAGGAAGGCATGAATATTAGAAAATGGGATACGACTTGACAATGCAACAAGACAGTGGCAAATCCAATCCAATCCAATCGAATCGAATCCAATCCAATCAAATCAAATCACTTACCAGTCCGGTATCTTCGACATTCCCTTCAACATAAATGGGATATATTGGTTTTCCATTTGTATACTTAGTATAGTTCGCAACAAGCATGGACATTGCAATATCTTCACAATTCTTATGTTTGTCAACATGATCCCGCACTTCCTGTGGAAAATCTTTGCCAGAGTAAAGATCGAGATATTCTGCATGCAAGAAGCTCGCTTTGGTCAAGATGAAATTGAACTTATGCCGAAGATATACAATTGGCCACGTGTGATAGATCAGTGATGCGCTGGTTGCATCGTTCATAGGTGGAGACGCCAATCGGGGATAATAGCCAACCATGCTAAATGGGTGTTTCCTCCAGGCATGGAAACCATTGGTAAGGGAGGGACAATCGACTCGTATATCATCATCTACCATGAATACAGCATCATGTTTCAACTCTTCAATTGGTTCAAACCTGCTATTGAGCGAATCCTTCTCTTTTTGCAGCACCTTCACATAAGCTCGATTCTCTACTGCTGGCTCTGAGTCTCTCAAATTGGAATCGAAAAAGGAAGATGCCGCTGGAACAGTTGCCCCCTGTTCTGCCCAAATAATAAAAACTTGACCAACCCCAGCTTTCTTCCCACAAGTATCCGCATAATGCTGAACCGCATTTCTCAGCCGATCTGGTCGTTTGTAGGTGTTGATTGCGACGGCAAAGTATTCTCCACTTTTTAGTTGGCTGTGTGTACCATCCCCCAACTGAAAAAATGCTAGATCAAACAAGCTTATAGTGACTTGAATCACAATGGTAATGCATAGAATGCTGAGAACCAGTCTCGTCGAATTGGAGAGCAACGACCATTGGTTTTGCAATCTCACGTAGAGCAGATTTGCAGGCGAACGTGTTGCACTAGCTTTCTCATAACTCGTTCTCTGTTTTTGTGTATTATTTTCAGCTGTCTTCTCGTTGCTTCTGCGACGCTTTGTATCCATGGCGCGTTCCCTTGTACTGTACCGGTAAGGTAATATTAGAAGACGAGAGACAAGTGTACTGTACGAAATGAATTTCTGTCACAAGTGTTCAATACAGTATTTCAAAAGAGGAGGGTCGCGTGCAGGTGGAATGCTTCTGATGTGACATGTCCGGCGCGCAAGCATCGCATCAGGTCTCATCCATGGTTTGCTTGCGGCAAAATCTCATTACCAACCAAGCGACAACAAGCAATTCCAAAACAAAGACTTTTATATAATATATATCTTACTAAGTGAAACTGGTTCTTATTCATCATGGTGGCCGATGTGAAGAAAATGAAAGGTGCGGTTACAAGGCCTAAAGTGGTTCATCCAAGTTTATCTTCGTGATCTTGGAAAGCCTACTGAATGAATGAATGAATCATCCGTCAATCTACTTTTTACTGAATCTAAAAATGCAATCTCTCAATGTATCTGTTTGTGTGTCTGTGTGTGTTTTATCTACTATTGTGGGTATTTTCTTCTCCAAAAAACTACAGTTAGCGAACTTCGCGAGTCGTTGTCCAAAAGAGGTTTGGCCACTGAAGGTCTCAAGGCCGATTTGGTGAATCGATTGCAAGCAAGGTTAGACGAGGAGGAGTTTGGGCTTGTGGACGCCCCAACAGTGGCGGGAACCCCTGCTGTAGTGGCAGTAGCGAAAACGATGGAAGCAACAACTACGAAGGAAGCGCTCGCGCCTAAAGAACAAGAGAATCCTGCAGAGGAAAAGCCAGCGGAGGAAGAGAAAGCTGATGAATCAAGTGGTAAGGATAAAGCTGATGCCAAGGCTCCTGAGGAAGCTGCAACCGAGGCTGAAGAGAAGACACCGGTAGAGTTTGGAAAGGCTATTAATACCAAGTTTATGACATTCGAGGATAGGAAGAAGGCAAGAGCAGCACGATTTGGAATTAAGGAAGCTGAAAAACCCGCTGGTGGAAAAAAGAACAAGAAAAGGGATAATCCAAGACGTGGCAATGGTGATAAAGCTGTCGAAGGTGGAAAAGGAGGAGTCAAGAAGAACGCTAACAAGCGACAAAAGACTGAACCCAAGAAGTCCAACAAGCCAGAGCCAAAGAAAAAGCCAGAACCAAAGAAGGAGCAATTTGAGTCATTGTCGAAAGAAGAGCTTGAGAAGCGCTTGGATAGAGCCAAGAAATTCAATCTTCAGAATCCGACTGTAGATGCGATGAAAGCAGCACTTCGAAAGCATCGTTTTGACGCACAAGAAGCCAAGGAAGCAAAGGAAGCAAAGGCGACAGAGTAAAGAATGACTATCTATCGGGGGATTTAGATGTTGTTTGCTTTCGATGGTTTATCTAAATAAAATTGCAGAATGTGAACAGGATTGAAATAAATGTTTTTGAATAGTGACATTGAGATAGTTTTCGTGTCTTTGGTTGCTTCTTTGCGTTTGACCCTGGTACCTGGTACCTACAGTGTAGCAGTTCAAGGGACGATCTCATTCCACAAGTTTCGCTCTGGGACTTTTTTAGGCTCTTCCTGAGTTTGTCTAAAAAAAGGATGCCCGGAAGTAACCGTTGTTGTTGTTATTGCAAGACTCACACATTCTAGTTGTGAGAAGACTCGTATCCATTCTCAAGAGCAGCGTTTAGCTCAGTCACCCCATTCTCTATTAGTATTTAGTGCTCCTTATACATATCAAACAGAACGATGTCCGCCATGGCAAAGGCCCAAAAGGCCAAGGGAGAAGCCTACGCAGCAGAAGCCGAAAAGCTCTTGACCAAGAAGTCCTGGTTTGGATCCACTTCTCGAAACTTTGAAGATGCCGCGGAATCCTACGAGAAGGCTGCCAATGCTTTCAAGGTTGGTGGTTTGACTACCGAAGCTGGAGATGCTTACATGAGAGCTGCGGCAATTTACTCCGACAAACTCTCGGATTTGCTTTCTGCTTCCAAGACATTGAACAGCGCTGGTACGTTTGGAACAAGCTGAGGACCATGAGAGGTACAGCGACATTGATATCTGATCTAACAAACCTAATCTATGATTTTTGTTACCGCAGGTACTTGCTACAAAAAGACCAGCCCGGCTGATGCCATCAAGGCATACACAAAGGCAGTCGTGGTCTACACGGACAATGCCAGAATTACTCAAGCTGCAAAGATCCAAAAGGAGATTGCTGAACTTTACGAAACCGAAGAAATTGATGAAGGCGGCAAGTCTCACATCGTTTTGGCCATAGAGGCCTATGAACAAGCTGCTGAGTTCTTTGAAATGGAGGGCTCAAAGTCCAGCGAATCACAATGCCTCACTAAGATTGCGGAACTTTGCACAGCAGCGCTCGACCCTCCTGACTATGTTCGCGGAAGTCAGCTATATGATGACTTGGGGAGACGGTGTCTCGAGAGCAACTTGCTCAAGTTCAATGCCAAGGGGTATTTCTTGCAAGCTTGTTTGTGCCACTTGGCCAGCGGTGATTCCGTTGGGGCTTCTCAGGCAATGGCAAAGTATGATAGTCTAGACTACACTTTTGGGGAGTCGAGAGAAGGCAAGTTCGCCAACAGCTTGATAGAAGCGGTTGAGGGGTATGATGTTGAAGGCTTCTCGACAGCATGCTACGATTTTGACAGGATCTCAAAGCTCAACCCATGGCAAACTTCGATTCTTGTTTCCGTCAAGCGTTCGATTGATGACGGTAACAACGATGAAGACGATGATGAGGTTGACCTCACCTAGATGTGTATTCTGGTGAAAACTTGAATTCTCTAAAACCATTTAGATATACCTTTGCACTTCTACTCATAAAAAGCTACTTGTCGTAATGTACGCGATCCGTGAAGAATTCTAGAGATTTTTTCCATGATGAAGAGTCCTGAAGTCTCTTTCGCAGCTGTTTCTTGTAGTCTTGTGACACAAAGGCTGCGTCAATGGAATCTTCAATGACACTTGTGACATCTGACTTGTCCCACTGCATCTTTTTCATTGCGACTCGGAATTGCCACTGCAATAATTCAACAAAAGTTAAAGCGATAGATTGAAAAAAAAGGCATTGCAAAAGTTACACTTACAGTCAGCGAGGTATTCAATACGGCAGGGTCATCAGAATTTAGGGATACTGAAAGTCCATGTTTTCGAAAGATACATGCAGGATGCTCCGTCCACTGGGTCTTCTTCCACCCTCCTGTCTCTACACTACTTGTGGGACAGACTTCGACATGGACATTTTTCTCCTTGAGCAGCTTGATCAATTCTGGATGATTGATAATCTTGTAGGCATGGCCGATTCTTGTGGCCCCGTATTCCTCAACTGCCTTTCTTACATTTTCATGAGAATCAGGTGTTTCTCCTGCGTGAATTGTGACATTGATCCCCATATTTTTCGCATTTTGACACATGTCGTAGTGTCCTTTCCAAAGCGGCGACTCACGAGAAAAGTGATCTTCCCCGGCTGCAATATCAACTGCCACGACGGCGCAAGGATCCTTCTCTTTGTTGGCTGCAGCCATGTCAACAACTTCATTCGACCAATCTGGAACAAAATTAATGGCGCAAAGGATTTGATTGACAGTGACATCATATTCTCTACACCCCCTCCTTAGCCCCCTTGTAACAGCAGCGAATGCCTCTTGTGGATCCTTGGCCAATAGATGTGGAGAGTACCGCATTTCTGTGTAGATTATATTCTGTTCGTATTGACGAACCACAAAATCATATGCCAAACTCTCAAGAAGCGCCAAATTGTCATAGACCAAGGGGAAAAAGAATTCAAAACATGTCAACAAATCTTCCAACGTTCCAGGTGGCGAATGTCGGCCCTTCTTTGCTGATTTGTTTCGTAATGCTTGATACCTTCGTCTGCAAGTACACAGGTGTCTATAGTCCACCTCTGTTCGACATGCTTCCACCATTTCGCTACATTGTTGCAAGAAAATAGACAAGATTCATCAGCCATGCCGCACGAAGTAACTATTGGATACATCGAAGTTGCTTGCGTACCGAAGTGGAAGTGGGGCTTCTGCCGGGTCGGTCCACGGTAGCTTCTTTTCAGTCGGAAATTGTGCAAGTATATCAGGATTATCTTGCATATATTTCCACAACTTCTCTGGATCAAAGGCTCCATCCAAGTGTACATGCAGTTCCACCTTGGGAATTGACTGGACAAAGTCTTCAGATTCTTGGTGGTCTGCGTCAAAGCCTTCATTTCCAAGGTCCTCAGATGAGGAATAACTGCGATGCCACAACATCCCCACGGCCACGGCGCCAAACATGGCAAGGTTAACCATGGATTCGTTTTTTGTCAAGTATTCCATTGTATTTCTTGTTGTTTGTTGTGTTAGTGTTATGATTGTAGTGGACCTGACAGCGTTCACAGAAACAAATGACGACAAACAAAACGTTGTTCCGTATTTCGGTTTTCCGTTTTGCAAAATGATGTGGGCGTTGAAAAGTCCCAAATTTGAAAGTGGACTAAGTTAGTCTACACGTTGCATTTTCGAAGTCGCATCAGTCGAAAAATCAAACACGTTGACGTCCGATCTGAGATCGTGTATCGTGTCATCCATCAATGCTCGCCGTTCCCATCCATCACTTTCCATCAACATCCATCGAGCGTAGTTCATCCGAGTAGGTAGTAAACATGAGTCTTCCCATGCAATCACTGTCATTGAAGACATTCCAGAGAGTCGCTTCCAGACAGACCAGACTTTTCACCACCGCCGTTCCAGGACCAAGCAGTACGACTGGTGGAGCTGGGATCGGAAATGTGGAGAGTCAATTGCTTCCATCCATGAACGATGCTGAACTTTTCAAGCACTGTAAATATCCTCGTACGACTTCGATCATTGGGTAAGCACACCAGGATTGCATAGGCGTGAACAACTTGTTTATGTGACACTTTTCTAATCGCCCCGCATCTTTGTCGTTCTTTCACATTTTACTCAATCGAATTTGCCTTGCACTTCCCATGTCCCATATAGAGCTCCCATGACATTTGGCCAGCCGTTTGTAGGAACTGACGCAGGTCCTGCACTGTTACGAGACCGTGGTCTGCGCAACGTTTTGACGTCGCTTGGTTGGAGGGTTGAGGATTTGCCGGATCTGGACTTTGACACCGAACAGGTTTCGGACGCAAGGGATCCCCCGAATGCTCGCAACTGTTCATTGGTGGCACAGGGAACGTCTAAACTGGCTGATACTGTCGAGTCCAAACTGCGCAAGGGTCACTTTCCTCTGGTTATTGGAGGCGATCACTCTGTTGGAATCGGTTCCCTCACCGGTATTCTCCGAGTGATTCCTGACATTGGTATTATCTGGGTGGATGCCCATGCTGACTTGAACACCCCAGCAACTTCTGGAAGTGGGAACATGCATGGTATGCCCGTTGGTCTATTGCTTGACCATTCAGAGGAAAATGCCGTCGACTTTACAAAGCTACCCGGATTTGAATTCCTTATCGACGGTCCAAGAATCTCTCCCGACCAAATCGTCTACATTGGATTGCGGGACATTGATCCTACGGAACGTCTCTGGATTCGAGACTATGGTATTAAGGCATTTACTATGTACGATATCGATCATTTTGGCATTGGAAAAGTTATGGATATGGCATTCGAACATCTCAACAAGGGTAACCCGAACCGCCCCCTTCACATCTCGTATGACATTGATGCAGTGGACCCACTTCTTGCCCCAGCAACCGGTACCAAAGTACGAGGAGGCCTCACATATCGCGAAGCGCATTTTGTAGCCGAAGCTGCGGCTCAGAGTGGAAACCTTGCAAGTGCTGAGATTGTCGAATTTAATCCCTCGCTTTCAGACGACGGTGGAGCCTCTGAAACCTTGGAACTTGGAGAACAGCTAATCGCATCATTCATGGGAAAGAGTTTACTCTAGAGCACTTTTACATCCTGCACCGGAATTGCCTTTCTTTTATGGAAAGTCCTTTCACCCGTTGATACCCTTCCAGTTGGTGGATTAGAACCTGCGAACGAGTACACTACGCGTTTACTGTTATCTATTGCACCGGAAGAGAATTTTTTGCATCTACATAGCCTTTTGACATCTTCTTACATATCGCTGTTGACATCCTACAAAGAAGCCTCTGTCAAGCATAGGAGTTCCTTGGGTCCTTGGTTTTCTTCCACCGCTTGTCAACCCTTGACACTTTGGCCGGAAAAGCTGACTTCGTCTGACGTCACAATAAGTAGAACTCTCATTTTTTACATAAGGGAAGTGCAGTGTGCGTCAGTTGCCCATCACACGCGGTTGAGAACACCTCAATTCAAAACAGAATTGTATGAAAACCTATCAATTCTGATTGTAAAACTGACATCATTGACGACCCATCACTTCTGATTATAAGCTGACATCATTACGATTGGTATCTCAATTCCCGCCTCACTATTTTGCAGTCGTTTAAACCTCACAAATTCAAAACTTAAGAATGAAGATTGCCTGCATCACAATACTTCTTGCTACCGAAGCCTCAGCATTCTTGGGCATTGGCGAACCAATGCAACGTGCGCCGTTGCTGGATGAGATTATGAAGTCGAAATCCATTGAGAAACTCTCCATCAATCTTGATGTTGGAGGAAGCAAAGAGGAATCTCACATTGTCATCCGCGACACTATCTTCGACTTTCACCTGGGAGCACCGCTGGAACATCATGTCTCCTTGCCCGGAATCAATGGGCCACACCCCAGTGTTTCAAGTGGTGCTCAAAATCTGGAAGTCATCAATGGTGGCCACTTTGTGTCCATGGCAGGTACTCAAGATGTCAAGTTGGCCAACAGCTGCTGGGAGATCAACTGGAAGAAAGATACCCCAGCTGGAGCGCTAATTTGCGGCTTTGAGGTCATGGAAGACTACGAACGCAACGAGGCTACACTCACCAAGGGCAGAACTTATCTGACCTTCCCCATCTGGAACCAAGAAGGCCTCGACTATGCTCGTGAACAGAAAGCGGATGTGATGGAGAGAGCTGAGGCAGCCTTGAAAGAAAAGGACGACGAGATGCACAAGATTTCAGAGACAAATAATCCTCTCATGAAAGCCCTTCACTACCGTAATGCTTACGCAGCAGTTGAGCGATATTCGCTTATGCCAGTCAAGAGAATGGAAATGGTTCCTGGTGACGATGAGGTGCTGAAGCTTCGTAATGACCTCTTTCTGACAACAAAAGGCTTGATCTGGACCAAGGTTCTACCAGCTGGAAGGCAAGTCCTGCTTGGTACTGCCACCATCTCAGGTACTGTGAGCGACGAGTAAGCTGAAACGCCGAGCGACTTCAACATGAACGAAGCAACTCGTATCTACTCCAAGTTCAGTTTTGAAGTACTACCCTACCCAGCCACATACATTTTCTATCAGCACAAACCAACAACACGCACCTAAGAAAAAGGTTCAATTCCAAGCCACAATTTTGCAAGCATATATCACACGGGAACCTTTTGTATTTGTAGCCTGTTCTAGTATGACACATCAAGAATATAACCATATAAACTATAAACGATATTATCTTATAACATTTTAACTTCTTACACAAAGTCGAAGATGATTCATTCGACGTCTCGTGCGACTATTTTTTTGTCCACTCTGACGGTCGACGAAATTGCAATTCCTTCGCCTCGCATACAGACTGCCGGACTGCCGGAACAAAAATCGGAAGTAAATATCGGAACTTTTGCTTGCACCACGAATATGGATCCACGGAATTTTCCAACCAGTCTGAAACTCGGACACAAATACCTGTGACCATGGCATTCCGACTAACAACTTCCACTTTCGGGAGATTCAACGCGTCAAAGAGGCACTTGCTTGACAAGGCTGCTGCCTCCCCATTCGCAGGGTACAGATGCTTCCTAAGCACTTCCACCGAGATCGACGACAGCGTCACCCTCGGCGAGGGAATCAAAGCCCCTCCGATGGTGTACATTGCTGGAGAAGAAATGACCCATTACACTTCTAACTTGATCGTCGACCAATGGATCAAGCCATACTTCAACGTAGATGCATGGGAACACTTTGATCTTTCTTGTAAAGCTCGCGACGACAGTGACGACAAGGTTCTCCACGACGCCGTCGAAGCTGGATCTCGAATCGGCGCCATTTTCAAGGAACCAACGATTACTCCTAGTACTCTTCAAGTGAAGGAGATGGGACTGTCCAAGGCATTTGGATCTCCCAATGGAGCCATGAGAAGAGGGTGGAATGGAATTACTATTTCTCGCGATACCATCCATATTGAAGGTATCGAACTTGGATACAAGAATCCAGTTTTCTTTGAGCGTCATGCCGTCGGAGGTGAATATGGTGCTGGATGGAATGAAGTTGGTCAAGGAACGTTGTTGACCACTTACCTTCCAGATGATGGGGCCTCTCCATTCGTTGTTGACAAGCGTGATTTGACCGATGACCACAATGTCGTTGTCGTCTACCACAACCCTTACGACAACGTCGCAGAATTGGCTCACCTTTTCTTCAAGAGATGCCTTGATGCCGAAATCACACCATATGTAGTCACCAAGAAGACTGTCTTCAAGTGGCAAGAGGGCTTCTGGGAAACCATGAAGAGCATCTTCGACGAACACTACAAGGCCGATTTTGAAAAGGTATGTTGAATTTTAAGTTTTCTCCCGGCTTGATTTAGATTTATTTATGTTTACATCGATTGACGAGATGCTAACCTGATTTCCGTCCACAATTTTAGGCTGGCCTTTTGGAACGCTCTGGAGGTGACCTTCAGCATCTTATCTCCGATGCTGCCACAATGCAGTTGATTCGCTGGACCGACGGTGGATTCGGAATGGCCGCACACAACTACGACGGTGATATGCTTACCGATCAAATCGCACAAGTCCACCGTTCGCCTGGATTCATCACATCCAACCTTGTTGGACGAAGAGACGACGGTACCTTGATTAAGGAATTCGAGGCTTCCCACGGAACCGTTTCGGATTTGTGGCATGACCATTTGGCTGGCAAGGAGACTTCTCTGAACCCATTGGGTCTTGTTGAGGCTATGATTGGTGCTATGCAACACGCTGCCACACTTCAAGCCGAAAATAACCCATCGGACGAATCAGAGATTGTCAAGGCCAAGGTTTTTAACTACACTGAGACCTTGCGAACGGCAATGCACAACACCTTCCGATACGGACAAGGAACAAGGGATATGTCCGGTCCAAGTGGATTTACTACCGAAGATTACATTGCAAAGGTTGCGTGGCGTCTACAAAGATATCTTTCCATGCAAGATGAAGATGTTCCACCTCCTGAATTGCACGAACCCGACCGTAAATACCGACGCAACTTTGATATTGATGTTGAAGCCATCAACGCAATGTTCTCCAAGTACGACACCAATGGAGACGGCCAGATTGACTACGCAGAGTTCGAGGAGATGATGATCAAGCTGAACATTGCTCCCAAGGTTAAGGTCACGGGCGAGAAAGAGAAAGATGTCTAAACTGCCATATTTATAGTAAGCTTTTGATTTAGTATATTTGCATCCGACCTAGTCTGTCCGTTGTAAGAATGCTCCAGCCATTCTGAGATCTTCCTCATTCTCATTTGATCGTTTCACGACAAAGACAATGGTGACCCCAGCATTCCCTGTGATTGATCTATCAGCAGCCTCTTCTGAAAGCGAATTGGTAGAAAGAATAGCAGAGGCATGTTCTGAATATGGTTTCTTCCAGGTTACGTCTCACGGAATCGACGATGACCTTATTCAGGCATACCAAGAACAATGCGAACTTTATTTTGCATTGCCACATGAAACCAAGTTGCAGTGGAAAAGAAACGAGAGAAATGCCCGCGGTTACTTTGATGACGAGTTGACCAAACAAAGGCGAGACTGGAAGGAGGCTTTAGATTTTGGAGTTCCAGGATCACGAAAATGGACGATTGCCGATGACGACCCATCAAATTTGTGCCTCGACGGATGGAACCAACTACCCCAAGAGGACGTATTGCCCAATTTTCGATCGGTTGTCACAAAGTATTTTGATGCGTGCGCAGAACTTTCTGACAAGATATCAATACTGATGGCCAAGGGAATAGGACAAGACGAATCGACTCCTGTACTAAAGGGGTTAAGGGAATGCCACTCGAGTTATTTGAGAAGCAATTACTACCCTAAATGTAACGAGACTGCAGAGGATGGAATGAAGCCATTGGGTATCTCGCCGCACAAAGATGCAGGGTTCCTCACAGTTCTGCTGCAAGATATTGATTGTCATTCACTTCAAGTGTGGAAAGATGAACAATGGATCACAATTGTCCCTGTCCCTGGAGCCTTTACCATAAACACTGGCGACATGGCAGAGGTGTGGTCGAATGGAAAGTACAAAGCTCCACTACATCGAGTCGTGAGCGATGAAACAAAGGAGAGGTACTCGGCTCCGTTCTTTTACAATCCACCATACGATGCCCTCATCGCGCCACTGTCAAGTGAACCGATTTTCAATCCAGTGTTGTGGGGGTATTTTAGAGCTGTGCGCTTTGCTGGTGATTTGACCAATTTGGGCATTGAGATTCAGATAGAAGACTTTCTTCGAGACCGGAATTCAAAACACATTGAAACTCAAAAACTATTTGAAGAACAAGCCAACTTCAAAACTCCATTCAGTGTGGAAACGTTCAGGTCAATTCTAATTTCTGGTTAGTTTCCTAACTATTTTAGCCATCTACAGCAGTACGGTAGGCTTCTCCTCTTTTCGGGTCTTTCGACCATGGTCCGTTCTGCCCCAAATGCCGGTATTGGTGGTAGGTACCAGCTTTTGTACCTGGTACCATACTGGTACGATTTCGTTCACAACTGTCCGCCTTCTATGATTAGGACAGCACCGGTACCTGGTACGATCTTTTGGGGACCGATATCATTCGTGCCTCGTTCGGTTCGAATGAGAAAAGTCCGCTTAGAAACATCCGTAGTCGTTAAGTGTAGACTTGTTCGTCGGAAAAGGGGGTAAGAAAAGTGTGACTTTCCGAAGGAAAAATGTACCCCGGTGTTAGCTCGGTTATGGCAGCTGCACAACGACCCTCATACAGCACTGTAGATATCATGCTTCGAAGGATACCGGAAGGCCAAGCAGGGCGTTCTGTTTACGATTATGACACAAAGGATGATCTGAGGAAGGCTCTGCATTCAATGGGGACGCAGCCAGCCGCCAAAGCGTCCAGCCGTCCTTCCAGCAAAAAGGAACCAATACCCCAAACAGACACTATTGAATCTATTGGTGACCTCTTCGTAGATGGATTGGAGAAGAATCTTGATTGGATTGTTGACGGTTATGATAAAGATGCGTCCATTGCTCCTGATCTGGAGGCGGAGTTGCGCAGACTAGCTGTGCTCAAGAGCTATAGGCTTGTTGGATCCAGTAAGAATCCATCGCTGGAGAGACTCATATCCATGGCAAGCAGGATCATGCGGTGCCCCATGGCCAAAGTCAATGTCATAGATTTAGGAAAGGTGCATTTTCTTGCATCTCGGGGTCTAGGGGATACAACGGATGCACCTAGAAATACGTCGATGAGTTCACATGCAATCATTAGCAAATTGGACCTTCTAATTGTCCCAGATCTTTTGAAAGATGAAAGATTCAAAGGGCATGCCCACGTTCAAGGCCCCCCAGGGATGCGTTTCTTCGCAGCAGCCCCTTTGCAATGTCCTGAGGGCTACCGTCTCGGTACTCTAAGCATCATGGACACAGAGCCGCGTCCTGAGGGTCTGACACTGGATGAGAAGCAAAGTCTAAGGGAACTTGCAGACATGGTTATGGATGTAATGGTGGAACATCGAGAATCGAAGAATCACCAATATAGGCAGCCTGCGCAGCTTATTGCTTGCACGTCAAATGACCTCATCACACCTTTGAAGGGTGTCTTGTCAGGCTTATCGTCCATTGCGGAAGATGAGTCGTTGCGCTCATCTCTTTCATCACAGCAACAAGAACTGATAAGAACAGCAGTCACTTGTTCATCAGTGATGGGGCGAATGTGCATGAAGTCAATCCATTCTTTCCACTTGGATCCCGCAAGCGTTGGATCGTTTGGAGCCATAAATGCAAAAGGAGATGACAACTTGATGAACATTCAACGACTTGTGAAACATCTCCACACTGTCATGGAGCCGTTCCCCAAACAAGTTCCCATGGTAATTACAACAGCTCCATCCATTCCAGACATTGTCGTTGCTGACGAGTTAAAGATCTTTCGATCTGCTGTCAACTATTTGACGAATGCTTGTTCCACAACGAAGACTGGTTCTGTGCACCTAAAAATTTATCTCCGCGAGGATGAGGACAATGCAGAATCCGAGTCTCAGAATATTGTATTTTCTGTCGAGGATACAGGGCCAGGAATCAGCGTTGATAAGTATCAATACCTATTCCAACCTATGGTCGATGATAACGATCCTTTGAGTTCATACTGTGTCGATTCCTTGTTGGGATCAGCTAGCAGTGCTGCATCCAAGACCAAGATGCAATCTGGCAGCTTGGGACTTTATTCTGTGGCCATGCAAATAAAATCTATCGGTGGAAAGTACGGATTCCGGCCAAGAGGTTTCACCGAGTACGGCTCCCAATGCCTCGGTCCAAATGGTGAACCAATGAAGGGCTCCGTGTTTTGGTTTAGCATCCCACTTGTGCTTCCATCGAAACAAAAGGCTACGAAGGAACAGGACGATACATTTGAAATGAAGGACGCAACTGAGGACGATGGGGCAGTCGTCGCGCACTCCGACAACTTGCGCATGTTTGAAAGTGCCGAAGAGCTGACCGGTGGCGATCGAAGGATGCGCGCCCTCTTAATTGACGATGATGTCATCTTCCGCAAGTCAATAGCCAACATGCTGACGAAGGTAGGCTTTGACGTGGTGGTGGCCGATAACGGAGTGAAAGGCTTGCAGGCTCTCAAAGATGAAATTTACGACATTGTGTTGTGTGATTTCTTGATGCCAGTACTCGATGGGATCGATTGTGTTCGTCAATACAGGCAGTTTGAAGTTGCTCATCGGCCATGGTTCGACCAATTCATTGTGGGCATTTCTGGTCACGTGAATGAAGAGGACGTTGAGCGAGGTCTGAAAGCTGGTATGAATGACTATAGGTCCAAACCTATCACCAAAGAGGATTTGGAAGAAATCACCGAGAGCCCGGAATTCCAGTATGTGAAAGCCAGGCTAGATGAAATTGCATTTGAAAACGAAGAGGACAGTCGCGAAGTGGCGATGCAAGTGGATATGGGTGGAGGGGACGCTGAAGAAGCTTTTCACGTTTGTTTGGTGGCTACCGAGAGTGGAAGTTCTATGTCCAATATTGCAGACAAAATAGAGGAACTACCAGCATGGAAGGCAATCAATGTTGAGGGAGGCGAAGCAGCACTTCGGCTTTTGAAAATGCGGAATTGGGACGCTGTTCTTTTGGATGATGAATTGTCAGGTCTTACGAGTAGCCAATGCGTTGTGCACTTCCGAGATTGGGAACAAAAGAATCGAGTGAATAAACAAAAGCACGTTCTTCAGATCAGCTCAAGTTTCATCCCAACCGAGATGGAGTCAAAGTCGTCATCAATGCAGCTTCCTATTGGATTTGACAGCGCTTTGGGGAAGCCTCTGTCTTTCAAGCAATTGCAGAACTTTTTGAAGCAGGTTCAACAAGAGAGCAAGGGATCGCTATAGTCTACTGATAATTTCTGAGAGTAATACCAACAACTTATAAATGACATTCGCAGTCGTGTTATGAGCGTGGTACTAAAAACCAGTGCTTGCTCTATGAAGAGTGCAGTACCAGGTACCGGTACCTGGCTACAACTACCTGGTACCTGGTACTGGTAGGTACCGGTAGTGCCTAATGATATACTGTATAGAGCAGTCGTGACTCTTGTACTGTGGCTCGTACTGGTACTGTTGTAATCGTGCTGCGTACACGTACAGACAAGTACGTTTTTAGTTTTTTTGACAATATGACGTCTGGTGACCAGTGGACACGATCGATGCAATTCACGAAACCTCTTGCATCACTATTCTCCTTGTTGAGTTTCCTTGCATATCAATAAGTTGCAACCATGGCTTCCGTTACATACTCGTCGACAAGAGGTGGTCAGAAGAATCTCGATTTCCGAACCGTCGTTATGACTGGTTTGGCACACGACCGTGGATTGTTCGTTCCAGATTCGATCCCAACTGTCACTACGGAAGAAGTTGAGAGTTGGAGAGGATTGTCATATGCTGACCTCGCCGTCAAGGTCCTTTCTAAGTTTGTCAAGGAAGATCAAGTGCCAGCTGACAAGTTGGAGGACATTGTGAAGCGGTCTTGTGCTGCCTTCCGCCATGAAGATGTCACTCCTGTTATTGATGTTGCTGGACATGCTGTTTTGGTGCGTTCACGGAACTTGACACGCATTCGTGAATCCGTCGGCATTTCTCACATTAATGATTTCGCATATTTAGGAACTCTTCCATGGCCCTACATTCGCATTCAAGGATGTTGCACTACAAATGCTTGGCAACTTCTTTGAGTACTTCTTGGAAACTGGTTCCAATGGAGGCCGTCTAGCAGTTCTTGGAGCCACCTCTGGGGATACCGGTTCTGCGGCCATCTATGGTTTGCGTGGAAAGAAGGGAATCGACTGTATCATTCTTTTTCCCAGAGGCAGAGTTTCGCCAATTCAAGAACGGCAAATGACCACCGTTGAAGACTCTAACATTCACTGTGTCGCAGTGGAAGGAACTTTTGATGATTGCCAAGATCTAGTGAAGGCTAGCTTCAACACACCAGAGTTCAGAGACAGGGTAAAACTTGGTGCTGTCAATTCAATCAACTGGTGCCGTGTCCTTGCTCAGACAACCTACTACTTCTGGAGTTATCTTCGCGTCACTGATAAGGCTGAACTCAAGGACAAGCCCGTCAGTTATTCCGTCCCAACAGGAAACTTCGGAGACATCCTTGCTGGATTCTACGCCAAGAAAATGGGTCTGAACGTTGGTAAGCTCGTCGTAGCAACAAATGAGAATGATATTCTGCACCGTTTCTTCACAAAGGGAGAATATCACCGAGAGCCTATCGCTAAGAGTATCTCTCCAAGTATGGACATCTGCGTGTCCAGTAACTTTGAGCGTTACTTGTTCTTCCTTGCTGGAAACGACTCAGAAAAGCTTGCTAGTTGGATGAAGACTTTTGAGACAACCAAGAAGCTTGATATTTCGGGAGACCTGCTTCAAAAGGCTCAATCAGACTTTACCTCGGCACGGGCAGATACTAAGATGACATTGGATGTCATCAAGGAATACAATGATAAGCATAACTACGTTATGTGCCCGCACACCGCTGTCGGTGTCAGCGCTATCCGTCAGCTAGGAGAGGTGAATAGCACGATGGTCTGCTTGGCGACTGCTCATGACGGAAAGTTCCCCGCCGCTGTTAAGCAAGCGATCGACCCTCTTCCTGACGCTCCAAAGCAACTTGCCGTACTTTCAGAGCTTCCTACTCGGGTTTCTGATTGCCCAAATGACTTGAAACAAGTCCAAGAATTTATGGAAAAGCGCATCGCAGAGAGAATTGCATCACAGGCATAACGTGTTACTTGTGTAGCTATATTGATACATTCTGAACATACTGTAGTGCTCTGAATGAACCAGGCTTCATAAGAGCATACTAGAACAAATCCTTTTTTATACTAATTTAACACGATATCGTATCCGTGCATCACCTAGTAATGTCAGATAAAAAGAAGCCACTTCTAATATATAGACAAGAATTAGTGAAAACAAAATTTAATTAATCTTACTTGTACTAGAGTTGTAGGACTACTAGTAAATAGTGTACAGAACTCAAAATCAATGGTTGCCGCTTGCGACCATGACAGCGTCAACAATTTGTTGGCCGAAACTCTCCCCTGAAATGACTTCCTTGGCAAATAACCCAACGAAACCGACCATGGCAACGCGGCCAATTGCAATTTCTATCCCAGCGGATTCTTCAATGACGTTTCGCGCTTTTGGAGGGCTTGGAAGATCAATCCACTTTGGTCGAACGTCGTTTTCATCCAATGAAGCCGATCGCATTGCAGTGGTAGTTTTAGCTTGTGCGACCTTGGATCCAGCAGGGATATTACTTATCGAGAACCCCGATGTGACTTGAGACATAGTCAGTGATAGAAGAAGTTGAAGCAGTAGCGATCGAACTTGCATTGTTCTGATGGTGATGTGTGAGAATATGATTACGTGATGTGGTTTTGTGATTCAGAACTTCGGGAGGAAAGGAAGTCGAAAATTTGACACGTCAGAAAATTCCAACTGACGTGGAAATGACAGGGTTTGAATATTCAACTGGTGGTACTATGCCTGCTAGCTAGTAATGTAAGCATTGCCTCTAACTCCCGCAATCTACTACATGATGGAGCAGCCAATATTCAAGACATAGACAGCTACAATTCTATGATTATTTTAATACTCAAGTTCTCTAAATAAAAGAAGTAACAAAGATTATGAACTTTATCGGTCACCACTTTGTTGCAATGCAGCAATGGCTTTCTTAATCTCTTTGTATCTTCTGTATTGATTCGCAACGGGTCGAATGTCGGCAAAACTGGAGACTTGCCTCTTGTGCTCTTTATAGAAATCCTTCTCGTAGGATCTAAGCATTTGATGAAGTCTTCCTTTCTCTGTCTTGAGAGCAGCTAGATCTTGGGATAGTGGACCTGCTGTCGAATTGGCAGCTGCAGGAGGAGACCTAGCAGGCTTCATCTTCCCTCTGCTTCCTATTGGCGATTCGTCGCCTCCATTATCAAGACCACTGACTGGTGAGATCGTCCGTTGTGGAAGGACGGTTGTGGGTGTAGCTGCAACAGGAGACGGAACACTGGATTGACGTCCTTCTTGTTCCATTGTAGTGATTTGGCTCTTGAGAGCATTGTACTGTTCATACAAGTGACGAATGGGCTCCTTTTCAGCCTTCACCGGCATACGCTTGTGTCTCCTTGCAAAGTTCATGTCATATTGCTTCAGTTGTTGTTTCAGATCTCGTTTTCTTGCTTGCAAATCTGGTAGCGACATCCTATTGATATCGTTGGGTGAAGAAGGAGAAGAGGTAGCAGCCTTTGGGACTGGTGAAGCAAAACTATCGTTCGATGTACGTGGACGGCGAATGCTCTGGTTGGATCCCCATTGTGGTGGTAGTGGTTGACTCTTCGCAGCCAGGTCTGTGAATGGGTCTGGTTGCGTAATTGGCATGTCACTTTCTCCAATATCCGCTGGAATCTGCAATTGCTCTAATGTAGTCTTGCCAAACCCGAAGGAATCTGATCTCCCTGCCCTTCTGCTGATAACTTGTTGCATTTGAGCGTCACTGCTCTGTGACAATTTACCTCTTGTCAATGCGCCCCGCACGAGCGCTTGAATGCGGCACGCAGCATCAGCTCGAATGGCTCTCTTCCATTCTTTGTACTGGGCATATGTCGTTGCCAGCGGTGCCCTTTCTGCAGCCCCTCTTGGAGCCCGACCGTGCATCTGAATAAAGGCATCTTCAAAACGCAAGATTTGTGATCGTAATGCACGGCATGCCGCAACGGTTCGTTTTCGTTCCGCTGCAGTCGACATGACCATTCGATAGTGCGTGGATTGGTTGGTAAGTCCGCCTGATGTAGCTGAGCCAATCGAAGATGCTGATGAAAATGGCCGTTGAGGTGCATGAGATCCTTCAAAGTTAGTAGTTGGAGAAGACGCCGGTGACAGATGGGTCCGTTCGAATTGGGAGTGGAGTGGGCTTCCATGCGATTGATTGGATGATTGCTCCCTCACTGGAGTGACATTTGGTGAGTGCTTTCTTCGTGAAACTTCAGGAGAACCAATGCTACCTGTAGTCATTGGATCAGGCGGGAAATTGTCTCTCTTCGGTGATCTTGGTGGGAACACATTTGACGGTGCAAAAAAATCACCAACGCTTCCGGCATCGCTTTCTCTTGTCGGTGAGAGGGCCTTGGGAGGCGCTGGCGGTGGGGGAGGAGGAGGTTGAATGTGACTGTCAGAGGAGCTCCCGCTGGAAGCAGGAGGGAAACTTGTTGGAAAGGCATGATCGCCAAATGAATCAGGTGGGAAAGCAGTAGGAAATGCAGGAGGACCGTGTGGTGACTTTGGGGTCTTAGTAGAAAGTCCCCGAGCAGGACTTTGTGGAGGAGGTACTACCATTGCTTTGGGGCTGGCCTCAACATTTGCAGTTCTCGCATGAGCCCGCATTGAGTTCGATCTCGGTCGATATAGTGCTCTCGCAGCATCAGAGTCTTTGGTATGTGGGACAACCTTTGGCCAATCCATCGAAATCAGGTTGGATATTGAAATCTTAATTTGTCGATCCACAGCAATAACCTCCCATTCCGCTAATTGATCACTAGAACCCTTGGATGAATCCTTGAATTTGGTGGTTCTCCACCCGGCATGGCTCGTCAGTGAGCCCCCCAAGGTCAAGTGGTCATCCGATCCTGCATTCAAGTTCCGTAGCTGCATTGCTGCAGTATTGAGAGTCTGAGCTCTTTTAGTATCTGCCAAGAGGAGTTGACCTCTTTCGTACCATCCCTTGGAGAAAATCTCCATGGCACAGTCAAAAATCAATTCTGCAGCTGCAAGAATGGGCTCCATATCATTTTGATGCTTCAAACACCAAATGGCTCCGTTCGGAGGACGAATCAAAGATGGCACTACACGTTGAACAAACCGTCTTTGGTAGCGAGCTGTTCCACACATCCGCCTGATTCTAGCAAGACCCAGAATAACTTCCCCTGACGTTTGTTCCAAGGAAGTAATCAGCAACGGCGTCAACGCGGCTTTGATTTCGGTTCGATTGGCCATTGGTCGATCACTATTGAGATGGGAGACTGGTGACGTAGGATCGCTTCGATTGGAATCCAGCAATGCCACACCTGCGGCAACAATTCCTTCGTAACATTTGGCCATTCCTTCAATTGATTCCAAAGGATTAAACGATAAACTTTCCACCACAAGCGCAGCTGCTGTGGAGGGTGTCATTGGATGCTCAAACCTAGAGACTCCAGCATGGATTGCATCACGGGTATCCGTTTCGTCCCTCTTCAATGCCTCACTCACAGTCCCGCCTCGTGATTCAATCAACTTTCGCTTTTGCTCTCGTTGTACTCGCCGCAGTTGTTTTGTGATCATAAAGGCGTGATTCTGTTTGCTCTTTCGTGTCTCCACTTGTAGGTACGATCTGGCGAGCGTTGTATCTACAGCAGAAATGCTATCAAAATATCTCAATTTCCGTCTATTGAACGGAAGTTTGCCGCCATCTCCTCTTGCTCCTGACATGGTACCCGCTCCAGCAGCACCTTCTGCACCGTTAGAGGTAAAGAGTGGTTCCGACAATCGATCATATTTCTTTTCGTCGTCCAAAACTGGCGAGTCTTCCTTCATCAACTCATCCACCTCCAAAAGATCGTCATCATCTCCGCTGCTAGCCTCCTCATCACTTTCCATATCAAAAGTATTAGTTGACATGAGGAATTCCTCTTCTTTTGCTGGATAACTCTCCAAAGAAGCTGCTCCCACCATTCGATCTACTCCAAAATAACCTCCGGTATCGGCTGACGTTTGAGATGTTCTTCGATCGTAGTTGGTGCGCATAGTTTTAGATTTCTGTCTCAGGGCCACTTTTAAACTGCGTCGTGCCCTTCCCGGTGGACACAAGCCCAGCTGCGTTCTAACCCCCATGCGAATTGCATTCTGACAACACATTAGAGCCAATTTGGCCGAGTGGCACGGTTTGTTCGTCAATGAACTGCTTTCTGGTGTTTGCGGATTTCCTTGCGAATTGCTAACATTGGACGCTGAAGCTCCTTCTGCTGAGGTTCCTTTTGTTACGTCATCTCCTACTTGACTGTTGTTCGAAGAAGCAAAACCAGCAATGGTTCCCTTCGATCGTCGCCTTCTAAGATTAGCTTTCGAAAGCATTGTAGCTCGAGAAGAGAGTGTAGAAGATGTCGTCGAAGATTCAATGCTAACAACTCCAGAAGACCTCGATACTACCATACTTTGGCTTCGCAAGGAAGCGGAGCGTTGTAGTAGTTGGAGACCTATCTACGGTATACAAGTGCAGTACTCCAGTCTATAAACAGTAGGTATGTCGAGCTTGATCCCTGCATTCATTCGACTTCGACACACGTCTCTCTTCCCAGAACAAACAGCAAGTTGTCTAAAATAGTTCATCCTGGGATGAGGCAGGCGCTTGCCAGATACCTTCCATCGTTTACACCATCTGTGTACTGGATGTCCACGTGGACGATTCATTCGAGTCGGCGAGGCTGCCTCTTGCAACGGACGTCCACGCTTCAAGCGTGCCTATCAATTGAGTTCGTTAGAGTCATTGCACATTGCCGGCCAGCCGCTTTTGAATTCGGTTGGATCCATTCGAATGAAATAGGATCAATGAAGGACTGAGTCAGTCCATTCCCAAATTAGGATAGACGACCAGACACAGTTTACCTCTTTCCTGGCCTACTAAGAAGTTTTTGAATCCTTCGACCAACCCCCTTCCCAAGTCAATACTTCGTTGATACCGCAAACCATAACCACCATGACTGCTGTAAGTCTTTTTCAATCAAACCTGTTCTCAGAATCACCTATGCAACAACCACGACGATGGGAAATTTGGATAGAAAGATTGCAGTTGTTTTCAGCAAAGGAGCCGGACTATGAGTTGCAGTACTTTCCTTTTTTCTGTTGAAAGTCTTATCATTTGAAGGAATGTTGGTCTCACCTGCTTTTTTCTCTTTTTTGTAAACTTTAGACTCCTCGTTATTACCCTGCTGAAGACGTCAAGCCTGCCAAGGCCGTCCACAAGGTCAAGCAAAACGTAAGTTCAACGAATGAAATATCAGGAGAAATTTGGTGTGGTGATTAAAACACGATTCTCATGTTAACCTCCACCATTCTCTTTAATCGTAACTATGATACTATAGCCACCACGAGTGAGAGCATCCATCACACCTGGAACCGTTCTTATTCTGCTTGCTGGCCGATTCAGAGGAAAGCGCGTGGTCTGTTTGAAGGCGTTGGAATCCGGGCTTCTTTTGGTTTCAGGACCATTCAAGATCAATGGAGTTCCTCTTCGCAGAGTCAACCAAGCTTATGTTATTGCCACCTCCACAAAGGTTGATGTTTCGAAAGTAGATGTCAAATCCATCACCGATGAACACTTCTCCAGAACCAAGGACGCTGCCAAGGATGGGGAAGAAGAATTTTTCATGGGAGATGCCCCAAAACAAGCCGTTGTCTCTGATCAACGCAAAGCAGACCAAAAGAAGGTCGACGACGCACTCACAAAGGCTGTCTCAGCCGTTCCCATGTTGGAAGCATACCTTGCAGCCCAATTCACACTATCATCCGGTGATAAGCCACACCTAATGAAGTTCTAAATAAACTAAAACTAACAAATGAAAAAAAGGAATGAATAATTCTCGGAAAAGCGTATGTATCTGTTTGCAATGCTTCGACAGGGTTATTTGTTGAGAAAGCTCTTTGGGGTGAAATATTTTTTTCCAATTGGGTGGGTTTGGGACCCGATAGTAATTTATTAGTCTGAAACAATCGATGATTCGGGATGTTGAGGTCATGGCCAGCTTGTGTTTTGCAAGTTCAAAGTAGCTTGCATACCGGTAACAATAACAGCAGTTGGGACAAAGGGATCGATTCAGAATCTAGAAGCAAAGATGAAGTTCTTGTGACTATTAGAATTGAAAAATCCAACGTCCTCGCTGTTAGAATAGATAGGTAATAGAGTGGTATTTTAGTAACTAGAACAAATAGGAATCAATCAAGTCCAGCTTTCTCTCGACTTCCATGGAAAAGCAGAGCAACTTTTAGAAACTAAAATAGAGACGAATGAATGATCGCATCTTAGTTCTACTTTGCAGTGACAACATCAGTATCATTTAGCCTTTGCAACATTTATCCATCCTAAACCAACTTCTCCTTCCAATTCTATGTTTTTAAAGCAATCGGAACCATACAGTTTGCTCTATATTCCACAAAAAGCCTAAGAGTTTACATGAAAATGGTGGAGCTTCTACTAGAAATATATTAGTGGCTAGCGAGCTCCGACACTGCCCAACCATTGGGCATCGTGCTGCACTTTCGTGCATACTAAAGATACAATTTGATTTGATTTGATTTGATTTGATAGGAATGGACTTCCACGGCTTTACGCCATAGTTCCACCTTGCTCTGCAAGTCCAGGACCCGGTCCAATTCCTTTCGTGAGCTCTCGGTGCAGCTTTCCGGCGTAGAAAGCAAGCCCAATGGTGCCAAAGACAAAAAATGAAAGGGCAAGCTTTTGACCACTGGTTGTAGTTGTTCCACTGCTTGAGAGGTTGGCACCAGTGACAACGATTTCACCGTAGTCATCGTAGCTTCCTGCCTTGATAGAATCAATGAAATCACACACGATTTCTTCTTGTGCCAGCTGATTTTGGTAATCACTGTCGTAGTTGGCATATCCATTATCAAAGCCATGGGCCTTTTCGCACTTGGCTGATTCTTGGTAGAGCTCGTCACACATATCGTTTGCTTGACCACCATCATCATTTCCGTTGTTGTATGCTGCACATGATACACAGTAGCCATCGGTGTACACAGTCTTCAATAGAGCATGAGAAAGCTTTGATTGAGTTCCATCATCGCTCATGAGGTAGTCGTCAACATCCTTGTCCGCGTCCAGAATGCTACAGTATTGATCAGTGAAAACTCCAATCTTAATCTTGTAGCCAGAACTTGCGCACATTGGACCAGCATACAGTGCGGTCTTGTCATCGTCTTCAGGATCGTGGATCACTGTACATTCCAAGAAGTCCGTTGCGTCTCTGTATCCATTCTTTTCCATGTTCTCAATTTTACTACATTCTTCGTAGCAAGTATTGCAGTTGAGTGAGTACGGGTAATTTTCCAACTTGCGTTGGGCCCCATCGTCGTCGCCATTATTGTTGTATTGATCATCATCAAAGACACAGTTGTTCTGGCAAGCATTGCACATCGCTTGTTGAATTCCCTTTTGGTAATCAACAGTAGCGGCGAGGTATGTTTCTAGATCAACAAGATATTCACCGTAGCCGTTGCTGCAACTTTCGCAGTTGTTGTCAGGGCATAGTCGGAAGACGATAAATCTCTTTGTGGCAAGAACTGTTGGCATGTCTTCATCAGCAGCTAGATCATCATCGTAAGACTTGACAAATTGACACTTTTGGAATTTGACAGAATACTGAGAAATATCGACCTCATAGTTTTGATCCAGCCTTCGCTCAAGCTGGGAATTCTTGGTTGGCTTGGCACCCTGCAATAGTTCTGATACATATTTTCCTTTTGGATTGTTGGGAGACTTTGGTTGACGAGAGATCTTGGCCGAAACCATTGAAGCACTTAGCAGAGCAAAAATTGTTGTGAACTTCATAATTCTGTCTATCCTCTTCTGCGTCCATGCGTGAAAGAAAAACAAAAGGTAAGACTCTGATTCGCATTGAAATATAGCACTTATTGATATAACAAACGTTGCCGAATATGTTGTAGCTCGTTCCATCGCCACATCTTCTACAGATACTTCTTGTAATGCAATCGTCTAGAGTGTTGTTGTGTTGTCTATACTCCAATAGTCAGATTCCACAGGTGCATCATCTTGGAAGATTCAATGCTCTGCCCATCAAGATATTGGAACTGCATGATAATCCTCACCTTTACTGCGCTTTGAAGCGAAAGGTTGCGCTGAATGGTATTGTTCAGTGCTTTAGCAACGTCAAGCTATTGACTACTTTTTCCGATTGTCTTTTTCGCAGAAAAGAGCGATCTCACAAAACTGAGGTTACTATCCGTTTTTTCGAGCCGGACAGCCCTAAATATCTCGTCGCTAATTTTCTTTTCACGTAAAAATATCGTGGAAGATACTCTTACCGCCCCGATACCGTTAGAATTTTCACGAGCCGAGCCACCAAGGCAACGATAAGTTTTTCGAACGCTGTGAAAAGTCAAAGTTGAGCAAAGGAAGTGGAAAATACTACAACCAAAGCAATTCGGTAAGCGACGATGACGTGAAATTCAATCAACAATAGACCGATTCGCAAGTAGGCAACAGACTCTCGCAGCTTTGCTCAGCATGCGAATGCGACAGTGTTTCTTGATACTGGCGAACGGTTGGACCATTCTGAATGATAACTTGATCGCCAAAATACTTTCCAAGAATATCAGCTTCTGATTTTGTTCTAACCTTCATCTTTCTTTTTCTTGATAGTTTTCAAAATGAGACATCTTTTGTCTATTCTTTCATTGGGTGTCGTCACCGCCACGATGCCAATTTATGGCAATCCTAATGTTGCTGCACATAGCAGGGAATTGGCCATAGACACCATTCAGGCTGACTCTGAATTGGGGACAAAATTGCTAAGCCAAGCTCGTAGGCTAGATGATAGCGGTGTTGATATGTCATGGGTGGTAGGCTACTCGATCAAGTTTCAGGGCTGCCATCACGTGAGTCAATGGAACGACGATGCAGACGAAAATGATCAAGTTCGAATTCAAACAAAACGATTGATCCGTTTCCGGTTATGCCCCTCTGATTACTGTTCAACGTCAAGTTCGGGCGGGTGCAGTTCTGGATACGGCGATTACATTATTGATATGAACTCTTTTCTGGATGTCTACTTTGAGGCCGTTTCGGAACAAAACCAATACACATGTCAAAACGCTTACAGCAACTGCGATTGTCAAAACAATGGAGCTGATGACTACAACGAAGAAATGTGCTACTACGATTGCTACAATGCCCAAGGTGTTGCTGACATTTGCATGGACAACAATCCCTACGATGAAGACGGACAAAATCAACAGAGGTTCCAAATTCAGGATTATGCTGATTGCCAAGAAACAAATTTCAACAACAGACGCCAATTGGACGATGCAGGGAACGATCAAGGAGAAAATCAGCAAGAGGATAATCAAGATCAGCAAGATCAACAACAGCAGGAAAACCAAAACCAATACTACGAGGAAAATGCCCCAGAGTACTACATTGGCCCTTACTGTTCGGAACAAGGAGGGTCTATCTACCTTGGACTATTCTATGATGATACTTGCACAACTTTTGCAGACAATAAGGGAGGATCATACACCTTCAAAACTCTGACTGGGCAAGAGCTTCCATATGCGTCCAAGACTATCATCACCCACGACTGCGTGTCATGCCAACAGGTAGACAATGGCGAGAACAACAACAACTACAACAATTACGGAGTCAGCGATGTTTGCGGACAAATCTACGAAGAAGCTGGAAAGTGTGAGAAGCAGTTGTATTCAGCAGGAGTCGTTGCCTATCCGAATCAAAATGCCTGCAACTACATCAAGGGTATTAAAGTTGTCAGGAAAGATGGAATCATCACTCAAGTTGGCTCCAAGGCCGATAAGACTGCTTCGATATTCATCGGCATTTTTGTTGTTGCATTTGTTCTGCTTGCGGCCTATGTCTATTATTTGAAAACGAAACTAGATAGAGTTTCCATCAACCTTGCAGAGTAAGAAACCACCAAGCGTGAGTGATGTGTATGCTTCAACCCGAGCTCAGTCTTTTCCAACTCTTTCATCACAATTACAGCAAATTGTAAATGTTTCTACTAGTATTATATAAATTGAATAATCATCGAATGTTTTCGCCCTCTCCATGTACCATGCTGGTACTTTCCAATTCTTTTCTTTGGCAGGTTAGAGGTTAGATATGGTACTGTAGACAGGAGAAGTACCGGTAGAGTGCAGAGTAGATCGCATTCAGATAGCACAGGTAGATAATAGCATACCGGTAGAATAGAATAGAAAGTATAGGAGCAATCCGACTAATATGACCACCAACAAGATCTCCGGTTGAAGACTTCTCGTTGAAACAAAAGTCATCGATCTTCCATTTTCAACGCACCATTCTTCGATCCTCGTTCCGAATATGTCAGGCGTTAATGTTGCGGGTTCTTCCCTGAAGTATAGAAATTTATTGGTTGTAATCAAACAAACCGCCTTCGAAGAGTATTCCCAATTAAAACTGCGTGGTCAGGCTCCCAAAGCACTGCGATGGAAGCGTTTGGAGCAGCGTTACAAGGCTCACAAAAAGTGTGTCAACGACTTGTTAGGTGTGCTGAGGAAACAAGAAGTTGGGTTCAGCTGTGTCAATCGAGTAGAGTTGGATCGTCAGCATCTCGCTGATATCGACCTTATGGTGGCGGTTGGAGGAGATGGTACAGCCTTGAGTGCCGCTCATTTTTTGGACCATGGAACGATTCCGTTGTTGGGCGTAAACTCGGATCCGAACGTATCGCTTGAAGACACCAATACGACAAAGCAGGTAGATGAACGAAGGTATGTGGATGGTGAAATTATAATATGATACTACTGCATGGCGAATATGTCAGGTGTCTGACTTTTTTGTTGTTGTTTCTTCAATTCTTGATTGCATTGTTTTTAAATATCTGGTAGATCACATGGTGCCTTGTGCATGTGCACAGCACAAGATTTGAATGAGAGCCTACCTAAAGTTCTGTTTGGGGAAGCTGAGGACCACCTCACGAAACGGACGAGAATTCGGTGCAAAGTGAAGTCGACCTTTTCGGAAACGAGGCTGGTACCAGCCTTGAATGATTTGCTTATTTCCAATCCTAGTCCCGCTGCAGTATCTCGTTTCCGTATGGGATACTTGGAAGAAAGTCAAGACTCAGACAAGCCAAAACCACAGGAGTACGGCACCGTGACAAGGTTTGCGGGCATTCCATACGATGTTACTCGGAGTCTGAATGTTTGGTCCTCTGGATTATGGGTTAGTACTAGCACTGGGTCTACTGCTGCAATGGCAGCTGCTGGTGGACAAAAGATGGGTTTCAATTCCGATGATCTACAATACTTGATTCGTGAGCACATGATGGAAAATGCGAGCGAGGATGTGACAGCAGATGTTAACAATCGAATGCTGGTCAATGGCGAAAAATTGCACCTTCGATGGAACTCGCAACGTGGACGAATCTTCATTGATGGCTCGCATCTGACGCACAATTTGGAACTTGGGGACGAAATCATGATTGACAATAATGGTAGGTTTCGGTATATGCTGTGCGTGTGTTGGATGCTATGATTATTGTTTCCGTAATGAAAGAACGTTTCTCACCTCATTGATTGATAGCCCCCCCCCTTCCAATGTACATCCCCAAGTCGACGACAAGGTGAAACTGAATTGAGTTGTAGTGTAGTTTAATAAATTTTCGGTTCAGCAATTGAAGATGTATCATCGCAGCCGCCAACCTATTGGGAATAATTGTTGCAGATTGTGTTTGAAGTCTAGAAACTCCGCTTTGAAGCAGAAAACTCGCCTTAGTGTTGTTGCTGCAGTATGGTGGGAAGGGGTGGTGCTGCAGTATCAACTAGCTTCTCCTTGTCATAATCTGCAATCATGCATACATTGTCACCTCGAATCACATACAATCCCAATTCAACCGTTTCCACAGGTGCATCGTTTGAATAGATCCTTTCTTGTGCATCTTCCAAGATGACATTTTGAACTTGATCATTCCCCACAAGATCCCCCATGATTGTGCGACCGTCACTAGTCACCACACAAATTGCCTCTGTTTACGTAATGAATGAAGAAACGGTGAGGAAAAACATGAACGAATCTTGATGGTGGAGAATTTTCATACTACGATGCATCCACTCACTGCCTTTCCATTCCTGAATACTCGATGCCATCCTTCGTTTCAAGTCCCGTAATACGCTAGTCAAATTTTCTCTGCTCTGTTCTTTCCTGTCAAGATAGGTGGTACAATGGCCAAGGGAATGATCTCTTCACTCCTCGACTGCATGTGCCTCCAATGTTTTCTGTCAGTATACCAAACGCGGACGTCGGGCAGGCAGAACTGACTGAAAATCATCGATGGAACAATCAAAATTCAAATCATATTTTCAATCTTCTTCCAATGATGCCACTTCACAGGAGAAACATTCCTGCGAAAGAAGATGACGCTTCCGATGATGTTCGAAAACCCGAGCCTCAGGTGTCTATACAGAAGAAAACAGACGTCTCAGCACCATCCAAAAGCAAGAGATCCCGGCTGATACTGTTGGCCATTGCCAATTTTCTCTTTTTGGGGTTCGTGTCGACGAAGTACAAGTTCAAGTCCACATCCCAGTTGACTGCGATCCTTGCGACAGCTCAGCTTATGTTTATTCCAAGCTTGCTGTCACTGGCTATCGGAGTCTTCGATATGTCATCCTCAGCACTGCCTCATCAGCGATACATTCCATTAGCGGCGGTAGGGACCATCGTCGGCAACCTACTACCATCCTACTTGAGCAGTGCTCTGGCAAATCTTGCAATCGTCATCTTTGGGCTTTCATCAAGACCTCTTCCAAAGAAGGATGACGAAGTGGTTCAAACTCAACAAAAATCGGACTTTTTAGCGGGACCATTGGGGACTGTGCTGGCGGCCTTTGTCATGACAACAATGCTCTTGATTGAGAATTTTTGCATCTGGGTTGTTTCAGCGACCTACAAGGCGAGTCAGAATAAAGAAACACTACCAGCTCCTCTACAAGACAATGGTCAACTAATCATGAGATACTTCTTCACTTCCGTCATGGAAGTGTCCAAGAAAGAAGTGGTCAAAGTCCGGAACAAAATCAATGTCGAATGGATCTTGGTATCGGGGTTAGGACTAGCCATTGTTGCTCTCGAAATGGATGGGGGTCGGATGAAACGAAGTTTGTGGGGAGTTGGTAAACGAGCTCTCTACACCCTGGGCATTGCGCGAGGGATCCGAACTTTCAGCTTTCTCATTACGGTTCTTCCCAGTCAGAATCCAAAATGTTATTTTTCGCACTTTCCTACACCGCCACCAGATGAATGGATTCCATGGATCGTGGAAGGATTCGTTCCACAAGCCAACGGAGGATGCAACGATTTGATCGTGAGTGGACATGCCACAGTGACATCGACATTGGCTTGCATGGTGACAAGCGTGGTGGGAGAACCCCTGTTCACGGCGGCAATTTGGATGTTTGTTACTATGGATTACATGGTGGAGGTTTACGAAGGCTTTCATTACTCAGTTGGTGCGTATGATATCGATTGCTGCATCGATTCGTTTGATTTCGTCTCCTATGCTGCACGGATTCCAAACTTATACACGATCCTTTTACTCTTTTTCATACAGATATGTGGCTTGGAGCCATCCTGGTCAATTTCATTTGGAATACGCTAGCTTCCGTAGAAAATTCTGCGAACCGACGACAAGAGTTAGCACCAAAGAAAGCATTCATTCCGTTGCAAGATGCTACAATCTCCGATTTTATGAAATATTCTGTTCCTGCAGTTGGTTCTTATTTACAATTGAATGGGATCATACCAAACGATTACGCGAATTACACGATCATCTTGTACTTCTTGGCTGTTGCCTACCGGATATCGAAAATTGGATTTGAACAATATTCACAACACAGCTTGATTTGTGTTCTATTCCTGGCCATTGGCATCTACGTGTGAAATAACAATTCAAATTATTGCTAGATAATATTTTTAAAATACATAGACACAACAAAAGTTGTAGCTCAGAATTGGCTAAGAATGTGAAGTGTATTCGATTGCTTTTTTCTTTCTTGGTCACCCTCGCCAACAGTCAAAATCGATCTAGAATTCCCATCTTAGTCGCAAACATCCAGCATTCGTTGCAGGGCTTCTCGATTCACTGGCTTTCCGATGATCCTGTCTATGCCATCGGGAGCGATGAATGACTTCGATGAAGTCGTTTGATCCAAGTTTTCACTCATCAAGACAATATTCCCCTGGCGGGTGACACGCTTCTTCGATTCCCATTGTCGGAACTCTTCAATCAACCCCGCAAAGGAGTCGTCTACCAAAACAACATTCCAAGTTCGCATCTTTAGTAGTGTCCATGCATCATCATCGCTGTGGGCCTTTGTCGATTGCCAATTGCATTCCTGTACGGCTTTCTCTGTCATCTCCGTGTGCATGGCTGTGGAACTCGACGCGAGTATCAAGCAAGTACGTTGTACTCCAAACTCTGGCTCCATAGAGGTCTTCCTTCGTTTTCTGATTGGCTGCTCTTGAACTTCTTCCAGCGCCTTTGTTGCAATTGTATCTAGTCGCTTGCAGGCTGCAATTTGATCGTCCGTTGCAAGAAGATCAGTCAGATGTTGAGTGGTGATCGGCTTTGGCAGAAAGTCATCCATTCCAATCCCTCGACCCCGTTCGACATCTAATTCCGTTGCATGCGCTGATATGCCAACAATTCTTTGGGTGAACCACGGACGGTCAACTTTTTCCCACACTCTATATTGCTGAATACAGTCCAAACCGTCCATGATGGGCATGAGGAAATCGCATAGCGTAATATCAAATAAGGTATTTTGCAGTTCTTCCAATCCCGCCATTCCATTTTCGGCTTCAATGACATCATATCCCATTTTTGTCAAAGCCTTTACCAGCATTTTTCGGACCATTTCAGAGTCTTCAATTACCAGCGCGCGCTTTTGTCGTTCAACAACCTGATTCTTCGTGATTGCTGATTCAGAGGAGCCACCAAGCATGCTTGATATGGCATTGTGAAACCTGGATGCATCTGCATGGGTAAGCTTCGTCTTTTGCATCTTCCTTGGAAGCAAAATTGCTTCTTCTTCCTTTGTTAATGGTAGGCTGAAAGGGGTGCTGAACCAGAACATTGATCCCAATCCATTGCTCTCGGAATCTCCAAGTTGGCGAGCGCGAAAACCAAACTCCCCACCAATTACATCCATCTGACAAGCCACTGAAAACAGCGCCAACTCGAGACTGACTTGCTCATCATCACCATCATTGTAGGATTCCAAGTTGGATGAGACTGGTTTGAAGAGCCGCTCATAAGCATCCAATTCAATCGATGGGCCAGTGTCTTCGCACTTCACTACTAGTGATGCTCTCTTGCGTTCGTCGTGCTTCTCCACAGAAATGGTCATTTTAACCATTCCCGTCTGGGTCCGTGTGGCGGCAACTACCAAGTAGTTCATGGCACAGCGAAAGATCTTGGACCCATCGGACAAGATCTCTTTTGGAACATCCGAATCGACCGAAATCTCAACAGGTACCTTCTTGGGCATTGGTTCCAATATTGCGTATAGCTTCTGGACAAGGTCATCAATGTTCACAGTTTCAGGCATGGACATACTGAATGCACTTTCGAACGCACTCTTTGTTTCGGTAAATGTTGTTTGAACATTTCTACAAATCTGCTGAAGAATGTCGGAGCACTTTGAAGCTTGTAGAATACCCTTTTTGTTTTCTTCTGACAGTTTTTCCATCAGGGCTTCGTCATCTTTCATGAGAGACAAACTCAATTCGATTCCAGAAAGAGGTGTCAAGAGATCATGCGCCGAACAGGCAATCAATTGAGAGTTCTTTTCTGTTTCACGTTCTCGTTTTTGTCGTCTTGCAACTAAAATATCGACAGCCATGGCGCTCATTTCCCTTAGATTCTGCTTGGATTCAAAATCGAGTCCCTCTGGACGTGTCTTGGTATCGATAATGCAAAATGTCCCCAACTTGTACCCCTCCGGTGCAATCAATGGAGCTCCAGCATAGAATCGAATGTTTGCCTCACCGGCAACAAATGGATTATCCATGAATCTTGGATCTACTGATGCATCAGGAATTATAAATAGGTCGTTCTTGCTCAAAATCGCGTGCGTACAGAACCCAAGGTTTCTTGGCGTCTGTCGAAGATCTCCCAAACCACGATTGGACATGAACCACTGCCTGCCAAGATCGATCAGACTCACAAGCGCAATGGGTGTTCCAAATGTACGACTTGCTAATGCTGTAAGTCGCTCGAAAGGAAATTCGCGCTCACTATCCAGAATCAAATAAGATCTTAAAATCTGTAATCTGGCAAGCTCTTCTTCAAGAGACTGAGGTTTCGATGCTGCGGCATCGTAGTTTGTGAGCATCCAATCCATGCTATCATTGGCTTCAGAAGCTGTAGGTGCTGTCTCCTCATTGACGTCCATCTCCGTGGACGTCTCCATGGCTAGCAACAATGGAAAGGGTTCGTTCAGTTTCGTCCTATCTTGGTACGACACTGTTGATTAGAGAACAAACCTCAACATGCATGCCTGAAATGTATAATGAGGGATGTTGAATGTATTGGGTCGTTTCTCCCCTAAAACGGGAAAACACGCATCAAAGTCTGTCAGTGGTGCGTCAGAGTTCCTTTCGTAACAACAGCAACGGCAACTGAAACACTTGACAAAGCTTCAAGGATCCTTCCTCATTCAAAGTAAAGGAAACGTGAGTGTCGACGATATGAGAGCTAGAAGCTTGGGGAGAGCAGTGCGGAATCTGTTTTGGAGGAAATTTTCAATTCGAGTCCATGCAAAACCATGCTCCACTCAAGTATTTTAATCCAATAGGCTGTATTCTACTTTTTCTAACTGTCTTTCTCTCATCTTGAAACAGTGATTTCACAATGCCACACTGGGAGGGTCACGAGATCGGCGTTCTGTCGACACTTGCGGGTTGCGCAGGAATCCTGCATGGATCCATGCCAAAGGGATGGGTACGATCATTCATCCATCGTCAACCAGTTCCAGCCATGTCCGTCTTCATGTTCAGTGTAGGTGTACTTCTGCCGGTAACTGTTGTTCCGCTTCGTCGCGCAATTGGACTCCCAACAAACCAATATGATGCTGAGCACCCCAAGGTTAAATACCCCAAATTTGAAGCTTTGGAGTAAACTGGAGCATACTGGATGGATAACACTACCTCAATCTTGTAAGCTATTTTAAAATAAATTATATACGCAGAAGTTCTTTTTGTCTTAGATCAAATGTAGACTGTGATGAAATTGCAACCATGCATTATGGCGGTTATCTGTGATGTAGTCTATATTTCTCGGCTTAGACAGAATCTATGTTACAATTCTTCAGCTTCTCCAAATATTGCAGTAAAAAGACCTTCTATCCCAAACTTCGCCACTATTCTAGAATATAGCACATGCGATACTACAAGGAAGAAAAAGGAAACGGATGCCATCAGCACTCTTTGCTCGTGCTGTTGGGCCCGTTCCAGTCCTTTCAATGCTTTCCCAGCCTTCTTAATATCCAAGGATTTGTGATGGTCCATTGTTTCTTGTAATCGTTTCCCATCTTCTTCAATTGCGGCGGCCAGATTGGATACTCTTTGGGATTCATTCTTGAGCAGCATTTGGGTTCTCATCAAGGATTTTTGCAATATTTGCGCTTCCGATGCAGTAGATGATTTCTTCTCAGGACGGCTGGAAAATATATCTTTTCGTTGATTCCGCTCCCTTTGGCTCCTACTGGCGCGGTGATTTGCTGTGTTCATTGGCATTGACATGATTATCTGCTTATCTGTTGCGTTGTTGCGTCGTGATTCGTGATCATTGTGAAAATTCAAAGTTATACAGGAAATAATTGTGGTGCTTTTCTTTGATTATCTTATTTCGATCACGTATTTACGTATCAGAATTTCTTTTTGCGTATTGCAATGTATTGGAATACGTAAACACTCCCTTGACAACAGGATTACTTTTGAGTTGTGTATTGAAGTTATTGCTGTATTGAATTATTCTAGTATGGTCTACCGTAGTGAGAGGGAGGACCACCGCCACCACCGGGTGGTTTTACTGTACCACCGTAGGTCAAGTCAAAACTAGTTCCAAGACGGCCAGTCTCCTTGGCAAAGTTAATTCTCAGTACTCCGCCATTCAGCATTGTCCCGGACAACGCTTGACGAGTTTGAATTGCAGCCATACGATCAGATGTGTTTACAAAACTAAATGACCCTTTCATAATGATCCCAATAATGGTACAATATTGACCAAAAGTCTCCCGAATTTGGAGCTCCGAAGTGCCAGCACCGTAACCAGCAACGAACAAATTCTTTGTTGCTGGGTTCCCACGATCATCTCGGACATTCTCGCCTTGAGCCATGGGGGCTGGAGTTTGCATCGAAGGAACACCGGGTACACTGCCGGCCTGCCCATACATCCCCATATTGCTCATTCCATTCATGCCAGCATTGCCATAGGCGGAAGCACTGCCATTTCCACCTGAAGGTGCACTATCACGATTCTTTCTTTGAGCCATGTTAATGCGGACGGGTGAACCGCCCAGTAGAGCTCCAGTTAACGATTCGCGGGCCATTTTCGCGCCCTCTGGATTGCTCGTGTTTACAAAACAGAAAGTTCCCTTCATTACGACTTCGTCAACTTGAACGTACTGGGAGAACAAGGCAATGATTTCTGCCTCCGTTGTCGAAGGACCGTAACCGCTCAAATGCAGATTTCCTTCTGTGCTGGTTCGGGCTTGGTAGCCGCCGCCAGTCCTTGGAGCACCGCCTTGTTGCCAAGAACTGGATCCACCGTACTGGCTTTGTATTGGTTGGCTTTGTCCATACCCACCGGAAGTGGGTCCGTACGCACCCCCACCAGATGAGCTACCATACTGCTGCTGCATCCCCGATCCGTAGCTAGACGACGGAGTTGGTTGCTGATAACCTCCAGCAATTCCTCCTTGCGGCGGCGTAGGGGCAATATTTTGTGTCAATGTTTGCACAAGACTGGTGATTCGTGTTTGGTCATACATCCCGTTTCCATCGACGAAGGTGCCAAGCAAGGTGGGATTCCTTGCCAGGGTTTCCAGCGCTTGAACGTTTTGTCCGACGAGGAACATTGGTAATCCAAGAGACTGAACAACTTCGGGAGTTGCAACAGCTGAGGATTGATTTAATTGAGGAGGCATACCCATACTGCTTGGTGGTGGAAGGCTTGCTGGGGGAGGAGGAGCATAAGAAGTATGTTGTGGGACAGGCGCTGGCGCCGGTTCCGGTACAGGAGCTTGCGGTGGAAAGAAAGGAATGGGCTGTAGAACAGCTGAAGTCTGAGATGCCATATCAAGCGCCTGTTCTACATCACTAAGTGGAGCGGGATTGCTGGGAACGGATCCTTCAAAGTATGTCGCAGCCGCAGCGCTAGCAATCCTAGTAGACTGAGTTGCAATTTCAAGCGAGTTCACTTGCGGAGGAACTACATCATCCAAAGCTGGCAACAAAGCCGGAGCGTGCCAATCAATCGTTGTTTTGATTGTTGGTAAACTACTGGCCGTTGTCATCGGCATGTCATCATCATCGTCATCCATGAGTTTCGATCGCCTGAAAATCAAAAAGTGAGCTCGATGTCGGAGGATGCCATACCAGAATCAAGGCAATGTCCTACACTTACTTTGCTTTTGCCAACAATTCCTTTTCGCGTAGACGGTCACGTTTGCGACGATCAGACATGTCCGATGGCTCCGCACCTTCAATTTTCACTTCAACAGTACTACCATCTAAATATGCGATTATGTTACCCCCAAAGTGATCGGACCATTTCACTCGCTTCATCTTCTTATTGTTTGGCCCAGCAATCGACGATAGAACTGCAAGACGAAAAAAGAAGGTCAGCTAAAGGCGCTTCGCAGGAGAAGGCTATGCGAACAAAACACCGCTTACTTTTGCTTGCACTTCCTGCTATTTGTCCTTCTTGCGATTCAGATTTTGATGCGGCTTTTTCAATTGCGGCAGCTACTTTTGGAAGAGTTTTTGGATTGACCTTTTTCAGCAAACTAGAAAACGAGCTCTCTGTCTTAGCTTTCTTTTTGATAGGCTCACTGGTCGGAGCAGCAACTTCGCGCTTAGTTCCAACGGTGGCTGGTTTTGCTTCCTTTCGTGCCTTTACAGATTTGTTCCAAGCTTCTTTGAGTAATTTAGTTCGCTGCTTAATGGGGTCCTCGTTCAGTGTTCCGGCATAAATTTTATGTTTATCTAAGGATCCAATAGCTTTACCCATTCCAGAGTCCTTGACTACTGACTTTGTAACGGGAAGGTTTGTAATATTTGTTAGCATATGTAGGAGTAGATCGACGCCACCTATAATGAAGCAAATATCGAATTGGGTGTTGGAAGACAGTCCACTATTTCAAGTTTGAGATTGTTCACAGAACGAGACTTACCGACGGACTTGTTGAGAAGATCGTCTAACCATTTTCTTGTAGTTTTCAAGAAGCCCTGTTCCAAAATCTGAGACAGCACAGGGCTACTAGTTGGGGTTGATCCAATGATTGCAAGTATAATGCATCGACGATAAGAGAGTACTGTGCTCCTATCACCTGTAACGGGAGCAGTATTCGTAGCCATCTGTTACAAGAAACAAAGGAATCGCAAAGAAGTCAGAGAGGCATGATATGGTTAGGGTAACGAGAGACACAGTACGCTTCAAAAACCACCGGTTTGAACGACAATAAAACAGCGCAAGCTTCCTTGGGATGAAGGTCTACATTTCGGCGTACGTCAAGCCCCGAGCATTACTCTCAACGTGTGAAAGTGAACAAATTTGCTGGATGGTCCCTCTATCGTTTGTGCCTAGGCTGAAGCATGAAATTGTCTACCGTGAAGAACATGGTACTACGGTCATCTCAACCGATCGTTGGCCATTACTTGTTGACTGTGTTGTTCTAGTCATAGAAATCCACAGCGGCATCATGTACACACGGGCAGAAGCATAGAATACAATCTGCCGGAGCATGATTCCATGACAATGCCCGATCAGTGGTCTAGAACTATCGTCTAAGCCTAACTGGTGTTGTTTCCATGATGGAAGCAGAGGTACTACGGCCATATCAACAGACCTCGGCCCGATATATTGTTGACTGTTTTGTTCTAGTTTCAGGTGCAGACGACCATATTGAAATCGGTGCGCAATCTGAAAGAAGCATGAAATACACTTTGCAGGAGCGTGATTCCCTAACAGTGTTGGATCAGCAATTTAGTGCTATCGGCAAAGGCTAACTGTTTTTGTTTCCACGATGAATGAATCGGTAGTGTACCCTGGGTTGGTAACTTAAATCAAGATATCTTCCACAGCACGCAGCTAATCGAAGACAACTAAGCTCCTGAAGCGCCGTATTTGTTCCTGCAAGATTAAAATTGCTGTGCGGTGTACAAAGAACTAGGGATTCTCCATGTATTGTTGCATCGAATCATATCGAGTACGTACAGTATTGCGATTACAGCTAATGAGGGAAGCTCCAACAACAGTAGGGACTTTAAAGCTGATGTGCTGTAGCAACTCAGTTGTAAAGCACAGACAGTATTCCATCAATCAAGACAATCGCTTATCACGGCTTTGAGACCGAAGTCTTGTTTCAAAGCGATCATCAATCTCAAAATTTGGTTCATTCGAGAGATAATCCAGGATAAAGTAATGACATAGCCAACAAAGGCGTCGTGTATGCGAATGACCGAAGTGTGTCACGCAAGAAATCCTGTAGTGCGTAGTCGTCATGTACCAATTGGTTCTTCATATTCATCCGTAGGCGGAGCACCAGGCCTGAAGTAGTCTCCAAACAGCTTGCTTGTCATTCATCTCGATGTTCCCAATCAAATTCTCAACCTACCTGCATCAATGACTCGAAATCAGAAAGTTTTGCCTCGGAGGAAAGTGCGAGTTCTGCATAGCCAAAGGGGAAAAAAGAAGACGTTAGTTTGATTGCCGTTTGCGATGATCAATAACCTGTTCTCGAAACAAAACTTACCGCTAGGATCTTGAATTGCTGCAACAGCAGTCTCGAATGCACTATCATCCGAGGCCTGCTGAAGCAGTGAAGGAGGGATCTTGCCGCTCGTTCGTGCAAGTTCCACTACACTCATTGTTTACAATTTGAATTATTACGTTTGTACGATTGATTGTAGATAATGTTTTCCAAGCAGTTTCGTGCTGCACGATGTGGAAATTGGAGTTTCCTAGTAGGTTTCTACGTGTTTGAAGTACTTGTAGCCCCGGGTTCAGCCTTTCCTTGGTTCAACCACCACGTGCATGGTTGTTCCAACGTTTTCATTTTAGTAAGATACGGGCGGCGGAAAGGCAAACATCGACTAGTTTAGTTCTTCTTTGTATTTCATTATGAGATGAACCCAGTCACAAAGTCCCTCTCTGAAAGGTCTTTGTACTCTTCTTCATAGCGATCGACCAAAGCATTCAATGTTTTCGAAAGATCCTCCGAGTTTTCTTTGCTTCCAGCTTCACTTCGGAATCGGAAGATATCCAAAAGTCGATCAGTGCCCATGCTGAAGAGTGTTGAGTTATCTGTATTGACAATGGCTGCACTCATAGCAAGCTTGACTTGATGAAGCTTCATAATATTCTCTTCTATCGAGTCTGCAGTCACGAGGCTATATACATTCACGTGCTTCTTTTGGCCGATTCGATGTGCTCTATCCATTGCTTGGAGGCTGTATTTGAGTAGGAATGAATCAGGCAAAGTGAGCATCTCGTTGGTACTACAACAGCAGCAGTAAGCCACTCGAAAAATCACTAAACTTACTCGGCATGTGGATTCCAGTCATGCTCAAGAAAAATAACAGTGTCAGCTCCTGTTGATGGCAGCAAAACAGGATGTTAGGAAGGTCGCTGTGGCAAAGCTGAAATTGTCCAACCATTCAATTCTCACCTGTCAAGTTCAGTCCAAGCCCACCAATGCGGGTGGTGAGTAGCATTATCCGAATTTCATCATCCTGATTAAAGTGATCAACGATGGTTGACCTCTTCTCTTGTGGAACGCGGCCGTCTAGGCGTACATATCCCACATCAGACCCCATATTCCGTTTCAATAGAAGCTTTTCGACTACATCCAAGCTTCTTGTGAACTGCGCAAAGATGAGGCACTTTGATCTTTTGCCTGATGTCGTCAAATTCACCTGTCTCGAGTCCAAAGCCTCGGGTTCAAGCATGCTCTCGACGTCAAGATCTTCCAGGTCATCACTGCCTTCCTCGTCGCAGTAGAGTAGAGAGGTATCGTTGTCTGCAGCAGTCAGCTTGTCCATCTGGCTCTGTATTCCAGCATCTCGCAACAGGTCACTCAGTGCTTGCAGTTTTCCCGATAGTTCTGGTCGGTCCTGTTTGGTTGCCATCCACTGAACAGAGTCAGAATCTACGAGGGAAGGATATGTACAAAGCAGTCGAAGATAAAGGAATGATTTCAACACATCTGATCCAAGATTCGAAGCGCTGAGAGGGTCATTGGACTTTTTCATCGAATCGATTGCACGCTGCAACTCTTCCATTGATTTCTTGGCAGAAGCACCAGAGCAGAAATTCTCGTACATTCGACTCTGAGTTGGCGACATTTCGCACTTGATGGTTGTGATGGTTTTTGGGGGCAACTCTTGGAGTACTTGGTCCTTTTCTCGGCGAAGAATAAATGGAAGAACTTGCTGGTGCAAAAGTTTCAGCGTATCCATACTAGTTGCGACATCTGTTGCGGAAGCTCCAATGCCTTGACCCTTGGTAATGGGTTTTGCAAACTCTTTGGAAAAGGAGGACGAAGTGCCCAAAAAGTTGGGCATGAGAAAGTCAAACGTCGACCAAACCTCAAACACTTTGTTTTGAACAGGTGTGCCGGTGAGGATGAGCTTATGGTCCGACTTCAATCGCCGCGATGCCCGTGATGTCACTTTCATCATCAAACCAAAGAAGTAAAAAGTGAGACTATCATATTATGGCCATTAGAAGCTCTTTGGCGCATGTTGGTGACTTACATGTCTTTGGATTCTTCAACAGATGTCCTTCGTCTAGGACACAATGATTCCATCTCGTCATCTCCAGCATTTCAATGCCTCGTCGTAGAACAGAATAGCTTGTTATGATGATATCGCAAGCGCTAAACTCTTCACGAAATAGGGCCTTCCGTTTGCCTTCGATTCCATGTAGAGCTAGAGGTTTGAACCAATCTTGGGCTGGAAAAAAGCGGCCGATTTCACCAACCCAATGGCCGACAACACTCGAAGGACACACAATCAACGACTTTGGTCGCTCGCCCGATTCCGCATCGAGATGCGAGAGAGCCACACTAACAAGTGCTTGCAACGTCTTGCCGAGGCCCATGGAATCACACAATGCCCCATTGAGATTCACCTTCTGCAAAAATCGAAGCCATGATATCCCTTCAAGCTGATAGTTTCGCAAGATTGTTTTGGTTTGCTTCAGTGACACCGCAATCTTTGGATGAAGTTTGCAAGGAGGCAAAGCCTGCCCGTGTATCAGGTGATTTATTGTTTGCTGCGCGGTTGGGTCGATTTCGTGTCCCCGAATGGAAAGAGACGTATTTTCATCTACAACAGGAGCGACCCGAACCAGCAACGCAAAAATGCTAGCTGCAATCCGTGCGCAAGCTTCCTCCGAATCTGTCATTCTTGCCATGACAATTGGGAGCAGGGAGCGCACAAATGGACAGATTTCCACCGAACAGACGTTGACTAAGTCACCCAAGAGTTCACAAGCCCGAATGCGCCCTTTATTATTTGCTGGGTTCTTCATAACAGTTACAATATGAGGAAGTGCAAATTTTAAGGTCAACGTCGCGTTCAGTTTGCACAACACCTTGATCAGCTCAGAAGCTGTTGCATGTACGCCGAAGTCGCCTTCTGCACATCCCAGCAATGAGAGGGCGTTACTGTACTCTTGAATGATGTACACAGTCATGTCGTCTCTTCCCTTCAAACCAGTGCAAATAGCCTGGAGCAATGCTAGAGATCTTCGGTTTTCTTGTGGATTGTCGATCGAAGAATTGCGAAAATGCAGCAATGTTTTCCACATTGGCTTGAGTAAGAAAAGAGCATCATCTTTTGGTACGCTTTCGATGAGGAGACCGATAACTTTGGAAGCAGCGTCACAACCTGGCTTTTTTTGCTTTGTCACCAAATTACACAAGTTCACCACAATTTTCTCGGAGGTTCTGCCGAAAGCTTCTTGTCGTTCAGTGGGAACATCAATGGACAGGAGTCGTAGGGTTGCTACCATGTAGGAGCATGTCGCATCTTGACACGATTCATTGCTTTCGTTCTGAATACTTGTCATTAGCGATCGAATCAATGGCGATAGCTTTTGAGGGAGGTACTTGATACCACCTGCGACAACGGCACCGGTAGTAGACACTGCAAGTCGCATGGAATCTGCAGTTGTGCATTCTTCCTCCTTGGATTCCAATGATTGCGCTTCCAATGTATTCTTCCAAATCCTTGAAACTGCGCCCACGGCGGCATCACTACTACTTTGCTGCTTTTCCACCAGTTCGATACCACTGACGAATGCGCTATGCAAAACATTCACATGCTGCGGGTTGTGTTGCAGAGTTCTTGCTCTCGAGACCGTCATACAGAGGGGAGTGGTAGCTAGGTGACCTTTTAATAGTTCTCCACACTTCATCTTTGTCGATTCCATAGCAGGACTGTTTACGTCTCTCCGAGAGAATAAAGCATGATACAAAAAGCACGCCGATTCAAATTCCGTAATCTTTGGCGATGCCAAAGCTGCAAGGAGACAGAATTCTAGCACATCCAAGTTTTGCGACTTGCTGTTTTGTTGTGCCATGGACGAGGTGCTATGATAGAATCCCGCAATTACATGTGACAGTTTCACCTGCATTTGCAATCGTCGTCCCCGAAATGCATTGTAGCAAGCCATGTCCTTCCCAGACCGAGCCTTGTCCCTATCCTGCAGTCCAAAATATTGCAGAACGAGATACTTTTGCATCTGCCGACGATGATCTGAAGCTTCCCTCAAAATCACGGCTGATGCATCCACTAGCAATGACCAGAGATTACTGCAAGCAACCTCAAGCTTCTTGTTTTCAGCAAAACTGTCTGGGTCATGAATCAGAGTCATACGGCGATAAAGGTCAAAGACTTGCTCAATCATGCGACAGTAGCAAGCATTCATCGAGTTTCTGGAATACTCAATCGTTGCTGAATTTGAAGCGTTTTCGGCAGCGTCGACAATTTGGCCAACAATTATTCCAGTGGATTGCATGACACAAACTTTCACAGACAGGGACTCGCAAGTCAGCAGCGCACTCAATCGCTCCAAAATTCTTTGAAAACTGTCCCATAAGGTTTCCCCCAAACCGTTGGATATCTCTTCCAAAACGACTGCACAATTTTGTTCTAGAATGGTCGATAGCAAAACAACCATATCTTTGATGCAAGGGGATATTAGTCGAACATTTTGAATTGTGTTCCACAGTGGGCGGACAATCGGCTGGATGTCAATGTCGGTCTGTCTTGTTGTTTGCTTGTCGAGTCCAAGCAAGTGGCTGATTATCATTGCAGCAACCGCTTGAACATCGTCGCAGCTATCTTCCAGGCTGGCAGTCGCAACTAGCATTGACTTTGGTAACAATTCTTTGGACCACCACTGATCCAAGTGCAATGCCTTAGAACGCAAGACAATAGCATACTTGAGAAGCAGTAGAGCCCCATGTCGAACTTCCCAATCCTCAGCCTTGACCAATTTCAAAGTAATCGCGAGTGTTTCGGATTGAATCTTTAATGGCGCCATGGAAAGCATGACCGATCCCACTTGTCCTGCCATTTCCCTTACAGCCGCTACCGTCCCACCCGAGAGTTCGGAATTGGTAGCTCCAGAGAAATCTTCAAACCGATCCAATGCCAAGATGCACAAACACCTTGACAAAATGTCCTGTGGCCAACTACCAAAGCAATCATTGGAAGTGTTCTTGTCTTGATTATGGAGCTGTCTTCTCTTCCATGCGCGCACCAGTGCCAATATTCCAATCAAGGCTCCATGTCGAATGTACCAGGACGAATCAAACATGCGATATATCAACTCGGTTGCCAATAGTGTTTGTGCGTTCTTATGAGAAACCTTCTCATCTTGATCTGTTTGCTGTTGTCGAATCTCCATGACCAGAATGGCACGAATGGATGGATCAGTTGTTTTCTTCTTTTTGGATGAGGCGACTCTACGTAGTTTGATTTTGTCGTCTGACTTTGGTTCTGCCGATGGAATGAGGTCACGCATAACAATGTCCAAATCCTTGGTGGTACCCACTTGATCCACCATCCTTCCAAGGCCCAGTCTAGACGCCAACAGTCGTCGTTGCAATTGAATTCGGCGCTCACAATAATCTTGATAGAGTTCTTGATTGGCATCCAATTCTTGCAATTCTTCGTCGTTTTCTTCTTCTTCATACAGTTTTTCAGAAGTGGACATTAGATGTCTTCCTTGCTCTAGAATGGTTTGCATTTTTCCCTGTTTCAAGTCGGATAGACTCAGCCAGAGATTGTCGCTATTCTTCTTGAAGTTGTTCTTGTCGGCATTGTCGTTTGATTTGGTGGAATCATTGTTCTGGTCCATGGTGTCACTCAAACAATCCTGCAAAAATCGTTGTTGATCCTTAATTGGCAAGTGTTGGGCCACTCCTTCCATGGCCAAACTTGCATTGTGACGAGTCCGCCAATCGGGCGACAGCAAAAAGAATTGCAATCGGCCCAAAATTTCCCACAAGACTAGCGGGCAAGCCAAAGCCGTTACCACTTGCAGGTGGGACGCTGCCACTCTGGCATGTTCGCTCGATCCTTCCTGAACGAGTTTCAATAGTCTCAGAGTATGAGGAGAAATGACAACATCTTGATCATCCATTTCTTCCTCTTTTGTTGCATTATCTATTGCTGCCTTTTTACTGGTGCCATCCAATTCTTCAATGACGGGAGTCATAGATGCATTGTTGTTCCATTCTGGACGTGGACGCTTCTTGTTGGACTGGGACAGTGATTTTCGAGTCTTCATGCTGGATTATGACAAAAAAGAACTTATCGGACACTAGACCATTGTGTGTGCAGTGATGCTATACTAGATGTGAAGAACAGCAGAAGCCGAATGCCAAGAATCGAAACAAAAACGACGATGAAAGCAATCTTTATGGGAAGGAAGATCTTGGTTTCATTTTCAATTTTTTTTCTTTGTTGTCAAAAGTCAGAAGATGGAGTGCTACGGGTTACTGACAGACGTTGTTGTACCAATTTGTACGCGGCGCGCCATGCATATTTGTCGACCTCGAAAGATGACGACGTCTTGCCCACAAACTGGAAAGGTTCAAAACGCCAAACGCCAAACGCCAACTGAAGCCCAAGACAATGCAATCCAATAGCTTCTACACAATATAAGCAGCAACAACTAAATCTGACACCCAAATACGAGCGACATATCCACTTGGAGATACACAAGGAGAGCAAAAGAAGTAGACGAACGATTTTCCCCACGGTGGTACCAATCAATCAATTAATCAATCAAGTAATCAATCAGACTCTCCTCCTCACTACAATCATCGTCACCAAAATAATTCACAAAATAACAAACCAATCATGGCGGCAATCACACAGCGCGGCAAGCGAAAAACAGCTGGAAAGCGCATGTCCAGCCTGGTTGGCAAGGCCCAAGAGGAAGACGATACCTTCTGGGGACACGATACATGGGCGGATGATGGAGATGATAGTGGCAATGAATCCTTTCGTGATTCCGATGAGGAGTCGGCCGCCAAAAAGGACGAGTTTGACTCGGACTTTGACGAGAGTGAATCAGATCGTGAAGAGGAAGAAAAGGCTGCAGGACAAGAGGAAGAACAAGAATTGAAACGGCAAGAGCGAAGTAAATCCAAGGGCAAAGGATACATGGAAGCACCCACCAATCGGGGAATAACCAAAGGAAAAGGGAAACGAGTAGTGGGGGATGGTATGAATGCTGGTATTGTCTTGAATTTCCCTGGCTCCAAGGGCGGTGGTGCACCACTTCCGACGCCAGTAGGAGCTCCTCTTCCATCAACAGCAGCTACCACACCTCCGCCACCCAAAAAGCCATCGCCCAAAAAGGCAGCCAAACGAATCACCATGGCCTCGACGCGAACGAAACGATCCGCAACCACTAACAAGCGATTAAGGGAGAGCACCGCCAAAGCTTCGGAAGAATCCCAGACATCGGCGAAAAAAGCAACCAAGACGGGCACTGGCACTGGCACTGGTGGCAGCAAAAGGAGTGGCAAGCGTCGGTACACACAAGAAGAAATGCTATTAGAAGCAGTCCACAAGACGGAGCCAGAGAATAAGCGATGGCTGTTGGAACGAAAACGAACCAAAGACATTGAAGATAGCGATAGGGCGGCCATGGCATTGAGGGAAAAGAAGAAGGGGCCAGTAGTCGAAAAGTATCATTCCAAGAGAGGCTCTCTGAAGACATTGACATACCCGAACATGGACGCGGTTCCTGAACTATTCACGCGAAAAAAGGTGGTATTGAAGAAGCCAAAGAAAACATTCTGTGTCGTTACTGGAAAGCGAGCAAGGTATAAGGACCCGAAGACTAATCTTGGATACTTTGATTTGCCAGCCTTTAAGGAGCTGCGAAGACGGATGGAAGCAAACGAACCATTGGATCAGCGAAAAAAACCTCCACCCAAAGCCAAACCCGCAACGAATGATACTGGCAGTAATGTAGGAAAAGAAGAAACGAACACGGCAGGAGCTGCCCCGAAACCCACCCCCAATGGTGTACCTCCAACTGATGTGGCTCCAACGACGCCTAAAACAACTGCAACTGTAAAAACACTCCCCGGCAACGCTTCGAGTGTGCCCAATGTGCCAACATTGTCTCCTTCCGGGAGAAGAATGTCTCCACGATCGAGGAAGCCAACCGAAAAAATGCGAGAAAACATTGCCAGCAGCCCACAACTAAACAATCTTGTCAAACTTAACGTGAGCAACCCTGCCAATCCAGCTTTGGCCATGCCAGCTGACAGCATCAACAACACAAAGTCAAGCTCCACTGTGCCTGGTCCTGTACCGAAACCAAGTCCTTCTGGTACCAATGGAAATGCCAAGAAAAAATCGACTACAACACAACCCACTTCCGAGCAAAGCGACCAGAAAACAACCTCTGTTGGTGCCAAAGTCAAGCATGCAACGCCTCCTGTCAAGCCAAAGACAACACCCACTGAATCAGCGCCTACAACCAAACCACCGATAGCGGCGAAACCTTCGGGAGGAGAAACATCTTCCAGCGGAAACAAACGAGCTGTTGAGGGTCAAAAGGAGGCCACGCAAAGTCAGTTAATCATGCAAGTGATCAATGACTTCAACCAACAGCACCCAGAGGTGAAGGAATAGACTGCTATAATCACAATACAATAGTATATTGTACCATAATAGAAACATTACAAGAACTTTTATGCTAGGGCTGTGTTTATGTCTGATTCTTGGACTGTCATGTATGTTCCATCTCTCAGGTAGACTTCGCCAGAAACGATCGACTTTTCTAAATCATTGGATCCTTCATAGTCATTTTTGCCGAGTGATACGACGGTGACTGCACAGGTTCCACAAGGAATTGACATGTGGCACAAGGAATTGAAAGTGATCTTTGCTTTTGTGGCAATGTCCATCATCACAACCATTTCTTTCGCGGCATCCAAGACTTCTCCCATCATTAGATCGTCACCACCAAGGAAATTGAATACAAGTGTTTCACAGTCGATGGCTGGACCTGCATTTGTAAATGCATCCTTGATGGCTTCCATTGGCGCCAAAATGACAACTTTTTCCAACGAATCTCCAGGGTCTTTGTACTCTTCTACGCCTTGTCCCGAGCATATGATTTTTGAACCAGTCTTGTCCATGACGGACTTTACTGTGGATTCTTCAACTTTGTTGAGTGCTGTATACCTAAGGAGTTCCATCGGTTGGGCATCGGCTTTTCCTGGCTTGTGTGTGATCTCTCCAGTAATTTTGATGGCACTCTCTTGTGCTAGTCGAACACCACCTAGTCCCCAGTCGACTTCTCTCTCTTCTTCTTCTGGAACTATCCCTAGAGAGGCATCTGGCTCTACCCAGGCATCTGGATTTATCTCTGGAGTGGATTCCTGCAATTGCAAACCATTCAAATGGGTACCCATTTGCCTCGGGACAAATCCGGCATTTGGGACTACAAGTGATGAAATTCCCAGCAATATCAAGCTAGCTTTGTTGCGTTTTAGTGCAGGCATTGTATTATTTGTGTTTCGTGTCGAAAGAGGAGCTTTTGATCTTCGTGTAGTTGTTTCGAGACAAGGTGATGGCACCGTTGCAGAACCGATCGATGACGCGAGGTTTGAAGCGATGAGGGCTTCCACGTAGAGACTGATGACAGACGGACGCTTTGGGTACTTCAAGAGTTTCATTCACATTTTCAATTTCACATTCACAGTCACATCGTTCACATACAACAAACTACGTAACGTGCAAACTACAGTACCTGCAATGATTGTGACGATTTTAAAAGTTGCTGCCTCAGCGGCTACGGTGACATTGGCTGGTAGCTGTGGTCGTAATATGCTGCAAGCGTTTGAATTGCGGAATAGCGACAATCTTCCTGATTTATCAATCCAAAAACTTCCTTCCACAGATCATGCCATGAAGACCGTAGAAGACTTGCATTCGCTCAATCGGCTGGAGCTTCTCTCCCTGTTTTCTTCTGGTGAAATACCGATAGATCTCTCTGATATTGAGGGGGAATGGGAAGGTGAACTTCTTGACAACAATGGGGCGATCATGACAACAGTTTCCAACATTATGACCAATGGATTCTTTGCGCTTGGACCTGGAAGGACATGGAACGGGAAACGCTTTGAAAACAATGGAGTCACTGGCGTCAACCGCTTCTTCACGCAAAAGGAAAACAGAGGAGACACCAAGATACGTTTTGACGTTTCCATCGAGGAATCCAAGCTAAACCCAGGTAAACCTTGTATTCAACTAAAATATTTCAATCATCAATCACCGATCTCTCCATGGAAGACAATGGTTGATGAACTGCGAATGGTGCCAGGTACAAAAGAAGTATTGTTGGGGATGGGTTCAATGGCGTGGTCCGGTGGATCGGCAAATTCCGCTCCATTTTGTCTTCGTCGATTGCCAAAACCATCAAAAGATTCGGCTATGGAGGAATTGTGATAATGGCAGCTCCAGACAAAGATGGACAGTCGCGACCCTGTTTTTAATCTCATTTCTTTAGGATCTATAATCTACAGTATGATTCATCCAATAATTCAATAATTTGCAAATGCCACAATCAATCTGGTTTCCAGCATCAATTAATCGAAAACGATCTTTGTTGCCTTCTTCATTGGTCCTCCCCTTGGACCAAAGCTTCCATACAAGTTGTGTTCCTTCTTCTTAATGGTACTGCCAAACTTCATCAAATCCTCTGGTGGGGCCTGTCCAGCTTGCTTCATGACTTGTTGAAGTTCACCAGCATGCGACTTGTCTCCAGGTTGGAAAAAGGTGTGACTGATTCCTGTCTTTCCGGCACGTCCAGTTCGGCCAATTCGGTGGACATAATCCTCAATCGTCAGGGGGAAGGTGTAGTTGATAACATATTCCACATTCGGGACATCCAATCCACGTGCGGCAACGTCAGTTGCCACCAAAAGTGGACAAGAGCCATCTTTAAACTCTGCAAGCGCTTTCGTACGAGCCTCTTGGTGTTTGTTCCCATGAATGGAACACACGTTAAATCCATCACGACGCAAAGAATACTCCAGTCTCTCTGCCTCTTTCTTGTACAATGCAAATATCAAGGTGCGCCCTTTTCCTTTGTATTTTTGCAAAAGTTGTCCAAGACGTTTTTCACGAGCCCGATCGTCAATAACCTCAACATTCTGAATCACACGCTTGTTTGCAGACAAGGAATCGTCAATACTATTTTCACCATTGGATCCAACAATAGCTTCGAAACCGACATAGAGGCGGATAGGATCAACCATGTAGTTGATAGCAATTTCCTGGATAGCAGCAGGCCAGGTCGCGGAAAACATTGCTGTTTGCCGGCCATCTTCTTTGGGCATGCAATTTGAGATGATGAACTTGACATCCTCCTCGAAACCCATGTCCAGCATACGATCAGCTTCATCCAAGACCAAGTACTGAACCTTGCTCAAGTCACAATTTCCTTCGTTGATCAAATCCTTTAGTCGACCTGGAGTTGCAACAATGCAATCAACGTTTCGCTTCTTCAGTTCCGAAACCTGTGTGTACTTGGGAACCCCACCATACAAGACAATCGATCGGAGACCACTGACAGTACCAAACTCTTGAAGCACGACATCAGATTGCATTGCAAGTTCACGGGTTGGTGCCAAAACAAGCATTCGTGGCGAGCGTCTAGTCTGCTTCGAAATAGTAGAGTCAATCATCGACGACAAAGCGGGAATGGCAAATGCGAGAGTTTTTCCACTTCCAGTCTCTGCAATACCAACAACATCTCTCTTTCGACCATTCTTCTTGGACATGAGGATTGGCCACGACTGCGCTTGAATGGGAGAAGGTGTGGTGAATTTGTTCACATCCGTGCACTGACGAAGAAGAGGTTCTGCAATGACTTCCTTGCACACAGGATCTTCGAAAGACATGAATGGGTGGTACAAGGTGTCCTTGTTAATGGCGTCGGTCTCCTTCTTTCCTTCTTCGCCGTCTCTAGCATCCTTCAACACAATCTTGTTGGTCTTTCGCCACTCCTCGATATCGGAGCTGGGGGCGGAAGAAGTAGAGAGCTTGGCCTTCTTCGATGGCTGGGGTGTTGGGGAAGCACTTCTCTTCTTCGACAACTTGACTTCTTTCCCGTCGATCTGGAACTCTTCACTTTTCTTGATCCATTTTTTGACTTTCTTGTGGGCTTCTTTGTCTCCCAATTCTTCGGCAACAAGTTTGGCCAATTTCTTCAGTTTCATTGGCTTGGAGTCCCGCTTTTTCAAGGACTTCATTGCTGCCTCGAGGGCATTGTTGCTCGTGATACTATCCATTTTCGATTTGAGAGGGCAAACAGAAAAAATATGAAGGAAAACCTCGAGCCGGGATTTTTTTCGGTTGGTTGGCACGAGGCAAAAAGTCGGATGACTGACGATGACAGACAACGCTATTGAAATCACGACTTCTACCCTTCGGTTCGGTTAATCACTGGTAGGGGGGTACTTGGTACCAAGTACTTTGCACATACTTCACTACATCTGGTAGGAGTCTGTGCTATAAAACTCTCTCAATTTTGACTCAAGCTAATAGTTTCCCTAGACTGCTTGCTTTGCATAATACTCGTTGTGATCCAGTTGAGCAACCAGAAAGCGTTGGGGATCAAGATCACTGTCGAATTCGTCTGTTGCACTTGCCCCCATTCTTGTGATATCGGCCACATTTGACTTGTTCTTGTTCTCGTCTACGTAGTCGTCCAGATTGCCATTCACAATTTCCCCCAAAACTTTCAGAAGCTCAACAGCGTTTTGTTCATATTCATCAGATATTCGATCTACCTCTTTTATCATTGGTGTGTTTGCAAGTCCGAAGAAGTTATCATCCTCTGCAGACTCTTGTTGTGAGTTGAATCCCCAATGACCGTGCTGCAGACGTGTCTCTGCTCGCAAACGCTTTTCAGTTGCCACAGCTGCCAATTGTAACGACTCTCGGAATAGCGCTTCTTGCATGCTACAGAACTCATCTGCCATGGATAGCAACGTTTCCACTTGTTCCCCCAGGTACTGTTTACTGGTGAGCTCATTGGAGTCGGCTTTCAGGAGACTCTTTCTCACAATTCCATTCAAATATGATTTGTGCGCTTCAATTACCTCGTCCAGAGTCTTGGCCTTGTCAATATCGCTTACCAACTTTTGCCATCCACCCTCGAGAACTTCAAACATCAAGTAGCTCTTTAGATTGCATATCAAGTGCATCATGGACTGTCTCAGAATGGATATTTTCCGCAACAAGTAAGTGGATTGCAAGTATCTCGCATCGGCTGACTTGTCGATTCCATTGTACTGAGCTGTAGTTTGCAATGCATGCTGCAGCGTAGCGTTCTGTCGCCAGGTGTAATTGAGCATGTACTCGACCTTCTTAAGATTGAATAGAAACCGGAAAACTTTCTTGTATTTCTTCAATGCAGCAGGGTCTACAATCGCGATCAATGGATCTGGAACCTTGTAATCCAACATAAAAATATCCCACACAGTTCTCTTGTCTCCTTGTTGACTTGGAGAGCGACCAGGACCAAACATAAAGTTCGCATCCTCATCTTTGCCCAACAAGAGTTCCACCTGTAATCGATCCAGGCAGAATTGAGGCTGGTATTTGGCATTTGTCGATCGTAACGCTCCTTCCACAATCGACAACAAGGAATGCTTGTAAATGCCCGCAATCCCTTGATGGCCATGGAACTCAGTAAACAAGCCATCTATTAGTGCGGAAAAGAAGTCTCCTTGTCCAAGAAACAAAAATTGCTTGAGGGCAAGCAAATGTTCCATCATGTGGTTCTCCTTCTTTAGAGTTAGAAGAATGTGCGAGTGAACTAATTCTCCTGCCCGCTTCAGTGTCTTCTGCAATTCAGCGTTGGAGTTGTTCCCTTTTCTAGACGACGGCTTGCAACTGTATCCCAGGTCCGCGGAATCCATCGATGGCAATTTCATCGTCCATGTGCCATCCAATAGACATCTCCGAATAAAGTTGATTCCTTTTCCAACATTGAATGCTGGCTCTACAAGGTGCTTGTCAAGGATACCTGTTGGAACTAGATCTCTATTGATCTCGTATCTTTGCGTCCACAAAAACTTGTCTTTGACATTGGGGATTTCTTGGACAAAGAATTCTCCATGAGGATCAGATAACACACCTTGAGTACTCCACCGGAACAGCACGTCGAACCAAGGCTTGGACACATGTCCCAAGATTCCCTTGACCAAACTTGCGTGTCGGGTGTCACCATGTAGTGTGTGTTTGTAAATGGCGCTCAGCAAGTTGCCCCCAGAAAGGTCTCCTAATCCATCAGTAAGCATTGCAAGAATCTTCAGTCTATGTGTTGGCTTTCGTAGATCCACCATGAGCTGCCTCAAACTGACATCGTTCAGTTTGGCCTCCAAGCTTGCCAAAAAGGAATGGTACTCTTGCAATTCTTCGGAAAGGGTCCCAGCGAATGCTCGTGCTAGGATGCCTTTGCTGTCATCTTGTTGAACTTGATGAATATAGGATTGTGTGCGATGATAGAGCCAGCCGGCTTCACCACTGATTCGAAGCGCATCAGCTGCTCCACTACCCAAGCGTGTCTCCAGTGACTGCCCAGTATATAATAGTGGATTATTTAGGGCGGGTGATTGCACTCGAATTCCCTCATAATCGTCCACGCAATTGGACAAGACATTGGAACTATTGAAATGATATTTTATCCTCTCGCCATCAATACCTTGTAGAGAATACAAGCACTCGCGCAATAAGGCCGCTTCTTCGTGTTCTAACCCTTGGCGATTTTGTTGAATTTGCTGCTCTCTCGCTTCTGACCTTACCAACGGTCCTTGCGATTGAGCAGTGTTGGGAAAGAACGAAACCGACGACAAAGCAGTGGAGGTCGACGACAGACGCCTTTCATGTTGATATACTTGTTCTTGCTGCTGGTGTTGTTCGCGTTGCTGAAGTGGTTCGGTTCGGGCAGCACTCTGATACTGCAAATTTTGATACGGCTGTCGCGGTTGCGAAACTGTTGACAATGGTGTCGAGACTTGAATTGGCTGTTGATACGATGACTGTGGCGGCTGGGAAAGCGGCTCAGAATTCACGACTGGTGACGTTGCTACAGATGACGACGTCAGCTGCTCTGGAGTAGCACATTTGATATGTTTACCCATCAATTTTGTCATGACTGTGATCACTTTTGGAGGCAAATCTTCGTCTCCAGACCTAGCACAGCGTATATTGAGATCGTTGTAGACTCGCTCCAATTCAGCCTTGTGTCTTTGGTACGGCGCCTTGCGAGAAACCCTACGCCAAGCATTGGTGACATTCGTAGCCTTGCGATCTTGAGAGAGTCCAATCTGGCTGGAGACAACGCGACGCGCCAAGGAAACCGAAGCCACATCGGCGTGGCCTTTCATTGCTCGTACGAGCCGTTGCATTGCCTCTTCAACATCTTCACCAGAACGAGATGACATGATTACAGTGTATTGTTCAATTATAATCTTTCTTTCAATCGGATTAACTGTGAAAGTGCTTTCAAATATTTAAGAAAGGGTTGCAAAGATTGGAGATTAGAATATGAATGATGTTCTTCCTGAGATGATCTGATTTCAAATAGTTGAATTGTGATTTCCCGCTGTCATTTTTTGAATTTGAGGTCGTTCGAATTAGTCGTTCGACATGAAGGCACTCATGTGAGTACGTGTACCAGTACCGGTACGTCGAATGAATCAAAGAATGAATGATGAACGAATGAATGAATGAATGAATCGATCGTTCGAATCGACAAATCCGGACTTTGTACCTCCACTAGCTTGCAGTATCTTCAATTGCTATCAATCCTTTCACGTTGCCAGATATATGATTTGATTTCTCCCCTCAAACGGCAATTTTTCTATTCGAAGTCTGCCGTCTTTTGCCAAAAGATATTCCAAGAATTGTTCATAAGTTTGGACACCTTTGCCAGAATTTAAAGTGCGCAACGGAAAGAGTCCAGGAAATACGCAACACGGCACAATGGCGACTGGCTTTTCAAACTTCAATGCTAGATCCAAAATGTCTTCTGTTGGTTCATCAGGGTGAATACCCACAAGCATGCTCGCATCTTGAACCAAACGCTCGTAGTCTTGGACAAAACTTGTGGTATTGAACTCACGAGATATGAGTTCAGGGTGTGGAGCTGACGCCATCCGTATTCGTTTTGCTACTCGTGGATCTAGCTTTTTGCCATGTTTGCGCACCAAGGGGTCAACAATGGTGCAAGGAATCATCCCTTGGAGCGATAGCTCTATCGAAAGTTTGCCCTTGCCACCAGCAACGTCTAGCACTCCAGTTCCCTTTTTGAGTTCTTCCACATCATATGTCTTTAGTAGCCAGGCAGCGAATAGTTTGGCACGCATACTCTTGGAACGATTGTCACCATGAGAGAAAGCGTCATTTGGGTTTGGGTTGTCTTGTGTCAATTTTTCGCCATTATCAGTTTGTTTGCTCTCTTGTTTGCCTTCCAAATCACTGTTGGCCTTTTTCTTACTATTTTCAGGATTGTCACCACTTTGATGGCTGTTGTATTTGAGATAGGCGGTGCCCCGAACCTTCAAGTAGTCTGAGCACGAGATGCCGCCTTCCTTGTGTTTGGCAAGTCGCAATGCTTCTTCCCGGGGATTTGATAGCAACAACCACGACTTTACCTGCAAGGCTCCATTATTTCGCTCCTCAGTTGTTTCGTCTTTGTCGCAAAGGTCCACAGATACCACAGCATCGTATGGCAGTTTGGAATTCTTGGTGGGAAATGTGTCATCGTATTCTGAGTTCCAAGCATCGGAATCGCGCTGAAATACAATTTTAAGAACTTCGTCACCTCCATCCACTTTAATGTCCGCAAATGCCAAATGTTTGCCAATGCAGCGCCGTCTAGTAATGTTGCCCCTCACCCTCATTGCAAAGTCATGTCTTTGTTTTTGTGATGTTTCATCGGTTGGGTCGAAGTTTGGGTGGGTCGAAGTTTGATTGGGTCGTCGCGCGAAACCGCGCATAGTCAGAAAAATCCATCACGAAGAAACATCATCAGCACGAATTTTCGTGTTTTACTTTCATTCTTACCCCGGATCAGAACTACTACCTACAGATTCGCAGCAACCCGATTAAATATGCTCACTCTATCCTTGTATTTTTGCCTTCTATTGCCTATGCCTCTTCTTCAGCTGGGAGAATGCTTCAGTTGCAACAATAATCTACCTTTCTTGAAAACGAGGGGGAAAAGCAAAAGTTCTGTATCTTCCTTGTTTGCTCAGGAAGAAAGCGACTCGGAAGAAGCAGTAGCTGTTGATCCTAACGCTGTGAATGTATTAGGAACCCCACTCCAGTGTTGCTGTTCCGACGTTGGCGGAAGTGGAATCGGAACAGGCTTTTATCGGAATGGATTCTGTTCCACCGGGGAACAGGATTTGGGTCGTCACACGGTGTGTTGCAAAGTAACCGACAAGTTTTTGAAATTCTCCAAGGCGGTTGGAAATGACTTGAGTACAGCAATGCCAGAATACCACTTTCCAGGTCTCAAGGAGGGAGATATATGGTGTCTGTGCGCCCAACGATGGGCACAGGCTTACAGTGCTGAAATGGCGCCCAAGATATTTCTTCAGGCGACTCATGAAAAGACTTTGGACTATGCGCCCATTGAAATATTGAAGGAATTTGCTCTTGACAAGGAAGAGGCAGAAAAGATTCTACAAGAATTGAATGACAAGCGAGATCAGTTGAACAACCTCCTGTGATTGAGAAGTTTGTAAGTAGTAGTAGTAGTAGTAGTAGGTACTACTAGTCTTGGAAGTTTCTAGTATCTTTGCACCATTTTTCAAATGGGGGAACTACCGCTCTACGGTAGTAGTATAAGGCTCTACAATGGAATGTAACCGATGTGTCATACGTTCGAAAGGCAGAAATCATTGCAATTCATAATGCAGATATGTTGATTCAAGCTACGAGGTCCGTTCGATTGTTGCCATGATGCATACTGTATGATTTTATGACGATTTTATGACAATGTTATGAGAACCGATTTCCAACCTTTCTTCGCTGACGTCTTTCTCCCGTAGCCGAAATTATACTTTGATTGGAAGCATGTCATTCGGCGCTCGCTTTTGAGCTGCACCTCTGCTGATAATGCTCTTCTTTCCTAGTTTCAATACCACGCACTATAGCACAACAACGTTTCGAATCCAGTTTGAACCATACAAAGAAAAATAATAAGTCTGTTTTGTAATTGTAGTGGTATGGCTTGCATGTCTATTTCCATTAGCAGAAAACAAGTAAGTGTGTGTAGTGGAGAGTGCGAATTTTGAAGTTTCTGTTTTGTTTGCCATCACCAGTAGCTGTAGCAGTGGTGACAAAATGCCCAAGAAACCTTTAGTATGGCGCAGTCGTGAAATAATATAATCAATTCCAGCATTGCTGCGGCCCAGTTTGTGCGTAGTGTATCCCGTCTAAAACGAAAGGAATGGTTGACTTATAGGTTCTTTTGGGCATCCTTGGCCTTTGAAACGGCTCCATCAAGAGCATCCTTGGCCTTGCTGGTAAGAGAGTACTCTTCGTTAAGTTCACTGACCTTCTTGACAGTCTTCTCGATAAGGTCACCAGCAACACCAAGGGCGGTCATACCAGCGCCAACAAGGTCGTATTCATCATTAACTTCTGTGATCTTGGCCTTTGTGGAAGCGAGTGCCTTCTCCACCTTTTGGATGGCCTCGGGATCGACAGACTCTTGTGACTTTAGCTTCTCAAGGGCGCCTTCTAGAGATCCTTGTGCCTTTTTCAAAACTTCGTACTTGGTGTCAAGGTTTAGGAGGTAGTTGTAAACTTCAATGGCACCCTTGGAGACTGTTCCCACAATGTCTCCGGCTTCGTTGTCCGACTTGGAGACGTAGTTTGCGGCGGCAGCACCAATGGCAGCGATGACGGGTCCTCCAATGATAAGTCCAGCGGCTCCTCCAATAAGACCGGCAGTGAACTCAATGGTCTCTTCCTTGATTGGAACAAGAGAGCTGGAAGGCGCCGCCTCTTCCTCGGACATGAAAGTGGCGATAGAGGCAGGTCGGACAAGTGCTCGTGGTTGAGGGGCAAAGGCAGAGGTTTGGGCCAAGGCCATGATCATAGCGAGAGTAGTAGCGAACTTCATTTTGATTGTAATGTAAAGTTTGAAAGATGAGGACAATACGTTGATAGTAAGGACAATAATAGCAGGAGTACGAGTAGTCACAATGCTCAACAGACGACGCCAAGGAGGGGACAAGAAGGGGAAAGATTTTTTTCGGATTTTTGAAAAATGGCGTATCTTCGCTTCAAGGAAAGCCGGCCTGTCGTTTGCAGTACAATTTCCTACTGCACCGTTTCAAAGTCAAATTGCGCCTCCTACGTCACAGTCTTGCATCATTCCAAAAGAATTCCGACAATTCCGGGGTCCCCAAAGTTATCGATCCTCCAATTTTGGGAGCCCAACCACCACGCCGGCAAGTTCAAAAAGGCAACGGCTAGAAACGGACAATGCAAGAGAAGTTGCCCTCATGGCCTTATTTCGGTAAGATCGGCAATGGACCAATTTGGAGTTCAACAGCGAAAGATGAATGAGCCAGCGGGAATTACGCGAACACGCTCTACGGAGATGGTGGAAGACAGCCACCCAATTTTAGATGAGGATCCTCTTCTCATCTCGCAATCGTTGACTTATGTCACAGATGATGGCAGTGTATTGCACTCCTTTCAATCCATGCCCTTTTCACTTGGTATGTAATGTCTGATGATATTCTTCGGTGATGATCTATACATGTGTGTTTGAAACATGAAGTATTCTGACTCTCGTTCTCCTCTTTTTCGGCGATAGGATTCAAGCTACGCTTCCTTATATTAGAAATAATCTTTGTGCTTCTTGTGGTGTTTGCAGTCCCTATCGGAGCCCATGGAACAGTGGTAGCCGTGTCAGTGGTAAATCTCTTGGCAGTAGCTTGGTTCTGGTACAATTATGTTCGCAGTGTGGAGATTACATCGGAAGGAAACCTTCGCTTTTGGATTGGAAATATTGAAATTGACGTTCCTTTTGACAAGATCATATCACTCCGAAAATTGCACAGCGAGGCGTCACCCTGCAGCCTCACGTCACCAGTTATGCCGTACCGTGGATTCTTGAGTAACCCAAATGATGGCGTTGCTATCGTCACAACAGTTCCCACTACTCCATTCTGGTTGTGGCCCAGATCAGCTGGCAAGCCCGAACGATCATTCTGCTTTGGCGCCATTATGTGCCCCAAGCTTACCATTGTCTTTTCGCCATCGTGTGGAGGACATGCTTTTATTCAAGATGTGGAAGCGGAAATGCGAAACTTTACAAGCGGGGGAAAACGCAGCAAAAGTAATAACGCCACTGGCAGCGCGGTAACCCCACAAGGAAATCCCGACTTTTTGGATGTATAAGTTGTCATAGAGGCAAGCGATACCATATGCCGAATGTCAAGAACCAAAACTGTAAACTAGTTCTATTATTACTTGAACGTGAAATCAACCAGGGGTCATGATGCAATTGTTAGCCTGTATCTGTGATTAATTGTTTAGTTCAGTCCTTGGTTCCATGCTTTTAAAATTATGTGGCTTCGTTATCGAGTAACGGCCTCCTCCAAGGCAACAGGAATCTCCTCTGTAACCTTGGATTCCTTGATCATGGAGAGTGCCTCTTTCTTTGCCGTCTGTGTATAATAGTGCATGGTGAATCGAGAAGTGATGAGATTTTTACTCTCGAAATCATATGACATGCAAGCGAACACGAGATGAATTTTGTACTTACCGTATCACCAATGCGATCCGTATTGCGTTTGTATTCATACGAGTAGGGCTCACCAAAGAAGGGAGTCACAGATTGCATCAGGTCGATTCCTTCAAAGAGTGAATAGGACAGAATGCTAGAAGTCATGTCCGCAGCTACTGGCAATGGAATCTTGACTATAAAGTTCAGGCCATACCAGATCCTCTTGTACCAAGTTTCATGAGCTTCGTTGTATGCCAATCCAGGCCATCCGGCCAAGAATCCGCCCCACATTTCCAAAGGAATCTTGAAAAATCCGTCAAAGAATCCGCGAAGCCCAATTACGTTCTGCTTCATCAAGAACTCTCCACCGTACACAGCAAAGTTGCGTTGACGAATGTTTTCGGGGGACCATAGGGCATGGTACGCAGATGCTATGGCCCGGTCAAGGTTGACATCGGATGACTTTAGCTCTTGTTTGATAGCCATGGCGGCGTCTGTGGCCCCCATCAGACAACGACATATATGGAATCCTGTGCTGGGATGGACCATGGCAGCAGCACCGCCGACACCCAAGATTCGCTGATCTCGCATGGGTAGGGCTCCGCCCATGGGAATGTAACAAAACTCTTCTTCTGTCACTTTGGTCACTTTGATTCCGTGGTGATCCAATCGTTGGAAGAGTCTATCCTTGCACTCCTGGAACGATACACCCGGTCTTGCCACCAAGGAAGTCTCTTCAGCAAAGAAAGTATTGTCCTTCAACGGCATAACGTAGTTGAAGGTGGGAACCTTGGTTGCTCTATCCACCTCTTCTTCTGTGGGGAAGTGGTCGGTACGGTAATCAAACAACGTCATGGCTTCCTTGGCGTATGGTCCAAATTGGGACATGTCTGAAGAGCTGGATTCGTCAACCTCCAAGACGGCCCCGTAGGCAATTTGGAATCCCGGTGGTGAATATTGTCCTCGGGTGTCTTTCATCACAAGCTTGGTTTCATGACCAGTGGTATCAATCACAATCTTTGCTCTCATGGTGATGGGTGTATCACTATCCTTTGGTTGCAACTGGATGGTAGTCCCATCTTCATCGTGCACTAGACTTCCAGCTGGTTTGTACATGTTGACACCAGTGGCCTCCGAGATGTGATTGGCCTTTACCACCCGAAAGTTTTTGCTCAAGGTTTCTTTCAAGGCAAAACGGTCCACTCGGCAATAGGGACGATCCAGACGCATTCGATTATCCGCTGGAATGTCAAAGGAGCCACCAAAATAGCAATCTGTAACTTCCCACTCTATGTCAATTGAATTTCCAGCGGCTCCACCTTCAATTTTGATCCCAGCTTCGGCATATTTGTCCAAGACTGTTTGCCATTCATCCTTCCAAACTCCATAATTTGGGACCCACGCGGATTCGTAATTTTGATCCGCCATGACTACGTCCAATTCCCCTCCAACTCCAAGCAAAGAGGCCATTGCCGTACCAGCTGGTCCACTGCCCAAAACTAGAACATCGCAAGTATCATCGTATGAATCTCCATTTGTTCTAGCAAACAAACAAGGTGATTTGCTGGCATCTTTTGATGAAAACTTGTTCTGCAAGGCAGCAGATCGCTTTATACTTCTGTTGGGGGATACAAAGGCAAGACTTGTTGCAATCAAGTAGCTTGCGTGAAGAAAGAGTAGAGTCCTCATTCCTGTGACTTGCTCAGTCAATTATTGGAATGAATGAATGGGATTTTTGTTGATGGTCCAGGTTATTGACATCCTCTAAAACAACACGTGTTCAACTCCTGACTCAAACGAGTCCCGTGTTTCCGTCTGGCCTTCCTTGCGATTGATTCATCATCACCTGAACCATGGCCAACAACAACAAAGGTCAGATTTGAAAAAGAGCGTTTCTATTTTGAAAGCCCTGTCTTGATTGGTGTGCGTGAAACTCCGTTGGTCTGAACAAGTAGATTAGAATATTGTACAACTAGAAAGGAATATGTCAGACAACGATAGCCGCGCCAAAGAAGCGGCCAAACAACTGTTTTGCGGTGGCATTGCCGGTTCTGTTGCCAAGTCCGTGACGGCCCCCTTCAGTCGGCTCACTATTCTGTATCAGGTCCATTCGATGGTTACCACAAAACATGATAGGCCAGCATATGCCATGAATTTAAGAGGTGGGTTCCAGAAGATCGTGGAACGTGGTGGTATCGCGTCTCTTTGGAAGGGAAACATGACCTCTGTATTGCACCGCTTTCCTTATTCAGCAATCAATTTTTACGTCTACGAAAATACGCTGGATATATTGACTGGAATCGGTGGGAAACATGAAGAAGTCGATGAAACGGTTGCTCATCTGGCTAGGCGGATGAGCATATCAACTCAAGTGAAGCGTCCAAGTAAAACTTCAACCTCATCACAGTCTCAAACAAATCAAACAAAACCAATTCACAAGTTCATCGCTGGGGCTGTCGCTGGAACTGCTGCAGTGGTTGGCTGCTATCCACTTGATCTGGTAAGAACGCGACTGACAACAGAGTTAGAGGGGCGAGAGCACTATAAAGGCATCAGAGATGCATTTAGGAAAATTCTGGCGGAAGAAGGCATAATGGGATTCTACTCTGGAATTACCCCTACGTTAATGGTGGCGGTTCCCAACTTTGCCATATCTTACAGTGTTTATGGAACATTAAAAGAGCACGCTCTGGATGATGATCTCTTTTACAATCTACGTCGAATCGATGCAGACTCTGGAGAACCAAGATTGGGATTACTTCTTACGGTATTATGTGGTGCGACGAGCGGGTGCATGTCAACAACCCTTACTTTCCCCATGGACACTATCCGAAGACGAATGCAAATTCAAAATCTTCATATTGCCGCCGAACATAGACTGACATCTCGCCAGCAACTGATGCGTTTGGTGAAGGATGAAGGCCTGATAAGTTTGTACCGAGGATTGACACCAGAAATGTTGAAGGTGATTCCAATGGTAGGAACAATGTTCGTAGTCTACGAATGGTCCAAAGAAATGCTTGATGTGAAGCATAATCGGTAAGACGTGACAAACAAACAGTTTATTCCTCGCTCTGCACGTGGTCCTCAGAAAGTAAGCACTTTGCTTTCTTAATTGCAGCGATGTCTAATAAATGTAAATAGTATGCCAGTCTTAGAGCTGATTCGGTACCTTGCTGCTTAGTTCTACATTGCTACTGTATCTACTGATGTCACAAACGCGACACCACTGGGGGGGGGGGAATATCAGGAAGAGATCCAACCATGGTGCCAGCAATCCAAGGAAGGTCAAAGGAAGGTCGAAGGAAGTTCATCACCTTTGTGTGGTTGGTTTTGGTCGCGCGCCGAACCACATTGCGAAAAGACGTTGGTCGGCAGGCGGAAAAAATGAGGCAACAACTTTTCCGAAAACACAACGTCCATTTTCAATTCTGGGTGGAAATCCTATCTCATTTTCTAAGATACTTGCATTCTACAAGCTTTATTTTAATACTACTTCAGAAACTTTATCATTATGGCGCGAGGAAACCAATTTGTTATGTCGGTCGTCTGGATCATTCTTCTTTGCTTCTTCGTTTGGCCTCTAGCTGCCTGTGCAGGTCTTTTGTGGTTGTTCCTACAAGTAAGTGTTGGTGCTTTATTGCTTTTCATGCACCAACTGCAGTCTATTGACTCTTTTATCGCTCTCTATGCAGCCCTTCGAAGCATGTTTTGATGTTGTGGGCCAACTTAATCGCTTCCTGGAGAAGATCGTCACATGGCCTCGCGAATTTGGACATGCAATTGCGTCGGGAACCGAGTCATGTCCACAACCCTAATGCGTGACAATTAAAATCATCCGGCAGCCTCAGTGCGCCCCCAAGAGTGTCAGTTATCCTTACACAGCGTCCAGGTACAATCAGAAACAAGGTGCAAGAGTTTGTTGAATGTGCTGCCTTTTACAGAAAGCCAGCTCATGCACCTTGAGGTTGCTCTTCTCATGTTAATCAGAAGTAGTAGCACAAGCTTGCATATACTCTTTGTCCATCAACTCTTTGTCCATCAATTCGCACAACTGCGTTCATAGCTTCGTTTCTAGCGGCAGTGTGCCACCAGTACGGCACCCAGTTTCACGATTGACACACGGCAGATATTTTGGGTCGGCATCAAGACAAAGTGGGAAAGCCATGTCCACTGACTGCTTATGCTTCTCCACCATAATTTTGATATATTGAATTTCTTGCAAGTAGTCGCTTGGATCCAGCGGGTTCGATTCTGCAGGGTCGGCGAGAACGTCGAAGAGCAAAGGAGGGTCGTGATACTGCTCAATGTCGTCATTGTAATGTGCACTCTTTGTCCATATCCATGCTTTCAAGCTTCCATATTTCACCTAAGAGACAACGCAACGCAAGTGAGAATTTTTCCAATTTTGAATTCATTGTAATTGTTTTTGCTCACAGCAGCCACGTCGAACCGCCCATATGGAGGAGGCAGTGGACCAGACTCGAAACCATCTCTCCAGAAGAAGAGAACGCGTTTCGCTTCAATATTCGTAGACTCGCCAGTAAAAATTCCACTCATATCTTTACCATCAAGATTGAGAGGTATAGGTTTCTCAAGTAGCGACAAAAAGGATGGAATGACATCAAGAGTCGAAATTAGATCTTGCGAGACACTGCCCTGTGGTATTTTGCCAGGAAAGCGTGCCAGGGCAGGCATTCGTAAATTAGCTTCCCAGACTGAACCAAGTCCACTGTCTTCGCCACATGGAACACCTTCCAATGCGAGTTCTGTGTCGGGAAGTACGCATCTTCGTGGCTGCCCATTTGTTGGTTGAGGAACATAGTCATGCGGACAAGCGGTGCAGGACGGACTTGAATGATCCCGAAACCTATTTTGAAATGAGTCTAGAACGACAAGCAAGTTTACAAGATATACAAATGCTCACCATTCCGCGGCGAACGGCCCCTTTGATCCAGAGCATGATTGTTCTGCAACCCAAGGCCCATTGTCGCTTGTGAATAGAACTAGAGTATTGTTTGTTACTCCAAAATCATCCAGTGCTTTCAGAATCTCGCCTGCTATCCAATCCATTTCTTCCACTGCGTCAGAGAATGTTGCGTTTTCCTTTGCTGCCCACTGACAGTTCCTTTGCTCCGGCATATCCTTTGGAGCACAGAGTTGATGAACATGGCTGAATGGCACGTATAAGAAGAAAGGAATATCCTTGTCACTGTTCTTCTGAATAAAAGACCTGGATTCTGAGGCATACTGGATAGCCAAGTCGTCAAGTTGAACAGGTTGTTCTTCAATGGAAGTGTCACGATACAATGGCAGTAACATAGTCCCATCATCGTCACCGTGACAAGTGTGGTTGTCAACGGACCCACCACTCATATGATACGGGACCCCCAACCAGCTATCAAATCCTTGATTTGTAGGGAGGAAAGGCTCTCGATGACCCAAATGCCATTTGCCAACAATTTTCGTAGCATACCCAAAGCCTTTCAACATCTCGGCAAGTGTTGTTTCTTCTGGCAATAGCCCAAATCTCGCATCGGAACGAAATACCCTTGGATAGACCCCTGTTCGCACAGGATATCGTCCAGTTAGGAGCGCCGACCGACTTGCTGAACACAAAGCAGCTGCAGAATTCCAGTTTAAGAATTTCATTCCATCGACAGCCAAGTTGTCGATGTTGGGCGTCTTGGTGTGCTGAGGATTCGACTTTGATTGAAAAACTGAAATGTCGTCATATCCTAGGTTGTCTGCGAAGAGAATCACAAGATTTGGGAACTCGGTTGCGTTGGAAGTCGCTATGGTTAGCAGTAAAGAAGTGATAAGAGAGAGGAGCATGACTCACTCTCTTGATTTCAGATCATCGATTGGAAGAGAAAATCTTTCGACAGCCAATCTGACTACTTCGACCAAACAGCAGTCTGCCAAGAATAATGTCCTGCTTGCGACATTTCATCACTTATTGGCAGCGAGCGCGTCCTCTGACAGTTTGTTTTGCTCACGTCAAAGCTTTTGGCGACTTGCGATCGCAAAAAAGCCAACAGATACCTCTCTCAATTGTTGCAACGAAGTACCTGAATGTTTTAAAAGAAGCATTACACTGCAACAAAACTCAATAAACTACCAATGAGAGACATCACGTCGGCTCTATACAGGTTAGAGTCCCCGTCGATGACTTCCCGAGACCCTGATGGCGTCGATTCTCGTGATATTGATGCCGTTCGTCTGGAACCTGCTGGTTCACACTCTGAAGCTGCTTTCCCAACCGATTCAGTTTTCTCAGGTATCACTGAAGATATCGATATTTCTATTCCAGTGCCGCTCCAAAAATCTTTCGATGCGGCAAGGCTTGTAGGTATCCCACCTCCGCCACCCAAGAACCCTCCACCAAAAAAGAAGGGAGCGAAAAAGAAGGATAAACAAGTGGATACAAAGCAAACTGATGGCGAACAAGGCAATGACGAAAATGTGGATGACGTCAATGTTGCATCTACGGCTAGTGCTTCGGGTTCAAAATCTCTGTTGAATCAAAAGCAAGCGGCAAAGACTGAGGATGAGGATGCAGAAGATGATGAAAGTCTCTTTTCCTTCATAACGACCGAAAGTAATACCATCGACGTAGATGACTATTCACTGGCATCTCGATCCGTAATGAGCGTCAAATCAAATAAACGAGACCTTCCAGCTCCATCTCCAGCGAGTGTTGCTACTAGGCCTCACAGCAACACAACGAAGGAAGGGAATGCGTCGGACGAAGACGAGATCGCAAATTTCTTTGCTCCAGACGGAGAAGCTCAGAAAGCAACAAGGGATAAAAAACGAGGTTTCCTTAGAAAGCTGTTCCGTGGCCGAGGAAAGACTAAGGGTGATGTTGGGCAAATGGATGTGATTGCAGAGTCTGCTACACAGGAATTCAACCCTGATGCTGGAACAGACAATGAGAAGCCAACCGAGATGCTGGCGCCAACCACTCAAGGAAAGGCAAAAGAGAACTCAAAAAACAATGATGCTGAAGAACATGAGTTTGTTGACCTTGATGATCATACTATTGTTGAGCAAGATGAATCTGACGAAACCACGCTCAAAGCTTCCGCATCTAATCAAAGTCTCGCTCAAGATCCACCAGATCACGAAAATGGTGATCCACCACAGCGCAGTGGCCGCCCATTGCTCTCCCCTAGAAGTGTAAAGAAGACGATGCAGGTCATCGACGTTGATGGAGAAGGAACCGGGCGTTCTCGTATTGCTAATTTCTACGGCCCTGCGGGGAACAACGACTATCTCGTGCAGGCTATCCCAAGTACTCTATCTATTGATCGATCGTTGTACGGTGGAGATATATCCATCAACCAAAGGCTCTCTGTTGATCCTGAAGCCGATGGGGAACCTCCCAGAATTTTGTCAACCAAGGCTCGGGGCGCAGAGGCAGTCAAGGTCGAAGTATACAAGGAAGGTCGAAAGCCAACCCCAAAGAATGATGAACAGCTTCTCGTTCTTGTCCCAACTGAAAGTGTTGATCCGGTTGGTGCTTCCCCCAGACTTGACGGCGATACTCGTGGCCGCGCAGAGGTTGAGGTTGTTTTCAAGGAGCCTGCAGGAGCATCTCCCCTTGCATGGAAAGTGGCTCATGATGATCCCTTTGGCACATCTCCACGTCATGCTGAAGAATTGAAGAACCGTGAGAAGAATAGAGCGTTTACAGTGTCAAGAGCCAAGAGCGAGGACCCTCCTCTTGCTGATAAAGAGGTTGTACTGTCAAAAGCCAAAAGTGAGGACCCTCCTCTTGTCGAGGAAATTGCCAACCAAGTTGTCGACGAAATTGTAATCAAAGCTGACAACGAAACTGTCGAGGAACCTATCGAGGAACCTATCGAGGAACCCATTGAGAAAGTTGCAAAGGAAACCGACGAAGAAGCTATGAAATACGTTGTTGAGACATCAAAACAAGACATGGGCACCACAATGAAGCCACCAGTTGCACCAGCAATGTTGGATGTTGTCACAGAGACAGAAATAGAGGAAACTTCTCAGAAAACGGTTGGAGATGGTTTCGACGCCGCACAGAATGAAAATAGACCCGAGGCATCTCGTGCAGCCTCGGATCTAAACGAGTCTTTTGTCCAAGATGCGTCGGAACCTAATCCGGTCAGGGTGGAAAGAGAAATTGAATCTACAGATGAACGAGCAACAAAATTATTTTCTGTTTCCGCGGCTGCGTTCTCCAACGCTGAAACAATCGCCTACCTCCATGAGTTGCAAGGTCAAGCTTCGCCTCGCCATTCATGGCATACTTCCAAGCGACGAAGCGACGCTGTCCCTCCCAGTCCGTTGCCCACACAGAAAAAGACCCCAAAGGAAATTCTGAAAGCAAAACTTCGGGAAAAATACAGCATGGTGCAAGAATCGGACAGGAAGAAGGCACCTTCTCCAAACGAATACACTGCCGAAAACTTCGATGATACTATTGAGAGAGCAAACAAACTTGAAAGAAAGAACATCTCAAAATTCCAAGGTTTTGGATACCAATCGAGGTTCAAGGGTCGCAAACCAACCAAGAAAGATAAACAACAAGCTGATTCAGTCAACATTCCAAATGCGAAAAATACTCGAAACGAAAAGCCCGAAGAGGGCAGCTCCGCTTCCTCTGATAACAGATACACGACGATTAAAGTGATTCCAGGAAAACTTGCGGCCCAAGCCGTTGCTCGAAATCGCCCAACAAGGAAGAATGTGAACTCAGAGCCAGAAAGTCAACAGCAACAGCGCCTTAAAAAACAGAGGCGAGAAGGACAGAATCGTTTTCGCTTCAGGGTACCCGAGGCCGAAATCAAGGATCCCATTCAAAGAGCCAGTCGACGATTGCTTACAAAAGCTGCATTGCGAATCCAAACTGCTGCACGAATGTATTTGGCCAAACGCGAAGCTGTGGATAGGATGTGGGCACTATTGGCAATCCAATCTTATAGCCGCAGGTGGAAGTGCGAAGCAATCTTAAGAGAGAGAGTGAATGCCATCAAAGCAGTTCAGTCGATAGCTCGTGCATTGATTGTGAAGAAGGAAATTGCAAGAAGAAATGCTGCTGCGGTGAAAATCCAGAAAACTCTTCGAGGATACCTCACTGCTGCAAAGGTCTATGACATGGTATATTGCCTTGTTTCCATTCAGTCTTTGATGAGAGGGGCGTACGTGAGACATATGAAGGCAAAACGGAAGGCACTGTTGGGTGCCAATGCACACAAGGCGATTCCCATGCAGTCATTGATTCGTGCATTCATCTCTCGTAAGGAACTAGTCGGACGGCATGTTGCCGCAAGTAAGATGCAGAGCATCTGGCGAACATACGTCGCAAAGATTGAGGTGCAAATGCAAATTGTCGACATCATTGTCATGCAAAGTGTGGTCCGACGGTGGCTCGCATGTCAGCAGGCGAAGGCAATTAGAAATGCTCCATACTTCAAACCTGCAAGCACGATTCAAGCCATGGTTCGAGGTCGTCTTGCAAGAACATACCACAACAAAATGTTGGCTGCACAGCAAATCCAAAGGGTGTGGCGCGGGTTCCAAGCTTACACCGACTACGTGTTTGCACTCGTTGATATCATCGTGGTCCAAAGGAAGGTGCGACAGTTTCTCGCAGTGCGCAAGGCCAATGCACTTCGACAAGAGAAGTCATCAAAACTTGAGAACTTCGCAACCAAAATCCAGAAGACTTGGCGAGGATTCTGGTCTTTCTCTCAATATATTATTGTTCAATATGAAGTCACTCGCCTACAGGCCATTGTTCGCGGAAAGTTAGCCCGGGAAAACTATCAATTCAAATTGGGTTGTGCCATTATCATCCAAGCAAAGGTCAGGCAACACCTAGCAAGAAAGAAGTTGACTTCTGAAAAGCTAGACCAAACAATGGTACTTGCGAAGGCCGAGGAACTTCGGGAAAAGAATGCAGTGAAACGTATCCAATTCTGGTGGCGTATTGTTCTTGAATGGTCCAAGGAAAAGAAGGCAGCGCTAGTCATCGAGCGATTCTTCATCAATGTGAAGAAAGAGGTTGAACGCGAGGTGCGCAGAAGACGACGAAGGTCATCGACACAGCGCAAGGACAGGAAGCACCGTGCATCGCAGTCTCTTCGAGGAAGCAGTCAAATGGTTTCCTTCGACAAGGAAATGATCAATCGCAGTCAAAGTGCGCCAAGAGCACGAAGGCCACCCACTACTCATCGAACACCAACCAATACGGGTCGCAATCGCAGAATGCCATCTCCTTCTCCACGCCATTTGAACAAAGACTACCGGAACTGGCCAGTCGACTCGGTCCTCCAACTCTCTGAAAGCAACGTGTCCGAAGTTTCAAACATTACTACACCAGAGGCATTGCTCCGCTCATCGGCAAGCTTTGATCGACGCCAGAAAGGAACGAGAACAGCAACTGACTACATCCAGAAGTACAATAAGGCTGAGGTGTATTCCGCGGACAACAGACAGGGTCGTGCGCCACAAAAGCGCTCAGAATCTCCCGCTCGTGTTGATCAACAATCACAGCACTTCTTCTCAGATGGGCGGGGAACTCCTTCAAGGAACGAAGGTGTGCCTCCACGCACCGACAGGAAAGCAGCAGCTGCAATGGGACAACATGGAAGACGTCGCTCAACCTCAGGAACCCCAAGAGGACACAGAATGCCGCCATCACCACACAGACTGCCCCCATCTCCACACCGAATGCCTCCTTCGCCTCACCGACAATCTCCATCGCGGCACCGAATGCACCCATCCCCACACCGGACTACACCTTCCCCTCGCCGAACGCAACCTTCACCACACCGCGTTTCTTCATCGCCGAACAGAGGTGCGCAATCTCCTCGCAGAGAGAGGCTCTCCAATTTGCCACCTGTTGATTTATCGAAACATGGAGCCATTAAGCGGGATGAAACCGTGGAGACAGATTCGATGAGCCACAGCACTGTATCAAGGTCAGTATATGACAACACCCGTAACCCTGCCGAAGAGAGAGGATACTCTTCTAAACGCGAACTCAGAGACCAGCCGATCTCATACCTCGGTCCCGACTATGGAGAGGTTTAAAAAATTGAGTAGTACCAATAATGATTTTCCCACAGCGCTTGGGACTAAACATAAAGTTATAATATGTGTTTCAATGACATAATAAGAGTTTTTCATGCCGAGCGCATCGAGGCTGTGATTGAGAGACTGTGATCACGTTGAAGACAATAGTTGCAACAACACTCTGGTTGCGAGCCAAGAAGTATCACAGCCTCTCATCATTACATAACATCATACCCGAAAATCTCTATTTAGTTTACTGCTTTTGCTTCAAAGACTCATCTGGCTTTTCCTCCTCTCCGGATTGTTGGCCTTCTAGTATTCTATCCATATCTCGATCCCTCCCTTCACTCTCTAGCTTAACAAGTTTATTGGTCTCAAGCCATGAAACAAGTTCCTGGACCGTCAATACACCATCACCATCCGTATCCTTTCAAGTAGAAGACAATAATGAGAAACCAAAACGAAATCCATCAACAAATTGTACAATCACTCTGATCTCCTCTTACCATAGCATCAACCAATTCCATGGCTTCCTCATTTGTAATCTGTCGCTTTAGAACTTGTTGTAAGCATTCAACAATTTCTTCCTGCGTCAGAAGACCATCGTTATCCTTGTCCAGAAGGTGGAGCTTATCTCCAATTTGAATCTCTGCCTTCGAGAGCTGCACTTCAATTTTGTCAACCATGCTCGCGATTCGCTTTTTCAGTCTTGCAACGACAGCATCTTCTTCAGGTTCAGGTTCCTCCTCAACAACCTCGCTCTCCCCTTCTACGAAGGACGCGTCATGAGCTTTCTCTCCCTCGCTGGTGTGAGTCGTGAAGACAGTCGACTCGTCTGCCTCTTTTGCAGCCTTCGTCTCCATCGCGTCAATTTTCTCAGTAGCCGAGCTCAAATCGTCACTAACATTCTCCGCGAAATCAGTGGCTGCTTGCTCATTATCTTCTGTTGCGTTTTCGGCGGCATCCTCCTCTGACTCTTCTTTCGCTTTTAGGGCCGACTTGATCCGTTCTAGATCTTGCCTTTCCTTGCTCACCGGATCAGCTGAAATCAGCTGTTCGATTGCCTCGATTTCATCAGCCGATAATTCCGTAGAATATACAACTTCTCCTTGCTCATCTTCCACTTCGATTCCATCTTCCACAATTTTGACGACCGTTTTATCAGCATCCATACCAGTTGGTGTGGCATGCTCGACTTCCGCAATGATATCCTTAGCCGTCTTTTTCCTAAGCGACACATTTTCTTGTTTCGGCTCCTTGCTTTTTTGTTCACTGCTTTGCTCATTTTCCTCTTTGACGGCTGGAGCGGCAGCATCTTCCGACTTCGCCTCCAATTCTTCAGCGGCCGCTTTTGCCAACTCAATTTTCTTTTCTCTTTCAGCTTGTTCTTCCCCAATCATTTTGTTTTGATGTGACAAAACTTCAAGCTTAATCTTTCTCACTTCAGGATCTGACTTCTGTTCTTCCGAGGTTGCAACCCCCAAGATGACCTCATTCAGCACGTCCTTATCCAAGCCACTGATCGCATCAGCAAGTCCAGCAACACCAGCGCTATCTTCGCCAGTGGTTGCTGATACCATTTCTTCCTGCAAGAAATAAGTACGGCTCATGATCAATAGAGAGATTGGTACATCGAAGTTCACACTCAACTCCAGCCATTGTTGCAGCGAGCGCTTGTATGCTGCTTTGCTAAGACCCGTCGAACGCATTCCTCGGTCTTGACATGCTTCTCGGAGCTCCATTTTTGTTAGAGAGTTGATACCTTCAAACAAGATACGCTGGTCGTCTTCCTTTAACGACCTAATCTTAAACCGTAGTTGGAATCTCAAGAAGTTGTCGGATCCATAAGGAGTGATCCCCATGTATTTGCACATCTTTTAAATTCAAAAGACGAAGAGAAACGTGAGAATATGAAGAAGAGCGATGTGGACAGGATTTCACAACGTCATCTTACATTGATCAGCTGCATTCTTGGCATGTTGTCCAATGTAAGATCATCCTTGAAATACTTAGCATACCGAATGATGACCTCAGGGGGCATCATTTGTCCATTTCTGGCCCCTTCCAGGAATTCCAACATGGATGCAGCGGATTGTTTTTGATTGATTGACTCCTCATCATCCGGTTTTTCGTCATTTCGCTTTCCAACAATGCGCTTTTGTTCCTTTGCCAACTCTTCCAATGTGCTGAAGGAAAAAAATCGTGAAACAGTCATAGGTGAGAAAAAGTGCCAACAGTTGCATAACAGTAGAATCCATGATGCTCTTCGCTTACTCCTGGAAAAACTCAGCCATGGCAATACGGGATTTTAGCTCTCGCTTCATGTTTTCCTCAGACTTCAAGGAGTCTTGGAAAGTACTGGGAAGCATGTTGGGAAATAGACGAAGTGCAAACGGCAACACGAACTCCATCATAGGGATGATGATGAACATCGAAAATGGAACCAGACGGAACAGATCAGACACAGTTCGAAGAAGCTGCTTTCTTTCGCGTCTTGTCAATGTCGAACCAGAAAGTGTTCTGCCTAACAAATTACGAGCTGTCCGAACGTCGGCCATCAAAAGCTACAACGGTTTTGATACAGGGATTCTGTGAGTTTGGTGAACAGAGTTTTCAGTGATGCTCAAATCTTGAGCTGGTCGTACCTTTGATCCAGTCCAGTAATGGTCAAATTCTTTTTTGGCCATCGCCTTGATCTCGGCAATTTTAGCCCTTCGGTCCTCAGAATTCATAATGTAGTACAAAGTATTTCCAGGCAGTTTAACGAGAAAGGAAACCAAAATTTTTGTGGCATACCAAGTCATATCCAGTCCACTTTTGAACACTTTCATTGGATCAATGGCAGAGATTGTTTTTCTGATGGACGACGACGATTCAGTCTTTGGAGTTGGGATTTTGGCGCCTGTTCGTCCTGGTCTGCTGGAGAAGGAAAGTCTACTCTCAAAACGGTAGGATGTTTTAGGTCTTTCGAGGCCACTAAATGGTCGAATCGGACCCGAAAGTCTCATTTCATAAGTAGGCTGTGAAACCGAAGATCGTCGATAGTATGCGAGGTCTTTATCATCCGTAGATGACTCGTCGTCGTTGTCAATCTTGCAGGCAGCTGGAATAGATTGTGTCGATGGCAGATGGATTTCTCTGAATCTTTGGTTGGAATTGTACGCATATGTTTGCAACTGATCACCATATGCTGGTTTGGTGAGGAGCTGAATACTTCTGTTGGATCCAGAAAGGCTGTGCCTGGATTTCAGTTGCTGGGTCAAGCTTTCATATGGATTTGTGCCACCCAAGGTCCGCACCAAAAGACGACTCGGTTTTCCTTTGTCCAACTGCAGTTTCGTTCCTCTTCGGATTGCATTGTACATGTTATAGACTATCGGTGTAACTGCTGCACCAGTGGTTCTGATATGTTTGATGTGGGTATGCTACTCCGACAAACGATCGAAATGTGCTTCCAGAAGGAATAAGATTAAAAGATTCAAGATTCAGGACCTCGAAAGAAAAAGCCGTTGAGTTCATCACATGCGTGGATTCAACGCACGACGTACGTACCTCGTGGTTCTGTTTCCGATGAAAGTTTTACTTTTATAAATATGGAGGACTACACCGGTATGATACGAGTACCTGTACTGCGTGGGGAATATTTTTTTTATTTTAAAAGCTACTCGTATAATATAATATGTATTAGCTCATCTGTGTCTTTGTCTAAGTTTGAGTGTCGTGTCCATCAAAATCTGTAATGCCCGTCGCTTTGTCTATCTCTACTATGATTGTTCATCGATTGGGATTGAAAGTCGTACAGGCTTTCGATCCTTTTCCTCTTTTATGGGTGCACTAAGTCGTAAGACACCTCTGCTCAAGTTTGCCGACATTTTCTCGCAATCAACCGACGGTCCCAGTCTTAATCGCTGGGAGAAAGAAGAAGAGGAAAACTGGCGAAACCGAGCATCACCCTCCATGGTAGGTCGGCGATTGGCGCTCTGACCAAATTCAATGACACAGGAAGGGATATCCACAACCTCTAGGTTCATCTCTTCCTTTTTGGTACCAGGTACGTCAAATTCAACGTACACATTTTGATTATCTTGGTGCATCCGGTAGGATGCTCGTTGAAATCCACCATGGAATGCGTTCTGAAAAGCTGCTGCTGGGAACGGAAAAGAGTCATGTTCCGTCATTGGATCCTGCCGCTGGGAGCCAAAACCAGCAAAAGCCTGAAATAAATTGTCCATTTCATCGTCGATTGTCCTTCTAGGTTGTATTTCCTCCGCATTTAGCTGATCATGGATTTCTTCTTCTAACTTCTGAGGATCATGATCAAATAAGCGGCCAAAAAACGAACTCCCCTCGCTTTTTGATGATTCACCTTCCTTTGGGTGGTCTCCTTCAGCAGATGGCATTTTCAGAGTGAATTAGAAAGGAATGTCGAAGCAGAAACGGGACCATGCCATGAGGTTTGAACCTCTTCGTAACTTTTTGGTCTTGGTGTCAAAACTTCTATCGAAAACGATGTCGGGACGACTAGTACGACTCAGACGAACGGTCGTATTCAGTATCTATCATCAATATGATTGATTGCAGAATATGAATACTACAGTAGTTAGTCTGACACCGCATTTATTCGTAGTCCATTCATCCATTTATAAAACTACATAAATTCCATGGATTCCTCAATATCATTGATGCAAACATTACAAATGAAGGTATCCAAAGTGTTTGGATTGCCTTCAATGCGTGGCTCACAACAAGCTGCATGTTGAACTTTCGGACAGAGGTCGCAACAGAGCAAATTTCCGCCATCGTCACATATGCAACATTCTGATCCATTTGCTCCTTTGTTCAATTCGTATCCTTGCTTTAGCGCCAAATCCATATACTTTTTCATTCTCTCCGTTGCTGTCCCAGTAACCTTTCTCGGTTTTGGCCTTTGGGCCGCCATCAATATTGAATTTGACGACGGGCCTGTATTCTTCGAGTAAAGCTTTTGGCACCTGTACTCCGCAATCGCCGCATCAAGGATGTATACATGTAATAGTAAAGACGAGAGTTTCCCATTGACAAGAATCACATGAGGGGTGGACCACCCAGCGCCATCCGTTCTCCACCAGCCCGGAAGCAGCTCCTTTTGTATCGACGCAAGCAGCGTGACGTATGCCTGGGAGAGCTGCCCCGCACATGTTGCCTCTGTCACAAATCGCTTCCAAACATCATGGTTGTTTTCGTCCCAAAGTCTACATCCAAAAAGGGGATCAAAATTTCGCCTTGGCTCACGAACCTTTAGCTGTTCCGGCACAATATCCCCTATTTCCAAAATTAGGACCTTTGCCTCTCCAAGACTGCCGGGGAGAGCCTTCCGCATTCCGCTACTTCGAATAAGTGTGTTTATGAGGCAGCAACCAGATCCAAAACAGTGTTCACTCTCGGCATCGGTTGTATTCGGTTCCAAACACTTTACCGTCTTCTCCCAAGGAAGAGTACAGAGATCACAACCAATACAGTTGCTACACAAAGTGTCGCTTGAAAGTCTTTTCTTTTCCTGGAGCCTTTCTCTCTCGTCAACATTCACACTGACTAATGATCTGGTCTCCTCAACTGAACAGTACTTGAGCAACTCGTGGTCATCGAATCGTAGATTTCCTGTAGTCCTGACCTCAAACCGACTTGATATGCTCTCCATCAACCGAGCAAGACCACAAACGATTGCTGACTCATGCACACTAAGAGTATCTTGCACTTGCTCGATCTTTGAACTGAACTTATCATCAATGACCAGAAAAATACGCCTTCCAGTAGGAGATTGCGAAAAACGTGTTCCTGACTTGGAGGTCTTTGTTGGCAGTTCTCCTGACTTGGTGAAAAAGTCAAAGATCTGACTCCGAACGTACAGTGCTGATGACAAATCGCAGTACAAATCACGTATCTTTTGACCATCTGAGATTCTGACGCATCGGCTGCGAACCCCTACATCGAAAAAGCCAGATAAGTCGCCATAGGAAAAGCAGTATTTGTAATGGTCGACCAGATCTTCCTTCGAAGTGAAGCTCAGAGTTTCACGATGCTCAGCCTCGTTGTTCTTGTCCTTGGCGAGGAAACACCCCCAAGGACAGTGATACCGGTCAGAATTTCGCATCACCAACCGGTTACTTGACGAACTTGCTGAACTAAGTTCGGTATCTAGGAAGAACGAATACTGTTGCTGGCAGATTCTTGTCGCCGTGCTGTCATTCAACTGGTCAATGGTAATGTAGAGAGCTTCAGGATCATTGACAATCCAGAAACAATTTCGACCGTCCGGAAAATCGCCAAGATAGTTCATTTGACCCTTTGTTTTGTTTGGCGGTGGTAGTGAGCTCGATTGTCGGGGCACTTCTCTATCTAGGGTCGAATTGCAGGAGGTGTCGCACGGAGTTTCTTGCCTTGATTCATGTTCCGTGACTGCCGTCTCTGCTTGATTGAGTAAATTGGAGCCTGGTGCACTCTGTATCTCTGGACTGTCTGTAGCTGCAGCTGCTGCAGTATTCTTGGGAGAAAGTCCGTCATGGTTTGTATTCGAGTTGTTTGCATCGATCGATAGCTTTTGATCACCACCGTCTTGTAGCTCAGTGCCTGCATTTGTGTCGGTATGATTGAGACGGTTCTTTGCAGGCCCTTTCCCTTTTGCGTATAGCTCTCTAATGACAGAAGAAGCGGTTGCAGAATAACCATCATTTGCGGTCATATCGATTACAAAAATTTCGTTGCTCGCTTCTTTGTGCATGACGGCATCAACAAACTCTCCAATGTCCTCAAGAAAATGACACTCAACATCAATCGTCATCTCCGCCACAAGCTTAACATCTGGCTCAGGGTTCACAAATCCAACCAGCATTTTGTTTTCTTTTGATTCTTCTGTCTGAACTAACATGTAGACGGGCAACCCATTCCATTGTTTCACCGGTATTTCTGAAAGACGTGTTCTACCCACTTCGTCGTCGATTGAGGTCCCACCACCACGAATACGCTCCCCGTTCATGTGCGTCGCCTGGTTGCTTTCATTTGGTCTGTATGCCACTTGAGGTGGACGATTCTGCGTGGGCGGCTCAAATAGCTGAGGATCATAATGTGGAGGCGGCTCTAATGGGTTGCGTTGTGGGCCATAATATGGAAGCTGCTTCAATGGGTCGGGCGGTGGGTCATAATGGGGAGGTCCATTGGGCTGTGGGCCATATTGTAGAGACGGTTCCATTCCACTGGGCGGTGAGCCATACTGCGTAGGGGACTGATTCTCATGGTGTTGGAAATGCTGCTGGTACTGCATTTGCTGAGACTGAGCTTGCTGGTGCGGAAAGGACTGATTCTCATGGTGTTGGAATTGTTGCTGGTAGTGTATTTGCTGTGACTGACCTTGTTGGTGTGGAGGGGGCTGATTCTCATGGTGGTGGAACTGCTGCTGGTAGTGCATTTGCTGCGACTGGGTTTGCTGCGCTGAAGCAAGCAATCTCTCCAGACACCGGTCGACCGGGAGTCTGTCAACTGGATATCGGTACGTCCAAAAAGCATCGTCGCTGCTTGTTGCATCGGGATTGGCCTCCCGAAACACCACTTCTCCAATTTCAGGGTTCTCCTTATTAATGGCTCGCCTCCAGTCCAATGCCATGAATGAGGCAAACATTTGATCTGTTAGTTTTGGCATAATTTGAATGACCTGTGATGTCCATGTTGCCATGATTTTGAATTGGTTCCGAACCAAAGCAGGATTGTAGCGTGGACACAGCAACCGAATTCCAAGCTTTGGCTGCTGCCTCTTGAAACATTCAAGGAGAAGTGCTGTTTCTCCCAAAGTCAAGATCACTCCATTTTTTGCCGGAAAGTACAGATGATCTGTACTCAACACAGGTCGTCGACCATGGTGGGTGTGCAACCGGATGTAAAGAGCACTGAACGCTTTAGTTCGGTCGAAAGTTTGATTCTTGGGCGCCTTTGGTACTCTCGCTGTTGTGGCCACGCCTGAAGCAAGTTGATGACGAGACGTATCTTGAAGTACTGTTGCATTCTGGGACCTGTCGCGAGAGACAACTTGTAGCTGGTTTGGTGGCTGGGTGGAATGATTTATTGTACCGAGAACCAATACCTCATCATCTGCGCAGTGAATTGGGTTCTTTGTGGAGTCGAGTTCGATAGACTGCAAAGTCTGGTGTCTTTGAGCGACAAGCTGGAGATTTGAGGAATCGCGAGCGAGGCTTTCATCCGATTCTTGCGAAGGTCGATAAACTTTGAGCACAACAGGGTCAAGATTACAAGTCTCTACAATGTTCCCAAGTACAGTAGAAATGATTCCCTCTGGTTCAACCAAGGAGTCCTCTGTTCGGACACATACATTCGAGGCTCCAAGTATTGTTGATATCAAGTTCACTTGATCGAACGAGTTGATTTTCCTTCCACCCACTGATGTAATAACATCATCTGTTTGGAGGCCTGCGCGTTGAGCTGGAGATAGAGAACGTATCCTTCCCACTCGGAGCGCTTCCTCGTGCTCCCATCGGACCAATTCAAAACCCCAACCTACTCCTTGGCATCCCGAATCAATTTCCGAATCAAGCTTCAGTAACAAGATTGTCTTGCTGCGTCCTGAGAAACTTCGGCTCGATAGATTGAGTTCCCTTGGTTTATTTAGTACTTCAGGCTGCAGTTGCCGTTTCAATCTAGCGCAATCTTCGTCGCTTTCAAAATGTAGATCAGAATATACCAAAACACAATCATCTTGTTTGGGGATCAACACATCATATTTCAGTTCTGGAGCACAGACGATGGATCGCAGGCGAGGCAGCAGCAAGGTTTCGCCAAACACGTCTTGCCGAGTTCTAGTTCCGTTCCCTGCTCTAGCAGCAATTGGCCAGTTGCTTCGCGGAGTCGATTTACTTCTGTATGTCACGGTTTCTACTCCAGGTTGAAATTCGTCCTGCGAGAGCAAGTGTGATGCTGCAGAAGTCAGGCAGCTGCCATAAGCCACGGAGTTCAAAGGCTCAAGTTGCGAGACGACGAAGTCAATAAGTTCAAACCTTGAAGGCTCTTCAATAATTTCGTTGCAAGCTCCTGTTGTTTTAGGAGGGAGCATACATTTGCGAACAACGGCCCCTTCCATGGCAATTCGAATTTTGGCGCTTTCAAAGCGCTTCCGCTCTACATCTGAGAAAGAGTACCGTGCAACACCCGGAACGTTCAAAGCTTCTAGAGATGCCCACGATGCGTCACCTGTAGAGTCTGATACTGCTGGCTTCTTTCGCGTCTTCAGACGGTCGAGAAGGAAGTCAATTTGAGTCGCCGAAATCACAGGTAGCAGATGAAAGATGCCATCATCATCTGAACACTTGTCCCCTTCCCAGATCTGATTCCCGTTCAATACTGTATCCCGAAATTCCTTTGGGAGGTAGCTCGCAATGACGAACTCAACTGGTCTTCTGTTGTGTTCGATGTTGACCACCTTGGACACAGCTTTGACGAGAGGATCGTCATGGTGAACGAGAAATGTTGTTCCAACGAGGGAGGATCTACTTTCGTACATCTCGATCGTCCTTGCGAGTGTTGCTACTTCTTCATCTGGAAAGTCATCCATTTGAAAGTAATTAGACCTTGCAAGCGTGGAACATGCGGGATTATTACAAACTTTGGCATTCCCGGCCGCGACGGGTCGACCTGAACATATTGTACACGAGGGCAATATCCAAGGCGGGAGCATGGACCGAAAAAGTGGTGGGGGCCCTCTGGTTCTTCGATTTCCCTTGCAAGGTAGAACGCACCATGAACTGAATGCAATTAGAAAGTGACGAAACATTGCCGTAACATCTGCGGCATTCCTGCTCCCTCCATTGCCCAAGGATGCGGATTCAGATATAGTGCCAACTCCCTTGCACAACAGTTCCATTGGTCGCTCTTCTAATCCTGCGGTCCAAGCCAGATGAGACCCACCTTCTACTACCCAAGGAGGGTTGAGAAATGATCTCGCAGACGATTCACCAGATTTGCCAGCCACAGAATGGCGATTGACGATGTGCGTCATCATCGCATCAAGTCTCCTTAGACTCACAGCTGGACAGTTATCATTCCCCGCAGTACGTTCAGCTTCGAAAGAATGCGCATATGACTCCATTCCTATCCTTCGAATCACGGCCCTACAGAATTCTGCTTCTTCTTTCACACTTCGAGGTGTTTGTTTCTCTTGCGTGAACTGACATTGACAATTTCCACACTGCCAAAGTTTGCTGCAAATGTCTCCTGAATGTATTTCGCTCATTGCTGCAGTTCGGGCTTTATTTCGTACTTTGACCTGTTCGTACCAGTCGTGACTTGACTCAACTATGTCAATGCTAGGACGCACGATGTGAACTTTGATCTTCTTGGCGGGAATTTTGAATGCGTTGATACGGTCATCATTGGAAATGCTCTGAAAGTCAAAGGATCTCTGAGGAGGCAACGAGGAAATATCGGCACGGTCGAATAGTTCCACAATTTGCAAGTGTTGGACCACATCTCCTTTTCGCAATCCAGCTCTATTTCCTACACAGTTGCCGTTAGCAACATCATAAATCAACGACCCATTGACAGTTAATGCCATCGGAAATGACGGTCTCTGATTGCTTTTGTCGGCAGCAATCATTTTCGCTAAATCGAGAATAGTCCCATCAGTCAGATTTTTGAAGGAGTCATAGCAGGATTCGGTTGGCGCCATTGATAAACCAAGTGACATTTCCAACCACCCAATATCATCTAGTCGCCGCTCCACCAGAATTTCCATTTCTGTCCATTTGACTGCATTATTATCACGAAAGTTTGGAAGAGTCTCTGTGGGCGGTAGTTGAACTGTACAAAGCGCACCTAGTGGTGGGTACGAGGATATGATATCCGACACAGGTTCCCCCCTCCATGATGTACACCCCTCGTGGAAAGGAGACGCACAGCAAGCGCAAGTGCGGAGTGGGTTGTTTTCCACACCCTCATAATCACAATGCGCGCAGTGTTGCTGCCATGGGCTTGGCGCACCATTCAGAAGATTCGTGATACTTGTGATCGATTCGTCTTCAATATTTGTCAGCATTGCTGCGGCTTCGAGTGCATTCTCTGGTTCCTCAAAGAAGTGGCGATGCAACATTCGAAAATCTGATTTGGCAGCTTCTTTGAGTTCTAACCTCACACCATGGCTCTTTCCAGCTGAGTAAAGTGCGTCCAACAACGTTTCCACTTGAGACTTTAGAGTGATTTGGTTGCCATAATTACGTATTCTTCGGTCAATTCTAGCAAGTGTTTTGTCTTTTGCGAAAGCAACTTTTCCATTTATCTCTGGCTTCAGCAAATAGTTTTGTATTCCTTCATCGACCTTTTCATGAAGCAGATTTGCGCCATTGCGATCCCCTTCTCTGCAACCAATATCTAGATGGAGAATATTCTGTTTCTTTGAGAATAACACAGAAGTCAATTTGCGATGCCTCCTTCCAAACCATCGCAAAACAAAGACACAACAAGCCTGCCGAAGTTGATCCAAGTCTTGCTCATCTGAGTTTCCATCCCGTCGCTGCCGTTTTCTCTTTCTTTGGCTTCTCTCCTCTTCATCGCGATTTTTTCTTTTCTGTTTCAGACATGCTAGCTGAATGTGTGAGCGGACTTGATCATAGGAGAAGAGAACTTGGTTCGTGACTGCCCATTCCACAAGCTGATCGGCCTTAGGACTGGCTTCGCATACTCGATGAGTGTTGAAAGGATTTCCCTTGTAGACGGCTTTTATTTTCGATGACGCATTTTCCTGATTACCATATTGGATTTCAAACAGAAGATTGAGATGGCGATTGGCTTTTGAATCACGTTGGGCTCGCACCCACAACGCCACCAAATCCAGAGGTTGAAACTCATACTGTTGATTGTATATCTCCTTGTATGAATTCCTGCCTTTGATGTCGAAGATACAGGAGCTGGATTTGTATATCTCCGTGCGAGAAGTTTCATCCAATATAGATATCATCCTAGAAATCTTCGCAAACTCTTGCCATGTGTGTTTGTTTGGTGTCACTGGTAGGGTGCAGCTGGCACTTGGCATATGATGCATAGCAGAGGGCAGTTTTGGTGTCGACCACTCTTTTTGCGAAACTTCTGGGAGGATATTGCAGAAGTGGTCTGAACAAGGGATGTTTAAATGGGGCGAAAAATGAGAATACTTCGTCTTTTTGGTGTCCTCGAGCAATGCACCGCATGAAGTAACAAAGTCCTTTTGCGCCAAGACTTTCGTAGTCCAAACTTCAAATCGCAGCAGCAAATGATGTATCCGCTTGGTCCGTTTCGAGCTGCTGACTTTTGAGTTGACCACTTCTATTTCTTTTTCCAACCGCTTTGCTTGAAGGCGGTTGATGGCCTGCGTCGAGTTTCTTGATTTGCTGCCTTCTTCTGCCACATAGTACCTGTCATTAAGACTTTCCTTCTTGAGAAAGTTCCTTCGGTATCTAGTCACGGCCTCTAGATCTTCCATCTTAACAAGAATAAGATCGCTTGCTTCATCGTCGCTGTTGTCGTCGTCATTAGGAGTCGTATAGTGCTTCTGAAACCGAGTCAAAAAATGCGCAAGCTCAAGTAGCTTCCCCGGTTTAATACTATTGACATTGGCATCGTTTCCCGTCATTTTGCACCCAAGTATGAAGTATTGTATAATTCAAAAACATCGACCTGATTATTGGAGTTACAACCAACCCCCAACAGTGCTACACGGGTCGCAATGATCGCAGTTCGTGGTGATGAGTATGGAAGCTGAAAGTCAAAAGCACTCTGTTTCTCCGATGATGGTCGGATGAGTCGATAGACCAGTAATAGATGGCTACTGTATGGTGGTGCGTGATTCTAATCGTTGCATTCTCATTTATATAGAATTATAGAAGGTAGAAGTGATAATACTATACACTATAGTTTCATCGTTGCAATGACCTCAGGGGGAATAGCTTCAAGACCCGTCCCCTCGCATGTTCACCAGCAGTATGTATTAGTATCGTGCAGTAGAGTTGGTACACGTACGCCACGTAAACCGCGGTGTTAGAGTGTATACTTTCAAACTTACCATACAAGCTACATCAGGAATGTTTGCCAAATTGATCATCAAGTTTCTTCCATAGTTATAGTACCTGTAGCTGTTATCCGTAATTAAGTAATAATTTCTTTGTCATCATTAGAGACTTTGCCACAGAGAGAAGATAGCGTTGAAGCGCATTGTATTTTCAAGATTCTTGAAGAGTTCAAAAGCTTCCCCTTCATATTCCTTTAGTGGATCCAAGCCTTGGAACTGTCGAAGCACAACGCTCTCTTTCAAGTTTTCCATTGCTTGAAGATGATCACTCCAAGCATTGTCCATGGTTACTAGAGTGATATACCGTGCGGATCTTCCAATGGAGTTGGCTCCCTTTCCACTAGCCATTGCTACCTTGTCGAGCTCTGATGCTTTCGCGTTGAAAATTTCCTCAATGACAGCGGATAGGTATGCAGTCGCACTATCTTGATCCTTTCCACTCAACGCCTTCTCGTCGAAAAATTGGCTTGCTGGTGGAAAAAATTGACCAATCTTCTCTGTGACCTTGGCAGCGTTGACACTTCCACTCGAAGCAGTCTGAGCCTTGACGATGTCAGAAACGGTATCCACGTTGTACTTGGCAATCATCTTTTGCGATTCCTCGTCTGACGCGAAGAGAATGTCTCTTCTACGATTGTAGATGATATTTCGTTGTCCGTTTAATACTTCGTCGAACTTGAAGATCTCACCACGAATCTCTCTGTACTTCTCTTCAACTGCACGCTGCACCTTATCGAGTGCTTCAGACACTTGGGGAGCCTCGACTGGCATATCATCACTGACACGGAATGCTTTCAAGATGTTTTGTAAGGAGTCTCCTCCAAAAATAACAAACATGTCATCTTCGAAAGAAAGGAAGAAACGGGATGTGCCTGGGTCTCCCTGACGTCCAGAGCGACCTCTCAATTGGTCATCGATACGGCTACTCTCGTGTCTGTTGGTACCCATTACATACAAACCTCCACTTTGTTGAACGAGCTCCTTTTCTTTTGAGGTAATCTCGGAGTAGGATTCCCTGACAGCTTCAGCCACATTGCGGAGCTTGACTATGTATTCGGGGTCATCCTCAGCTTCGGTCGTATCTGTTGCAACGGTCAAGATTTCTTCCAACTGAATAGCTGTAAGATCGCTACCAAACTCTTTCTTAATGGAAGCAGATGCATCCTTCAGCATAAACAAAGTATCGTCATTTAGCGGGCAAGGAAAGTACTCCTCTTTGGGAGGGGGAGGTAGTTTCTTTGCTTCATCGCTACTGACAACGCCGTCTGCTACCAAGAAGTCACGAGTTTTGATTCTAGCCATGGTTCGTGAACATCCTCCAATCAAAATATCAGTACCCCGACCAGCCATGTTTGTGGCAACAGTTACAACACCACTACGTCCAGCTTGAGCAACAATTTCTGATTCGCGTGGTGCATTCTTTGGCGATGCATTCAATAGTTCCGCATCGATTCCTTCCTCCTTCAGCTTTTCTACAATAGATTCACTCTGTGCAACTGATGTAGTTCCGATCAAGCAAGGTCTTCCACCTTCTTGTCCTCCACCAACATTTACAATTTCCTTTACCATTGCATCGTCGGCAGCTGCGCGGGTCTTGAATGCAACATCAGGGTAATCACGGCGCGCAATTGGCAAAGCAGTGGGCACTGGAATCACTTTCAAGCCATAAGTTAGCTCTAATTCTTCAGCATCAGTCATTGCTGTACCAGTCATTCCCGATAGTCTCGTGAATTGACGGAATAGAGACTTTGTGTTGTGAAAGCAACGGTGAGTCCACAGTGGAATCTTCAATAAAGCCAACGGGTTCTGATTTTTACGCTTACCTGATACGTGACTTTAGCAATCACTTGACTCTGTTCGCTGACCTTGATGCCTTCCCTTGTTTCAATACTTTGATGAAGTCCATCCGACCACCTTCGTCCATCCAAGACACGTCCAGTGAACGAATCAATGATGCCAACGCCAATCTTTTCGCCGTCTGGATCAGTCATGACAGCGTATTCAATATCCTTGGTAAACAGTTCCTTTGCGTTCACAGCATTTGTAATATAGGGAGCCCAGGCTTCGCCGTCAGCCCCGATTTCGAAAAGCGAATCAATTCCCAAAGCTTTTTGCGAGTCTCTGTAACCAATTTCGGTCAATGTACAAGCCTTGTTCTTTAGGTCAATAGTGTAATGAATATCTGGTTTCAGCGCCTCCGCCAGTTGGTTGGCGGTTTCGTATTTCGTGGCAGGTGCTGGGACTTGTTTGCTGATAATGAGAGGTGTTCGTGCTTCATCAATCAAAACAGAGTCAGCTTCATCGACCACACAAAATCCACCAAATTCACCACCTCCACCAGGAAGCACGGTTTGTTCAGTTGTCAAAGCCAAATGATCACGCAAAAAGTCAAAACCGAGTTCCGAGTTGGTGACATAGACGACGTCATTTTGGTAGGCAACGCGACGCTCCGCTTCGGTCATTCCAGACTGAATCAATCCAACCGTCAAGCCAAGGAACTTGTGTACTTGTCCCATCTTTTCCATATCTCTCTTTGCAAGATAATCATTGACCGTGACGACAAACGAAGTTGTCCCAGTTAAGGCATTTGCATAAACGGGCAAAGTTGAAACGAGTGTTTTTCCTTCTCCTGTGGCCATTTCTGCAAGGCGGCCATCGTGAAGAATCAAACCACCAATCAGCTGAACGTCATAATGCCGAAGTTCCAGAACGCGCCTTTTACAAGTGAAACGAGAGTGTTAGTTGGAATTTTCGTCGGAAGCATCATCGTCCAGTTGACAAACTCACCATGCTGCCTCACGAACAACGGCAAAAGCTTCTTCAAGCAACGATCCATTGATATCCTCTCCGCCTGCAAGACGCTTTTTGAATTCAGTAGTCTTAGCCTGCAATTCATCATCCCCAAGATCTTCGATGGATGCTTCTTGCCCATTGATTCTGTCAACTCGGCCTTGTAATTGTGCAAGGTACTTGTCGTTATCTGCCTTGCGAGTCTTTTCGTCACTGCTAGCCACAAAGTCTTCAAAGAAACCCATGGAAAGGGCAGTATTAACCGTTTGAACAGCCGAGCAGGATTCTTGATGGATCAACTGTCGATTGACGCTCGATGGCACAAAGAACGTTGGCTTCTGGGAAACGAAAGCATGACAAGATTCTAGGGCGAGTGCCCCCAGTAGGAAGACATGTCGCGATGAGAATTTCATTGGAAAGACTGTTGGTAGGGACCTTTCTATTATTATGATTTGTTGATGACGACTGTTTGACTTTGCGACAATGCAACAACCTGTTCGGAGTAAGTCAGTGTGTTGGCAGCAGATGCTGATGACTGTTGACTGTGTCACTCGAAAAGTTCTGACTGCTACTGACGTTTTTCGGTTCGGATTAGTCGAACGATTCAGGCAAAACAAAGCGAAGTAGAAGCAAGAAGAACACGGAAACAACTCATTACGTGCATTCTAGGATAATAGCAGTATGCTTCTTCGATTGTGTTTACTTCTGAACCTCACCGTTCTTGGCTTCTCCTTCCAAGGAACTAAGAACACTGTGAATGTCTTCCGACTGACGTCAAAAGGAACCGCTTTGGATCTTTCGTCACCCCTCTTTGGAGAGGATGCGAATGAAGAAGAACTCTTTGGAGACTCGGAACGATCCATTAAGGATGGTGAGGACATGGCCAAACTATTTTACAAAGAAATGCAACGACGAAGCGATAGTAGTACTCTTAATGTTGATAGCAGTGTTCAAGAGATCTCTGCAGATACACCATCACCGCCATCACCAGCCAAAAGTACAGCAGATCTTCGCAAGTTGATTGCTGAAACTGGCAACCTTGACACGGCCACTGATTCGAATGCAAAGGACGATAAAACATCGACGACAAGCCAATCAGCGGATGCAAAGTTTACTGGTCAGAACTCCCTCCCTCCACAGCAACCATTCTCGAGGTCACCAAGGGAAGCCTTTCTTTCCGGTAACACCAATGCTGGCCCAAGATCACCCCGTGAAGTCATGATGGAACGAGAGTACGAACTGGTAGGTAGAGCCGAGAGAAATATTGGTATTCAGGCAGTCTTTGCGGTTCTTGCCTTGACCTTTTATATTTATATTGGGCTGAGTGGAGGCATTTCCAGTCGACTCGATGGGCCCGATCTGGGAGCAGACGAAATGCTTCCGTTTGAACAAATGATTCCCACGCAGACGGACCGAGAGAACACAGTCTGGTTGTAGATGTTATGATGATTCATTCCGCCATTTTAGGTTAGTTATATATATATAATAATCAGTATAGAATATCCATAGATTCAACCATTTGCCTCCTCTCTCAAAAGCACCGGTACGCAGCTGTTGGGAGTTTTAAGAATAACAATATTGGCATGACCAATTGAGCAGTAGCAACAATCACAAGACCTGTCATCCACTATTCAATATTACGCAGTGCACACTAAATAATCACATGCAATGTACAAGTAGTTTTTAATTTTCTTTTTTACCTTTATTCACTTAAAGACGTCCAGCGGCTTCAGCTTCACCACGCTCTTCAAGGATGGTCTTCTTGATACCACGTCCCTTAGGAAGAGTGACGGATGGCTTTTGTCCAGATCCAATGACGAACATATTTCCCAATCGGGTTGCGAAAGCGTTTCCTTTGGAATCCTTGATGGTGACAATAGCAAAGGATCCCTCGTGCTTCTCAATGTGCATCAAAGTTCCAACACGTCCACAATTGTGTCCCTTGGTGATCATAACCAAGGCACCAAGATCAAAGCTGTAAATGTCGCTCATCTTTCCAGTGGCAATGGAGACCTTGACACTATCGTTGACCTTGACATCAGGGTCAGGGTATCGGATGGTGCGTCCATCGTGGGTGACAATGCATGGAACCTTGTTGGGTCCAACAAAGACCTTGTTGACTCTGCAAAGCTTGTATTGGGCTTCTTCTCTGTCAACACGGTGAAGGACATATCGTCCCTTAATGTCGAACAAGAGACGGAAGCGGTCGTTGGCTTTTTCAAGCTCAATGACATCCATGAAACCAGCAGGGTAGTTGGGGTCAGTTCGGACCTTTCCATCGACCTTGACGCAACGTTCCATGCAGATTTGTTGGCATTCCTTTCCGGTCAAAGCGTACTTTAGACGGTCACGAAGGATGACGCACATGGGAAGACACTCACGAAGCTTGTGAGGACCTTGGGAAGGGCGTGGTGCCCAAACACCGGTCATCTTTCCGAGGTTCCAGTGACGGGGAGCATGGAGACGCTTCAAATGCTTCTTTGGTCCGCGAGCCCTATATCACGATATGCTTGGTGAGATACAATTTTTGTTGATGAAACTGAAGTTAAAAACAAAGCGATGATGATACAATCAACATTGGGTCAAGTAGTTTTACTCATTGTCCAATTGGATTCCACACGTGTAGCGCTCCAACCCACAAATCCGAGCATTTCTCCAATAACATTGTATCGTCGATATTGTCGAATGGTCTTCTCACTAAAGCCCATTGCCACTCACATCTTGTCTGTTTCTTATGAATTGTTTTGGATGCAGGTACCAGGTACGAGGGATGTGCTTCTTGGTCGGTTTTGCCAAGCCGTTGCCACGTCTGTCTGCTATCCGCGCAGTTTAGTACAGAGGTAAGAAAAATAAATGTACCACAGATACGTAGCCTCTACGGTATTCTAACTGATACACGGACAGGCCTTGAAAATTTTCACCATCTCCATCAACCGAAAAACCCACAACTTCGTCAACACTTTCTACTCGTCAAGACAACAACAAACATCTTTAATGTGAGTCGCTGTGGTGCTTCCCCATCATGAATCATGATGCTTGGGTTGTGGCTGCCTTCTGCACACGTCGGTTAGGTTGACTTCCTTTGGCTTCATTTCATTGTTTCATGACATTCATGAATGATGACTGATCCATTGGGGCACCACGACAAGTACCAATCTCTGAACCTTAAACTCACTCCATTTACCTTCTCTGTTAAAATCACAGCATGGGTCGTATGCATGCACCAGGAAAGGGTATCTCCAAGAGAGCCCTCCCATACAAGCGCTCTCCTCCAACTTGGTTGAAGATCTCTGTCGAGGATGTTGAAGACCACGTCTGCAAGCTTGCCAAGAAGGGTTTGACCCCATCTCAAATTGGTGTCATTCTTCGTGACTCCAATGGTATCGCCCAAGTCAAGTCCGTCACTGGCCAAAAGGTTGTCCGCATCCTCAAGGCCAACGGTCTTGCCCCCGAGATCCCTGAGGACTTGTACATGCTTATCAAGAAGGCTGTCCAAGTTCGTAAGCATTTGGAACGCAACCGCAAGGACAAGGATTCCAAGTTCCGCTTGATTCTTATCGAAAGCCGTATCCACCGCTTGGCTCGTTACTACCGTACCACCCGTAAGCTTCCATCCAACTGGAAGTACGAGTCCGCCACTGCCTCTACTATTGTAGCCTAAATATACCTACGTAACAGGAAGACGGAAACGAACAAAACAAAAAAAACCAACTGGGGAACTGCACCATGCGAGAAGATGGATGCTCATCATGGAGATGGCATCTACTTTCTTTGGTAGTGCTGTGTATGAATTACAAAATTATATCTTATTTTTAGTATTTGTTTGATTCAATACTGCTGCATGTCTAATCGCGAAAGCGACCACGATATCCCGAGTCCCTATGTAGTGATCGATGACATGGATTATCGTGCATAAGAACAAGTGACGTCTCGATGAAAATACGCAGTCGAATCGAATCATCAAGACCTCTGCGTACGTACAAATGCTACTAGAGATTCTTCTATCCGCAGTATTTCAAACGTTATCGTTCCGATTTTCTTGAAGTTCGGCGGCGAGAACTTTTTGACAGAAATCGTATCATTGCACGATTCCGATTGCAAATTCACACTTGTCATAGATTCTTTCTTCCTTCTTCCATTTCATATTTTATTCAACATCCATTCAATAAAATGCCCCCTGCCTCACTCAATGCCCTCCAACCACTGGAACCCTTTCAGGCTTCCAGTGATCGACCCACCAAGAAGGCTCGCACTGAGAAAGGTGAGACCACGACAACAATTGGATTCTTTTCGACGTCGTTTGATGTCGTTTGACGTCATGTCATTTTGGAGCCAATCAACATTTATACTCACACTTTCTCTCCTTTCCTTTCCTTTCCTTCCAACACAGATGACGACGAAGCCGTCCCCGAACCTGACTTTACCAAGGCGGACCACATTCCTTTGACGACGCACACGGATGCCTTTGGCGTGGACCCCATTCCCATCTCTTGGGGTCATCCCAACCCTGAGGTTCGCGGACCCGTCATTTGCACGGTGCGTCACTCGGCCCAGCGGAATGCCATTGGAGCTCACCAAGGTAGTTACTGTATCTACACTGGACTTGCGGTTGCTGCCAAGAAGCTAGATCCAGACTACGTCCCCAACTTGAAATTGACTACGCCCGTCTTTAACATTGGGCCCTACCCGTCGTGGTCGGATCCCAAAAAGATTGCCTCGATTGATCCTTTTGGACACGTTGTCACCCAACACTATTCCAAGTGGCTTGATAAGGGATGGGACATTCGGCCAACCATTGCCGTGACCAAGGCACACATTGATTTGCCCGAATGCCGCGAAGCCCTGGCCACGGGACGACTCAAGGCGGACGGCAAGATTTTGTTGCCATCTGGTCAATCCATTTGTTCCAAGGCAGCGATTGAACCGGTTTGGTACCTCCCTGAAATTGCCCGTCGGTTCCGCACCACCGAGGCTAATTTGCGACACTCCATCTTCCGCATGACCAATGGCATGTATCCTGAACTTATTACTCGACCAGACATTAAAGTCTTTCTGCCACCCATTGGCGGATTGACCATTTACATTTGGGGAGATCCAGATACCATTCCTGACGAGGATATTGAGTTGACTTGCCGTGTCCACGATGAGTGCAATGGTTCCGACGTCTTTGGAAGTGACATTTGCACTTGCCGACCGTATTTGACACATGCCATTGAAGAATGCATCAAGACGGCACAACGAGGTGGATGCGGTATCGTCATTTACTACCGCAAAGAAGGACGATCTCTTGGTGAAGTTACCAAATACTTGGTATACAACACTCGTAAACGCCAAGAAGGTGGTGATTCTGCCGAAAACTACTTCAACTGTACCGAACAGGTCGCTGGTGTCCAAGACACTCGTTTCCAGGCACTCATGCCCGATCCACTACACTTTTTGGGTGTGACCAAGATTCACAACTTTATTTCCATGAGTGATATGAAGTACAATGCCATTGTCAGTACTGGTATCAAGATTGAGAATCGCATTGAAATTCCACCAGACATGGTCCCAACCGACGCCCAAGTTGAGATTACCGCCAAGGTATTCCACGGATACAATGCCGGAAAGGCTTACCAAGGAATTGATGCTCAAAGCCTCAAGGACGTCAAGGGACGAGATTACAAGTACAATGGACCGGAGGCTACTAGTACTACTACTAATGACAAACCAATCCCAGAAGCCGAGAAGACCGTCGAGAGCTAGAATTTGGCCGCATTGCCGTACTCTCCTTGCCGCCTATCATCATATTCTAATTTTGCAATCCGCTAGAAACAACAACAATAACAACAACAACACATGCTGCACCAAAAAATAAAATAAAGATAAATATCATGCAAATTGAAAATTGGGTTGCTTCTGGCTGTCGATTCGTGTTCCCCTTTGTTGTCTGCTGCTGATCGATCCATAGAGGTTCGGAAAGAAGAAACGAGTGCATGGAAGCCAATCAGCCCGAGATTCATTCCCACTCTACCGCTTTCCATGGAGGCAGTCGAACTTCAAGTGTGTGGCACTAACACGGTACGGTGGGTAGAAAGGGGTACTTGGATGGTGCAGCAAGTCGGCACCTACTTTGGTCATTTTCATCAACCTACATTTACTCTCTACCGGTGTGGCATGGGGATTTGATAGAACTTGGCAAACAATATTATAAATACTAGAAAGTGGCAAACCCACATGACATTGGCAGAGTAGCATCAAAAGTTCTAAATAATTACAAAGCCATAGCTGTCTTGGCAATATTATCATCATCCATCGGACTATGTTGCATGGTTTCTGAAAGGCAAGAGTTACATAATCGAGAGATGCTCTGGCAGCGGAAGCTTTCAAGTCGCGTTCATCAATTCATAAGAAGTTTAATATTTGATAAAAAACAAAAAACAAACATCCTAGAAGTAGGCTCCACCAACCCAGTCGTTGACAATGTCCAACATGGACTTTTCAAAGATGGCACTGGACATGACAAGGGCAATAATGCCAACCATGGCCAAGCGTCCGTTCATAATTTCGGCTTCTTCGGTCAATCCGAAGTTCAAGGCTGGCAAGTATCCGAAGCCTTCCTTGTTGCGGGCGGCCATGCGTTCGTATTCAGGGTGGTTGGGGTCCAAAAGGAGAGTGTCTCCGAACATTGGAGGGCAGATGGTGGCCATGAGGGAGACACCAAAGGCATGGGCGTTGGCAATCAAGATGATGGCACGTTCGCTGGAGATGGTGTCCTTATTGGAAATGGTGGCAAGGGTTCCCCATTGCTTCAAGTCCAAAAGGGCATCAGCATCAGGGATCAATCCGTGTCCCTTGCAGTAGGCAGTGGCACAGATGAAGAACCATCCAAACATGGCGTGACGTCCGTTCCACTTTTCAGCGAGAGGAGTTGGTCCCCATCCGTACTTGACAAGGGGTCCGAAGTCCTTTTCCCAGTTAGCTTGTGCCTGTTCGTAAACCTCAGGGTTGACAATGTTCAAGGCGCTATCAACATAGAATCAGGAAAAAGGCGAGAAATTTCAAAAATGAGCTACAGTTGGCTTGGTGGAAGATATCACATTCATTTTTGAATTATCCAAGCAGATAATAGTGACAATTTCAGCAAAACAAACTAACTGCCGTTGATGAAAATCGCCCTGCAGGCCTATTCTTGGGGCGTATCCAACAAATTCAACTTGGGATCAATCCATCACAGAATTCCTAAAAATATCACAATTCTCACCTGGATTTGGAGACAGCGGATCTGGAAGCAGGGGCGAAACCGCTGACAACGGTAAGGCTAACCAAGAGAGTGAAAAGAGATCTGAAGGGGGCCATCTTGAGAGTTTATATTGTGCTTGTATCAAAGATGAAAGCATCGAAAGGAAGGACGAAAAGACCAACGACGATCCAGAAGATCCGGACGAGGTTGAAGGCAAAGCTTTGCTGTCTGGCCTTCGTCCAATGATAGTACTCGAAACTTCGTTGGAAGGGCGTGTGTAGTTTCTACCATGGAACTACTGACGTCACTTTTGACTAGGACGACTCCTAAATTATTTGACTCACTGGAATAAGCTTCCACGGTTTTCGTTCACGAACGAATGCTGAGCAAGACTTGGACTTCGCCAACCCATCATTGAGATCCGACCAACAATCCCTGCAAACAGGAGGCAATTGGACTTGAGTGTGCGACGGACATTGCTATCCTATTTCAGATTAGGTCTCTATTTACTTAACTCTGGGATCTAATCTAGATTGAACTTATTCATCAATAATCACAGAAATGAATCGAGCAATTCTACAAGGGTCGGCTCTGAAGTTCGCGTCCCAAGGGCGATCGGCTTTGGCACAAAATCAATACCAAACACGCGCACTCAGTTACGTCTTGGATGGTTTTGGCAGTGGCGGAGGTGGTAGTTCGGGGCGTTGGCCCATCCGAAAGACCAACACGGGTTTCAACATTGTCCCTCAAGGGTTCAAGTATGTTGTCGAACGCTTCGGAAAGTTGCACTCTATTCAAGACAGTGGTTGGTTCTTGGCCATTCCCGGTGTTGATCAAATTTCCTTTGTCATTGATATACGTGAGCGTGCCATGGATATTCCACCCCAATCTGCTATCACCCGAGATAACGTTTCGGTTGAAGTATCAGGTAATCTGTTTATCAAGGTTCTTGATCCCGAAGCCGCTGCTTATGGTGCAGTAAATCCTTTGTACAGTGTCACGCAGGTGAGTCAGACAAATTGTCGTACCTCAGCTAGGCATGCCTTTCAATTCTTTCGTGACACCATTCCTGACCAAAATCTGACGTACCACACCTGAATCGCTCCAATCTCGAAACTTGCATTTTTGATGACTCAATCTTTTACCCTTCGGAAATGCTAACATTCTTCAATACAATACGATAGCACGCCCAATCTGCCATGAGATCTGCTATTGGTGAAATGGAACTGGACGAAATCTTGCACGGTCGGGCCCGCTTAAATGCTTTGATCAAGGGCAGCCTCCAAGAAGCGGCCGTCCCTTGGGGATTGGAGATTCGGCGGTACGAAATTACAGAAATTACTCCCGATCATCAAATTCGAATTGCCATGGACAAGCAAGCGGCAGCCGAACGTGATAGACGTGAACACGTATTGCGGGCCGAGGGTGACAAACAAAGGGTCCAATTGACGTCAGAGGGAGTCAAGATTAGTTTGACCAATGAGTCCGAGGGAGAAATGATCAAGATCCGCAACGAGGCAGAGGCCAACAAGTACCGAATTTTGTTGGAAGCTGAGGGACAAGCGGCAGCCATTCGATTGACTGCGGAAGCACAGGCCGAGGCATTGGCAAAGATTGCGGAACAATTGCAAAAGGAAGGTGGACAAGAAGCGGCGAAATTAGCGTTGGCTAAAGACTATGTGGAGATGTACGGTGAAATGGGAAGAGAATCCAACACTATATTATTTAATGACCGACCTGCCGATGTCAATGCGCTCCTAGGGCAAGCGGTCGTTACTATGAATGCTGCAAACGCATCAACAAACGCACCAACAAAAGCATCAAAAACTCCACTGACCCCCAGCGACAGTGCCGAATCTTCGCATGATGAAAAATCGTAGTGTAACTGATAGAGCATGTATACGTTGTTCTGATTTTAGATATCAAACGGCTGTGATACCGTTTAAATAGTTTGCGCCAATGGCGACATTCGATTTGGCGAAGAACAGAGATAAGCTTGGCGGTTGCACTCCATGGCATAGTCCCACTCCACCTGAACGTTTCGATAGAGTGCCATGGCGGCAGCAGCGTCATCCAAAGAATCATGAGGACGACCATGTTCTTGAATGGAAACCCCAAGATGAATGGATGCCAATTGTTTCAATCGGCAAGGACGCAACCGACCGCAAGCATCCACTCGCATGTATGGCTGATACATACTAGTATCTCGAATATTGTACCATGGGTGTTGGATTGATAGAACTCTCAAGTCGTTCTGAAGGCCATGTCCTACAAGAATCTTATGTTTGATAATTGATTGGACATACTGTCGGCATCTTTGAAATGAAACAGCCCCGGCTGACTGCAAGTCACTGGGACTGATACCTGACACGTGAGTTCTGTAGTCGGTAATTTTATCCTGCACTTGCACAAATGTATCAAGCAAAAGAGTGCCATGATAATCGACGATAGTCACCCTAGCGAGAACCGATTGAAAACCACCAGGCCCAACGCCAACCATTTCACAATCAATTCCAACAATTCGTTGCATTCCAAGTCGTGAATGCATCCCCACTGGTGAGTATGTCTCGGCAGTTTGATCAGGAGATGGAATATACAACTGCGAAGGCGCACTCAGTCTTGCGTCCCGTTTCCGGATTGGGGTGGGAGGCAACGCTTTGGATAGAACATCCGGTGCAGTTGCTTCTGATGTGTCATCAGAAGCATCCGACATCTTGCGCGTGTTACCAGGCGACTTCATGAAGTGTTCCTTGTACAAGGGATACTCAAACATTACAAGTGAAGGCGATGGTTGTGGGGATTGATGTTGAATGTCCAATGACCGTCGTTTTGATCAGTCGCCAGGTAGATTTTGTGATGATCAAAACCTCCCAATCTATGTCATGTGATCGGAACAGAGCACAAATCAAAGACGGAGCGGACTCGAACTTGGTTTGTTGGCGTTATCGATGTGGAGAAGCGATGTAGAGGTTTGGAGTGATGTCTGTGCGGTGAAGTTTTGTCGGAGCGAGTTTGAGAAGCAATTTGACGGGTTTGCTTCAGTTTTGTCTCTCTGTTTGAAACATCAATCCGTTTTATTCACTCACGGGTCGCGCGCCAGCCAGCCCCATGCTGTCACACATCAACTGGTCGAAAACAAATGTAAAAAATTGACCTTAGGGAACAGGTAAAGTACTACAAACGGGACATCGTCCTGGATAAGCTCTTTGTTTGCTCCGGCACAATTATTTCATGTTCCTTTGGAAATCTCATCCCTCGACCAAGAAATCCTCCAAGTCGACAAAGGCATCAGTATTGACCTTACGATCTTCGGCGATATCGTCATCTAAACTCAAGAACATGTCAACCACCCGATTGCGACTTCGTGCGATTGGTGACTTTCGTTTTCTTTTCTTGTTCTCGGTCTTGGCTCGTTTTTGTTTCTGTTGTGTGTCATCGCTGCTTTCTGGAAACTCTGGAAATGCACTTTGCCCACCTTCCAACTTGCTTTCCTTCCTAATCATTGACAGTTTGCTCGCTATTAGCGGTACCATTTCCGATGTACCTTCAGTGAAAAGCTTATCTGCTATCGAATTGGCCAATTGTGTTGTTTTCAATACTCTTTGTAACTTTCTGACCCTCACCTGAAGATGCCCGACCAAGGCCAAAAGTTTTGATAACCTTTCCATCTCATCTTTTGATTCTTGTTTTCCGTTCGAAGATGTCTCGCGAGGAAGCCTTCTGGTCAAGATCGAGTACCAATGGCAGATTCCTACAGTTACATCTGTTGCATCCATATTGGAGATACACAGCCAAGCCGACAAGCAGCAAATTGCTTCAGCGCAACCTATGCTATTTATCGAATCGGTTTTCTTCGTATTTGTATCACGCAAATTTACCTCAATCAGTTCCACAGCCCTGACTAGGGCTCTCAAAACATTCAGCAACAAACAGCATAACCTATATCTTGGAGCACTTGGAAGATTCAATGCGATCATTTCAAGCACTACATGCTTGGAAGTTTGGTCACCAGTCGCTTCTGAGTTCGTGGAAACAAAAAGCTTGGACAGGTAACGCAGAGACTGCAGCAGCTCCTCTTGACGCTCGCGATAGAACTCAATCGCGATCCCCGAGCACTTCGGGATAATGTTCGAATCGCCAATTTCGCCATTTGTCATTACGCGCCCACATTCTTGCCACTTCTCTTCTAATGAAAGGAAGCTACAAGACAAGGCCCACGACCATGATTCTTTTGTCTGCAAACGAAGCTTCGACGCCTCACCTTGATGCGTACCAGCCCCTTCAGGTTGAATGTGGACGACCGTTGGAACAGGTTTAAATGATGTGCTTTCATCTGAAGACAACGCTCCGTCTTGATCACTTTGCGGAGACTGAAGGTGGAAATCCCCAACAATATCACCCCAGGGCATGGAGTTTGGATTGCGTAGCGCAGACCAACGAAGAAGAATACTCACGCATTCGGCTAGTGTTTCGAATACAAGAATCTTGTCCATACAGAAAGCAAGATCAACAGGACCCCACGGACCATTGTTTTCGACAACAAACGTTCTTCGTAGGATCTCTCGGCACATCGAAGGTATTGTTGCTGTCGCGATGAGAAAAGTCGACCGAAACAGTGTTGCATCCTCAAGAGGAAACACTTTCATGATGGCACACAGTGTCTTCGCAGCATCCATCAAAAACGACATAATTGCGGGTGACATCAATGTATCAGAATTGGCGTATAGTAGGACAACACATTCTTCCATTGCCGCTAGATAGGCAAGAAACAGTCCTGGTGTAATACCCCCACTTTCTCCGTTTAGACCCATTCGAAGATCCGTGGAAAGCGCAGCAAGTACATTGAGAAGGAAGTCTGGCGAGATTTGGCCGGATTTCTCAATTGAACTATGACATGCAGATTCAATTGAATCCTGGCATGAAGACGGTTCGAATCCACTATTGACTTGGCTTTGCACTGACAGCATTAGCAAACAGTGTTTCAATGCAGTCACGATTTGTAGTCGGACCCTTTGAACCGCAGCATCAACATCCGCAGCTGTTCGAACTGTCTGAAGCGTGAATAGCCGATGATCATGTTGTAGCTCTTTTGAATTCTGGGAAGACATATTCCTTTCTAAGTGTCCAATAAATACAATTGCGGCCCTTTCGCCTCCAAGTACCTGATAGAGCGACCACAAAGCTAGTAAGCACTGCTTGCTAGGAATAAATTGGTCATTTTGGGATAAAGTCTCAAGAGACTTGCAGTACTTTAGGGACGGCTCAATGAAACTTTCGATTTCTTGCGGGGGGCACTGTCCTGCTAATGCATGATTTCGAATGACTCGGCCAGACAAAGACAAAAATTGAGCAGCTGTAGATTGTAACGTTTCAGGACCCAAGCGGATTCTGCCTTTGCTACCCGCACAAAGCGACCACTTCTGTTCGACAAGTTCGCCAACAGCTTGAACCACGCGTCTGTGGAGGAAATCAATGTATGGGTGGCCGTACAATGGGAGTTTTGGAGTCAGCGCAAGAACAATTGAAAATTCAAGCAAAGATACCTGAATCTTTGCAACATCGTTGGTTTCGAAATCTGGCTCTCCGTTGAATAGTGAAAGTGGCAAACCTTCTCGCTCCAACCAAAGTGGATGTGGATCTACTTGTGGGGTATCTTCATCTTCCAGAGCGGCCTGTTCTTGAGAAATGATCTTTTTTATCATAGTTTCCAACTCCAAATCTACCGATTCATCTTTCGGTGTAGCAGTGGCAACACGGTTTGGTCCATCCAAAAGGGCAGCTAGCATGATCGAGAATTGACACATCACAGTGTTAAGACATAGTGTCCAGGGGTCGTCAACGCCTTCAATTGATGCGGATTCGTTACACAACTCTTTCATTTGTACAAGGCCATCTGTGGGCGTTAGGATTGTCGAGAGCAAAGCTTCGCGTGCCCTGGCAAAGTTCTCCTTTGCATACCTGCTACCTGATGATAATCTGTCAGGGGGGCTTAAGGCGTATTGCAGAAGAGACAGTTGTAGTCGAAATAGGAACACAATGTCTTCGGTTTGCCTTTCTTCCAAGTTGTGGGGTGACTGCGGGACGGGTGTAGGCGTGAATGCACGTCTGAGAACAAAAGACGTGCTTCCAGTCTTCGGATCCTTAGTGAAGTAGTAGGAAGCTCGAACAGTCATAGCTCGGAGAAAATGGTAGGCGGCAAGCTCGTCAAACTCATCATGCTCTAATAGATCTGCAATTTGACCATATATCCACGAACGGTTCGAAAAAGACAAATGAGGTGCGTCAAATACTATTGCGTTTGACAAAAGCCTCCAGGCTTCATACTGCAGAGTCCACCAACCCTGCGGCCCTTGGAGCAACTCAAGAATGCCAAGCATGCCCGCCCTTGCCCTAGATTGCGGCAGTCCAGAATCACAAGAGCTCGTATACAAGGAGCCAAGAAAAAGCTTTGACACGTCAAGTATTCTCTTCCTTGCTTGCGAAGTTGTTGGTGCCAGCAGCCGTACCAAATGTGAAAACACGTGAATAGGGAGGGAATCATTGATCAACTCAAGAAGGGGATCGAAGTCATTTGATACTTCGGTCTTAGTTCTCTTTGATAAAGAATGGGATTTCTGCAGCGACCGCACAATCAAGTTGACTAGAGCATAACCGACGCGGTAAGTCCAAGAACCTGCGTTTGCTGTTGAATCATACAGAAGCTTGTGTATTCTCAGAACCACTTCCGTTCGACTCGACGTCACTTCCATGTACAGAATTGACAAACTCGCAAAGCAGAATAAGGCGGTCCGATTACACTGGGTCTGCTCCTTTCTCTCGACTAGATTGTCTAATACCCATAGCAAACGCCTGCCAATGGAGGACTCTGGTTGTTCGACTTTTATGGACAAATCATGATCCTTGATCCTAGTGATACTATTTCGCAAGATGCTCGCAATGGGCAAAATAGGTTCAATGGGATCGCCAGTTTTGTCCTGAAACAACCCTTCACCAACATATTTAGCCCCATCGAGTACTGGAAGCAACTCGCTCTGTACCTTGGCTTCTTCGAGCTTGATTCCATTCATCATTGGGCTTTCAGGAAACAGAGCAGCTAATACTTTGTCACCCGAGCTGGCGATCATAGGACTTTGCTCCAAAGTGTCATGGTCAACACTATCGTCGAGTGCCACTTGAACTGCATCAATGTCACTGGAATAGGCAGCAAGAAGAGACAGTGATGCCAATTCAAATCGGAAAAAATTGTCAACATCTCCTGCGATTGGAGCACTGCACCAGAGTGTCATGGTTGCCACATCCATTTCTTGGAGCCCTGTTACAATCATCCTAGTGGAATCAGCATACACTTTACTGTCAGCTGAAGCCATGATCATTGCTTGCAAAATCATCTCTTTCCAACGACTTATTGCTTCATGTTGGACTTCTTCTGTCTCGTTGACAAACGAAGTCTGTAGTATAGATGCGACAAGCTCCATGCAATGTTGGAGAGTTACTGGGATGCCATTCAAATGCCTGGATGTGTTTGAAGAAAGTTGGTTGGATATGGACCGTTGGATTTTCTCGATTTCTATAGGCCGTAGAAAAGGCAACGTGATGATAGCGAGTCGAAGGACTTGAATAATGCTTGCACCGTTTCTTTTGGAATGGAATGCAGCCTGTACGGCAGCCTCAAAACTTTGAATATCCATGGACCGTGTTGAAGCAAATATGGATTGCAACAGACCAGAAAATAGCTGGAAAATGAGATCATAGTTATCATCGTCAGCATGAGAGTATATCATCAGAGCAGTGGCATCTGCAAATCGTCTCCACCATGTTCGCGAGCCTTCAACTTCAGTTCCTTCTACGGATTGCGGACTTATTTTGACTGACCATGCACTCATTGTTTCTTGGAAGAATTGTTGTATGCTTGAAACACAAAGGTAGAGATCAGTAAGATCTACTTTCTTTGCATGACGCAAAAAAATGTAGGTAGCTTCAAAGGGAGTCTCAAAAGACGGGGCAACCATTAGTAGTGCCTGCAAACATTCCACAGTTGAAATAATATCATTGCTGGAGCGATCTTTCTGGACTGAGGAAACAAAAATGCCCAGCAATGCGCTCGCCCTATCGGTGGAGGGCAGCAACTCTGAATCGAACGATGATTGGACTTCTTCTGCCTGTAGCCGGCATCCCAAGAGCGAATTTATCTTCTTCTTGTTCCCTATCCCTACAGCCTTTCCTATTTCAACCAACAACTTGTCTGGAATCTCCATCTTTGAGGTCGCAGACACATTGTTGTTGCTGGTTTGCACCTAGTTTGTCAGTTGCATGTATCATTTTTGACGTCTTCGTAGTTCATTCATTCGGTCTAGTCGATACCGAAAGTACTCCTTTAGTTGCAAACGCGTTTTTTTACCAAAACACATTAACACATTGCCATTCGACGATCAAAGATGAAATGGACACTCATCACTGCATTTCTGGCAGCCTTGATCGCAATAGCGTTTACCATTGCCCCAGAGAAGCCAGACTTCATTCCATTCAGTGACAATAATGACGCTGAGTCGGAAACGACTGTACGCTTCGTTGGTGGCGACAATAACACTATGTTGACAGGACACTGGAATCTTCCCAGCAAGAGCGACGGCGAGGCTCCACCAGTCATTCTCTTGGCACATGGTCTTGGGTTGATTCAAGGAAAGAGTCTGAGTCCCTTTGTGTCAGCCTTTCAAGAAGCTGGATATGCCGTAGTGACGTTTGACTATGCAACATTTGGCCAAAGTGACGGCCTTCCAAGGCATCAGATTCATCCTACTAACCATGTTGCGGATATTCAGGCAGCCATTGCCATGATCAACGAAGAAGGGACCAAGAGAGGCGTAGATGCTTCCAGGATAGGGCTCTGGGGGACCTCTCTAGGCGGGGGCCATGTACTGATGGCCGCCATTAATTCGGATCCCTCAATACGCGCCGTCATTTCGCAAGTTCCACATATTGCGAGTGCACTAGAGACGATAATTGTGGGGATGATGAATCTACCGGTGACAACAGGCAAGAGTGTGGTCAAATACTTGGCAGGCCTCCTAAAATGGAGTGTGTCCAAGGTGGTTCTCCGAAAGGAAAGCTATTTTCCCATTGTCGGCGAGCCAGGATCGGCCGCTCTGATGCAGAATCCAGGTGATACGGCTGGATATCTAGGCATTCTCAATCCAGGTGGCGAAGTTTCTGGTGGGTGGAAGAATGCCGCCACTACAGAGTCTGGGATGCACATTCTTTTCTATCGTCCATTGAGCTCACTTTCGAGAGTCAATCTTCCCGTCCTACTCATCGCAGTAGAGAATGACACTTTATGTCCGGCGAAGTTTGTCCAAGCTGCCAAGGAACGTATCAAGAACGCAGAGCTCTTTGTTTTTCCAAATTTGGGCCATTTTGACATTTATGATGGGGAGCCTCTGAAAACCATGCTATCAAAACAGATTGACTTCTTCAACAAGTACTTACACTAGGACTAGGATATCCTATAGTAGTAATATGTTTAGTTCCTTGTCAATCGGGGTAGCTGGAATTTCATAGTCTTTGTTACTAAAGGTATGGAGGTTAACGTGTGGAAACATGCCTTTTTTTAAAAGAATTTAATCAGAGGAGTCGAACAAACCAGCCCAAAATGAAATGAAATGAACACAACTCTCAAATACCAACACTTCCGCTAACTTCGCAACCTTCGAACTTGAAAATGTTGCAAAGATGATGCGCCAAAACCAGCCTTCACTGAACAAAAAGGCCTCTAGTAGAAGATGGTCTCGGTGGAGGCTTGGAGCTTCCTGCCTTTGGACAGTGATTCTGGCAGCGGTTCTGGGTGAAGCATTTTTCATCTATCATCACATTCCTTTTTTTAAGGACAGTGGCGCTACTGCAGAAACAGCCGCGAATGGCAGTGATGGAAAAGGTTATAAAGAGCCAACTATGCCACCGAGAGAATCTTCCTTTCATACAGCTGGTTTTGTGCACATCGGCAAGACTGGTGGTTCGACGATATCGACATTGTTGCGGAATGGATGCACATCCTTTGTGGAAGGGTCCTGCAGGAACATCACCCATGAAACAGTGGTATCGAAATATGTGGAGCATTACTATCATGTTCCAGACTTTTGGAGACTTCCAGAAACGAAACATGAAGCATTTATCATTTCGATTCGTGATCCTTTTGATCGATCAGTCAGCTCCTTATTATATCACCACCCGCGAAATGCTGAGGTATACCAACTGCGACAAACAAAGAAACAGCTCTACTATGGGCCACTGGCATATGCCTGTTTTCCCAAATTAGAAGACTTTGCACAACTTATGCAGGGAAGCTCGACCAATTGCAACTATCCCTATCATCAAAGGGACGTTGTCGCTGATGATTGCACTGGCTTGGCTTGTGCTGTCCTCCATGGAAAGGTTCGGCTCTTTTCTCATTTATTCTTCAACTATCGCAATATACTCTACACCAAATTACCAATGGAGCCTCGGCGAAAGATCTATGTCCTTCGCCAGGAGTACATGTGGGACGACTGGAGACAAGTGAACAAGTTGTTGGGGCAGACAGAGGAGGTTGTAGTACCTCGAGACTTTTCCAATCTACGCAACGTCTCTGGCATTGTACTTCCAGTAACCCGAGATATCAGTGTAGATGGACGGCAAAAACTCTGTGTGGCATTGACAACCGAATTTGAGGCATATTTCAAACTGCTGATATTTGCCATCAACATTAACGACGTCGAGTTTGAAAAGAGCCTCACCCTTGCCGATGCCAACTGCCCGAATCTAAATGTCCGTGCAATGGTGCAACAAATTCGAAAGTCAATGTAAACTATAATTAATGATAGACTAGTCGCTAGAAACTGTATTTTATCACATACAATACCGTAGGACTAGGCCTAGTAGTCGTTTGGATAGAATACTTTTATAAAACTATTACAGTACTATTGCATTGCGTTGTACACTTCCTTGGCGACAGCCTTTGCCACATGTCCATGTGGCGAGGCCGACATTTCCACCCGACTGACCATGAAAATTGACTTGGCCGTCTCTTTGGCTTGTGGATTTGCAAGAGCCACGGTTCCAGCAGCAATCAAGACGCGGGTAATGGCTTCTGCCTCGTAGGTTCTCGCCTTCAAAATGGCATCCGCACAAGTAATGACCCTGGAAGCGATAGTAGAATCGTCCTGTGCCTTTGTGTGAATGTAATGTGCGATGTTGTACAAAAGAGTGGCCACTGCCAATCGGACATTCTTGTTCGACGAGGCCACAAAGGAATCGACACAGGTCAAAATGTCATCCAAATGGCCCACCACGGCCAATTGCGATCCCGGACCACCTCGAAATGAATTTGCAAACAATCGGATTGACAGCATGGGAATGGCCACTGCCACAGGACCCTCCAAAGTACTCGTATCTTGGCACATACTCAGCGCCTTGACCACAACCTTGTCCCAAAAGACAGCATTACTCTCTGCCGCTCCGTGAGGATGTGCGACTGCCAATCGTGCCAAATCCAATGCCGGAAAGGCTTCGGATGGTGCAAATGTCTCTAGCATGTTAATAATGGCATTCAATTCCGCAGCCTGTATTTGGGAGGCATGGTATCGACTCGTGGCAGTGAGTGTACTCGCCAAGGACTCAATCTGTTGCAATTGTTCCTCGGACAATTTCCCAAAACCCTTGATTTTGGCTTTCATCTTTTCCATGGTCGTGGCCGCCGACTTGGCCGACAATTCAAAGGACTTGTATCCCGGCATGGGCAAGTGTTGATAGGATACCATAGGAATTCCCGTCGTGGCGACCGACGCCGAACCACCAGGAGCCCCAGCAGCACCTCCAAGTGATGGAGCTGCCGCTCCTGCCCGTTGTTGAATGTAATTGGCAATGTCATTCAAGTGATGTTGAGGCAGCATGTAGGCATCAATAAATCGTTGAGCCGCCACAAACGGATTCTCGCCATTGTTGTATCCGATCTGCAATTTTGCCACACCTCCTCCCGTTTGATCGACTTCAATGGGATACACGTGATCATAGGTAACCCCATCAATAGCACCACCGTCACCCGCATTTCCCATGACTTGACCGACTTCCACCCAAGATTGAGAAGCAGCACTCCATTGGGCAGCAATGGCAACACCACCCTTGTTGAAAACATGGACTTGTCCTTCCGAGTTGCCTCGGACTTGCAAATTCTGTTCCCAGAGCGGCAATTTGGCAATTTCTTCTGGAGTAGGCCCAGATCCCTTTTTCTGGTGTGCCTCTTGCACCAATTGGGCATACGTTTCTCGTTCCTGTAGAGGCGCCATGCGATCCGAATTGAGAGTAAACACCCTTAGAGTTCCATCGTCGCAACAGGTGCAAATGTCCCCATTTGGCAAACCAACGACATTCCAAACACAGGCCGGATGCAACAAGATTTGTGGCTCTCCAGCTCCTTGTAAGTTAAAGACCACCACGTGTCCATCTTCGGCCGAGGCCACAATGGAATCCTCCCCCGCCTTGGCGACGGACAACAGCATGGGTGGATGCTGCTGCTGTTGTTGCGGGACAAATTGCAAGGTCGACAAGGCTGTTCCAGTTTCGGGCGATCGCAATTTGACCGTACCATCATTAGAGCAAGTTGCCAAACAAGTTTCATTCAAGGCCAAAATATTTCGAATCGGTCCCTCGTGGTCATTGGCGACTTTCTTCAAACAGGAAACCTCACTCGTCTTGACATCGACCGACCATATTCGCACCGTGTGGCCCGATATCATATTGCCTTGGGCAATCCCTGCCGATCCCGTCGCAATTTGCAAATAGTTTGGGTCCTTCGAAGTCAGTCCCGTCACACTGACGGTGTTTTCGTGGCCGGGCAGAGTGGCCACCATCATTTGACGTTCCAAATCCCAAACCTTGGCCGTCCCATCCCAAGATCCCGACACTAGAAATTGCTTGTTTTCGCTAGTAGAGGCAAAGGCCAAACTGGAAACCGTCTTTTCGTGTCCCTTGAGCGTGGCCATCAATTCGTGTTGTCGACTAAAGACTCGAATCATAGCGTCCTTGCATCCGGTAATGTACCTTTGATTTTCTGCTTCTGGTTCAGAAGTAGACAATATGGCTGTAATAGCATGGTTGTGCTGGTAACTAATTGGATTCAAGGAACTAGAGGTGATTCCAAATTCGCAAAGGCCCCCGCCTTGATTGCCCGTCACGAGCATGAATTCATCCGAATCTTGGTTGGACGAGGCGAGAGGACACGCGGCACGGATTCCTTGACTGTCGGAAATGAATTGCTGCGATAATTCCCAATCGGCTTGCATTTTTGTAGTGTTGTTATTGTTGTAGTTAATGAATATATATATGGAAAATGGTACAGGCAGGGAGCACAAGAGTGTTTGCAAACCAGAAATGTTTTGGTGGTTGTTCGAGTCGGATCGCTCTGGAAGTCTGTGGAAGAAAGCAGTCGCGGGAGTCGATTTTGTGGTAAACACTTTTGTTTGTTTGCTTGTTTCTTTCTTTTTTCTTTTCCGTTCCTTCCTGCATTTCCAACTTCCACTCAACGGAAGTGTGCTCATTAATCCTCTCTCTCTCTCTCTCTCTCTCTCTTTCTCTTGGTGCATACATCATTGAGAGATTCTGTGCTATGGACACAATCAACGATGGGATTCGCTTTCTCAATAGTTCCATTGATGCTTGTACGGACTACGTCAGGGAGAACGCGATTCAACTGATCATAATTGGAGCCTTGGTTTATTATCTCAAGAATCGGAAACAACAAGATCAGGGGTATACCTTGAGTCAATCACGACCAACCGCAGCTGCTACCACCACTACTACTACTGAATCTGCTGCTGCATCCGAGACGACATCCACCAAAAACAAATTAACCCGAGATGAACATTTAATGGCAGTGCGGGAACGTCAACAACAATTGGCCAACCAACGGGCACTCGAAGCTGCCAAATTGCGCAAGGAAAAACAACAAAACGAAAAGGACCGGAAGAATCAAGTGGCCCAAAATAAGAAGAAAAAGGGAGACGTATTAGGCAATGGTAGTGCTAGTGCTAGTACTAGTCCTAGTGCTAGTGCTAGTGGTGCTAGCTGTGCGTACAATCCCATGCAACCATGGTCAGGTCATTCGAATGGATTTAGGTTCGTAACAACAACAGCAACACACGCGTTTGGAATTTAGATTGTTGGAAAATGGCTTATTCTTGCGATTGTGTCTTGTTGCCTGCCCAAACATTTTTTTAAAATATCACAGACCAGCACGACGCACCACTCGAAGAGGGTGAGGTTAATCCGGGAGGTTGTGGTATAACAGCCTCTCGGATATCCGTGATGATTTGGTAGTCAGCAGTCGTCTTTCTTTTTTCTTTGGAAATGGAAAAGAAAGAAAAAAAGAAATAGGCTAGCTGGCTACAATGTTGTTGTTTGTGGGGAAAGTGTAAGTGTGCTGCAGGATCGAAGAGAATTCTATCCAGCATTGTCCATGAATGATATGAGACAACAAGAATTTCAATTCTGTTGCCATCATTGAAGAGGTATTATATTTTTTTATTATAATATTATGGCACAATGGAACCAGTACATAGGACCTAACTCCAATCAAACAAGCGATAAATATATTATAGCATGTAAAGATGTATTTAGTTTGTAGGATGATAACATATGGCATATGATTAGTCAGATATCGTTCATGGTTCACGGGTCACTCTTTCGGAGAAAGACCGATCATGCAGTACCTGGTACGAACGCTGCTCGTATAGGATCATTTCTGACCGAACCAATGGGTAGGTAGGCCAGGTAGACTTCTTGTTCATGGAATGAATCTTACTATTTTGTCATGTATATTATGATTACAACAAAGTCTTAAAATGCCCAACTATTAATTATTACTTATACAATAATGCAGTAATAAGGACCGATCATGCAGTATCTGGTACGAACTCTGCTGGTACAGAATAATTTCTGACCGAACCAATAGGTAGGTAGGCCAGGTAGATCTCTTTCTTGTTCATGGAATGAATCTTACTATTTTGTCATGAAACAAAAATTCAACATGCCCAAATATTGATTATTAATGATACAGTAATGCAGTAATATAACATGTGGAAAGCAACATGTAATAATCCCAGTATGATACATTATTTTCCAGTCTTGAACATTACGGCTAGGATGTCTCAACTCTTGTAATCATAGCGACATACTTGTTGATGTGCCCACCTACCTTTTGTGAAACTTATACTTGCACTTCCCTGCGTCATATGCTGCCCGATAAATTACCACTGACTCCAGCACCCCCCAGATTAGGGGGCAATGAAGCAGCTCCTTGGACAGAGGCTGTGCTTCCACCGGTGCCACCGCTGCCGAATCCAGAGCCACCTGTTGATCCCGTAGCCCCGGATGTAACACTAGGGGACTGGCCTGATAATCCAGCCAATCCCTGGGTACTTTGGAGCAAGCTTTGAATGTTAGGAATCATACTCAAGGCTGCCACACCTCCCATTTGTTCCACAAGGGTGGCCAATTCTTGGCGGAGTGTCAAGTTCTCCTTGGAGAGTTCGGCATTTTCAGTGGTCAGATTTTCCACCGAGTCTTGCAAATCTTGGAGCAACTTCTTTCGCCGTTCGCGAGACTCTCTGGCGGATCTTCGGTTGGCCATGACCCTCCTCATTTTCCGTGCTTCTTTTCTTCGTTCGGGGTCAAGTGCAGCATCACTGAGTTGGTCTGCATTCCCCTCTTCAGAGGTGTTGCTTTCGGGAGTGCTGCGTTTGGTTCCCGAGGTTTGACTGCTAGAGGCCCTATCTTGCTCGTCGCCTGCTTCAGCGATAGCTGAGGTGTTCGTAGCTTCTCCTGTCATTGTCTAATCTGATGATCTATAGTGTGTGCTGTATATGATGATGTGCTACGTTTTGTGTTTCTGGCATTTGGTTTTTTTTGTTGCTGCAGTAAGTGGTCACGTTGCATGGCACGCATTTCCAAATACAGGTACGTGTACGTGTGTGTGTGTCAGTGCTGATCTGGCAGCTTCGTGCCATGTTAGCTCTGTCTTCTCATTGGTGCAGCTATCCGGTCACTCAATCGATACTTAAGAAAACAAAAGATGCTGATTTGAAATATGCTTCGATACTAATAGCTCGTAAAAATGGATTGGCGCACGGTGCCGCGAATTGAGAATTTTGTGACGACCATGGAAGGAAGCCCCCCCATACTATATAAAGACACAATCCTGATGCGAAGACGGTGAAAGTGCAAGAGCAATATTACTCCAGTATAATTATGTAAAACTCGTAACAAAATCAGAAAGTGCCACTCTAGCGTTTGGAAGACGGATCATAGAATTTTTCTTGTATCTGCCACAATTAGGTAGAGTCACACAGCAAGCGTTCCAATATCGAAATTTTCTATCATGGTTCTCGATTCTGCAATCATGCAAGTACCAGGTCCCAGATGAAAGGCTTGAGAAGAACAGAGGAGTCTTTCTTGATGTTATGCTGATACGAAGAAAGTTGATGGAGCGAGAGAAGTACTATTTTGAATTTGGTACCCGGTATGACTATATCTTTTGGTAAACGAGATCATAGTAAGGTTCTGTGAGTACAATGGATCACACACCAAAGAAAATGGACGATGCGGAGGAGATCTATTGTTCGAAATTTCAATCATAGTTCGTTTCTGCAAGGCAACACAACAATACACCACACGCTCGATAGGCATGCACCACTGTCCAGCATGTTGTAGACATGTTTATCCAGCTCTGTTCACTCCAACAAAATTTCCATCATGTCTGATACAATCCCATGATGATGATGACGATGGTAGCACGATTGGGATAAACAGTGCTATCAAGGGGATAGCCATTGATACATAGCTTCGGAACACAGAAGGACTAATTTAGCTTCGTATGATGTTTCTTACAGTACATTGTTGCACTTTTAAAAGTGCATAGTGTTTGGATGGGGTAGAGGTAGAGAAGGAGACTACGGACTTATTGTAGAACATATTGTAGATACAGAGTCTACGCCTTCTCCAACGTTTTGCATACTTCCTTCATCGTAGGGCGAGCAAGTATCGATTCACCCCATCCACTGCGCAAGAGTTTGCGAACGGATTGTGGCCAAGAACGGGGGACCGATGGCCGTTCTCCATACACCGAAACACTTTCCTTCACCTGTTGTCCCATCAAACCCTCATACGGCTTTGACAATGCCAGGATTTCCCACAAAAGAATGGAATACGAAAACACATCGGCTTTCAAGTTGTAAGGTTCTTTGCGAATGACCTCCACAGCCATGTATCGGGATGTACCAGTGTTTCCTGCCAGCTTGAATGTGGTATCTGGATCTGGGTGGTCCGGAATTTCGACGGCGAGTCCAAAGTCAAAAATTTTCAAGACTTCATGCTTGTCGAATCCTATATTGGCTGGCTTGAGATCACGAAACAGTATGCGTCTATCGTGCAAATAATCCACAGCGTTGGCTACTTGTAGTGCCACTTTCAGCCGGGTTGCAAAGGATTTCTGCTTGTCGGATCTTCCTTTGAGCAAACCCTTTTGCTGCTTGGCTTCTTCCCTCCAAAAGGAAATTTGTTTCGCCAAAGTGAATTCCAGACGATCCAAAATCAAAAAGAATCCATCTGCTCGACCAGCCGTGGCAAATCCTGAAATGCCCGGTGAAGACCACGCTCTCAAACCAATAATATTTTCATGAGTCAGAGCCGAAAGGAAGTGGGCTTCCATGACCAAATCTTTGGCACCGACCACCAACTTTTTGGGGCTAGATGCCAACTTTGGATTCAAATGCTTGATGACATATCTTCGTTCATCCTTTTTGGCCTCTTCATTCATCAATTCTGTTTCAACATTAAAGGATTCCAGCTCGTAAACATTAGAGAATCCGCCGAATGCAATCATATTTCCAAAATTCAAATCTTCTCGTTCAAAGCGGGGCAGTTCATATAATCCGCAGTTGCTTTGTACATATACCGACGACGACACCACTTGGGCCACTCGCATTTCAGTGCGCTTCACCAATCGCTCGGCCAAATCAGGACTCAGATCGTATTCCTCTCCTTCATGTTCGCTTGTTGAGAAGTTGGTGTCGCCTGTCATCGTACCCCGGGTATCTCGGTCACCAGTCATGTGACCTTCAAAGCTAGGATGGCTACGGCCACCTTGAGCCAAAGTATCATCTGACATGGACGACCGTGATATCGACTTTGATCTTTCTCTCGTCGCCATCATAACAATAGATGTTGGGTTTGCAGTATTATTGGAGGAGAATAAATAGGAGTCAGTCGAAAGGCTGGAGTGCTGGTTTCGTGTGTATCGGCAATCGAGCAAGTCTTTTGTTTTTTTAAGAGGCTACCGGTAAGAATGAGTAGCTGTGCTTGTGGCGAGCTGTGGCTAGTGTAGTTGATATTGACACTGGTAACTGTATTTCACACCACCAAAGTCTCAAAAAGCGCTGGCCTTCCATGACTGTGCCTTTGGATGAATTCTGCCTCCGAGTTGTCGTAGGGACTGTACGGTCAAATATGACCATATCGAATGCTTTTAATTGGAAGCTTCTCGCCGACTTCGCCCTTGACGTTTTCTCGCATCGCGGTTGAGGTCTGTCCGTAGCCCTGAAGGGTACTGGTAGAATGAATTTCACAGTCCAGTAGAAGTACCGGTATCTATGGGTACGGTAATAGCCACACTAGCTTACAAAACTCTAGTCGCCAATAAATTCCGATGAGACTTCTCTCGAACGTGCATAAAGTTCACGGGCATGACGAAGGCCGGCATGACTGTAGAGCTCCAACACGGCGTCAATATTACTCTCGGGGGGCTCTTTTTCAAAAGAATCCTTCAAGGCCAAGGCATCCAAAATGGCCGTGTGGGCACCCACGGCGGTACGCGGACTGGCCATGTGGGCAGCGTCGCCCAAGATCACCACTCGACCCTCATGCACCTTCTCAATGCGACCGAATTCGTATTGTGGATGAGGCGAGACTTCGCCGTGCTGTCGGATACATTCCATCAATTCGACCAAACCTGGTGTATTGGAAAAGTGATCCGTAAAATGTTGTATGAGCCAATCGGGCATAACATTTTTCTTGTTGTCGTTGATGCTTCCATGCCGACTGGTGCCATCTGTAGCCTTGTTCCAATACTGATCCACCTCGTCTTCCGGCGTTTTAATAAATGTCCCCATGGTCCAAAGATCTTCGCCATTGTCCTTGGCCTGTCGTAGCAAAATGGTATCGTAAATCCCATTCTTATAGACTCCTTCATGTATTCGAGGCAAGATGTGCAATGGAATTTTGGAGATGGACACAGCACCGCGCCAAACCACATAACCAGCGTACTCGGGTTCCACTTGATAGTAGTCATCATTATTGTGCGGCGACTTGCAATTGTTATTGCTGTTATCATCCAAGGCATCATCGCGCAACACATATTTTCGCAGTTTCGAAAAGCCACCATCGGATACGACCACCAAATCATATTCCTCCTTGTCAATGGAAACGGTACTACCACGGCCATTGTCGCTGTCGTTGTTGTTGTTCATGGTCAATTTTTCAATGGTTTGCCCAAATCGAACCGTACCTGGAGGCAGTCCTTGATAAAGATATTTCCACAAATCGCCATAATAAAAGGATCCCTGATGACGATGGGCACGTCGACCCCGACGCATCATGGGTACCTCGTCGTTGCGAAGAGCTTCCCAGGCGGCAACGTTGACATATCCCAAACCACTTCCTTTTTGATCCAATGGACCGGGTGCGCGCTCGTAGACGTGAATGATTTGAAATCTCCCGGTACTTTGTAAAGCATTGGCCGTCGCAAGTCCCCCCAAGGAACCGCCCACAATGGCGACCCGAAAAGCATGGTGATTCTTTGGATTTTGTGGCAACGATGCCGAGGCAGCAGCAGCCACAGTTCTTGAAAACCCCATCACGACCGCAGCGATAAAGAAAAGGCGAGCTATGGTGACGATGATTTCTGTCTCTTATCTGTATCAATATTGTGGTAACCACAGGAATTGACGAGCTGCAAGATACTGCAGATCATTGTGTTGGAATATGATAAAATATATTGTAAGCAGATTTGAGTGAGGTTCGATGGAATTCGCGTATGACGTCACCATTGAGGATGACACTACCTCGCATTAGGCAGGATTCAAATATGAAATCAATCTTGCAAGATGTCCGAGTTGTGTCCATTTTTGGCTGCGCAGGAGAAATTTGCGATGGTCAACAGTTGGATTTGCGATGACAGCGTTTGATGATCTAAATGGGACCGACCTATCTACCGGTACCGGTACCGTATCGATATTGCATTGTTTTAAAAATTCTGGTTATTCGTTATGAAATGTGTATCATAGGTTTCTCTGTAGCAATTGAAGCTTTACAACACTGCCTCTCTTGTTGGCAATCTTTAGAGCATAGTCTGCATCTGCATAGGAATAGAAGTCCATCTCATTGATTTTTGACACAAGATCTCCAACCTTCAAATCAGTGTCTTGAAAGACAGAACAGGGTAGGATACTGCTGACCATCAGTTTGTTATCGAGCACTTTGAAGCGAATTCCAACATCCTGATCTTTTTCCTTCTCCGCCTCAACTTCGTTCGGGTTGGGGGAGAGGCTAGATCGCTTTGACGGCGACTTTTGGAACAGGCCGCTGGTATCCTGTCGGACCACCATTGTAACCTTCTCTTCAGCAGCATTCCCAGATGCAATGAGATCTGATAGAAAGGCATCTCTTGTACTTGTTCCATTGAGACTTAGTAGGATGTCTCCCACTTTCAAGTCAGTTTGAAAAAATATGCTGTCTTCAAAGATTTCCGTGACGGTCGCTCTCCCATCGACCTCTTTGATGCTCACTCCCAATTGTTCAGATGGATGGGCCTTTCTGGCGGTGATGCTGGCAAAGGCTCCCTTTTTACAGGAACTAGACCTTCGCTTCATGGGCGGACCTCGTCTTTGGGGGCGTGGTTCTCGGGTCGACATGATGATGTTGTTGGTGGAGGTTTGCAAAATTGTGTGCTCTCCATGAAAAAAAATTGTCGCGAATCATCTGCTTGTCAGCTCACAAGCTTCAAAACTCGCTCAATCAAACCGCGACACACTCCGATTGAAAACATAACGGCCCGTGAATCAAATTCGTCTTGTCAATAAATCCGAAAATCTCGCTCGACGAAATCTCGTATTCCAAAAACACTTCCGAATCGAGTCGCGCTGTTCGTACAGATTTGACTTGTCCGGGATACGCCCTTTTCAAGTCGTGGGGGATCGAAACAAGACAGTGTGACTGAGGTGAAGCTTCTGATTGACTGGAGGGTCTGGAGAACGTGTTTCGTGTTTTATAAGAGATGCTTTTTAATGATAATTCTAGCTATGTTCCTTGGGGCAGACAGTTAGCCGCAACAGCAATGTCCATGTAGCTACTAGCTATTAGCTATTACAACCGAACTGGGGCATGGCAGTCGTGTCAGGAGATAGTATCTTCCGTGGTCCAATGTTTGTTGCTCCTACGGCAGTCTCTCAACATGACAGTGCCCTTGTGAATTGGTGGACTATGACGACTTTAAGAGTTTTGTTGATTGGACGGCTCAATTGGAAACCTCCTTGTGATTGTGTTTGTCCTCGTGAATTTCCTGGTAGTCTTTTAGTATTCGTCGAAACTCATTGCACAAATTCACTTCCGATACATTTGAACTGTCAGACACCAAAACCACAATCAAGTATACCAAACAACTCAAAGCCACACGTCCAAGAACTACAAAGCATCCGAACGAATCATGCACCAAGAATGAAACTTGTATTCCATTTCCTCCTCGTAGCACTCCTTGTCCCAAATGACCTTGTAGCCAAGACGCTCGTAAAAAGTTACATTCCGTGGTGACTGAGTCTCCAAATGTAAGTTCAATTTTCCCTTGGCACTTTCTTCGACAATGGCAGCCATGAGAGCCTTTGTGCCCAACCCTTGTCCTTGGCAATCGGGACGAACCACCATGCGTTGCAACTGAATGGAGCCTTCCTTGACTATATTATTGTTGTTTTGACCACTCTCGTCATTCATCATCTGAGAAGTATATTCTTTACTTGGAGATTTCAAATTATCCATCACATGAAGCATCCGCTTGACAGAGTCCATGCCAAATCGAATCGGCATTTGCAAGAGCCCATGCCACAGCATTTCCCCGAGACTGGCATCTTGATGTTCCTGTGGGACCCACATGAAACAGCAGACGACTTGATTGCTGTTTTTCTCATTATTCAACACACCTCGCAAGGCTTGTGGACATTTATCTAAAACAATGCGAATGTTTCTGACAAACAACCATTCCAAGGCAGCCCTGCGAGACTCCTGTGTGCCCCGAAAAATGTATCGGTAGATGGCGGCATCACTGAAGGCATTCGCCATGACCTGAGCGCATTCTTCTATATACTCTGGCCCGAGTACTAGCAATGTGGTAGTGGTGGCCATGTTCTGAAGAAAGCAGTACGGTACTATACGAATCTAGCTACGATATATCTCGTTTCTCATGTTGTTCTTGCTTTGGATTTTGATGGTCGTCATTTCCATTCGTCATTGCTTTGAGTCCAGTCGTGATCTAGTCGAGTAGGTCGAAGATCGAAGTTTTCGAAAACTAAACTTGATCCAATAACCGCAACTGTGGTGAGGATGCACTACATTTAAAACAAACACCCAAACGTCTTGTTGTCGCCAATGCATGCCATAAAAATTTCTACTGTAACTGAAGGATGCAATATCTAAGACAGTTTGCTACTGATGCAATGGGCAGCTCCGTTGCAGCATCACTCGACGACGACATTAAAGATCTTGATGTTGCTAGCTTTATTGAATCGTTGATCCAAGAAGAAGCAAGCATTCAACTTCGCCCAGAAACTACCAAGTTCTTGCTTTTTGCCCATAAATACATACGATGCCGAGAAAAAATGGACGCCAAGTATCTTGAGGTTGATGAATTCAAGCAGATTGCCCAATTGGAAAATGTGGATGTGAAACTAGAAATCACCGACGAACATCAGCAACTGGCAACGTCCGGCGATAGACCCGTTGAAACACTGGACGAGCTATACGAGGCTGCAGTAGTGGTGGGACCCGTGTACCAAGATTACATCAGAAACCTTGTGGATCAAGTCTGCGAAGCTTGTGGTGACTCTGTTGAAACTGTGGATGTTCAGTTTGCGTCACTCAAGGGGAAGGAACGTGCGCTGGCAAAAGCCTTTGACGATTATTCGAATCGCACCTTGCCACCTGGAATATCATGGCTGTATGACATTGTTCGAGGCAGTATTAAGTTTGTTTCAGCCGATCAAGTCTTGAAGTGTTTGGAGATTCTGCAAAATGATCCATCGATTGCTATCATCAGCGCCAAGAACCGATTCAAGAATCCAACACTCACGGGCTATCGTGATTTGAATGTGCACTTTCGTATGACAACTGAAGGTGGTGTTTCACATATTTGCGAGATTCAGATTCATCACAAAGCAATCAAAGCGCTGTGTACAGAGCTTGATAGTCACAGCTTATATGAATACTTTAGGAAGTATTTTGCTGGAGCTACTGGAAAGCTAAAGGAACGCCTAGGCGATTTGAAACTGGTTGGGGGTAGTGAAATAATGAACAGTGAGAACTTGCAAGACCTGCTAGACGAAACCAATGAGGAGTACCGGTTAAACAGACTTGCTACATTGTTTCGTGAATACCTTTGTGAGTTTGGCGTGGCATTTCGAGTCTATTGTCGTTTGCTGCATTTGCAGCTGGAACAATACGGAGAAGTACACATCACCGTTGCCTCTACCTACTACCGTATGGGTCGTGTGTTGGCGGAACAAGGTAGACTCAGCGAAGCTCTAAAGCTGTACAAAGTGGCGCTGAGAATGTTCAAAGAAATCCATGGCAAAGATCACCCAACGGTCCCAGCAACTTTCAACGATATTGGTTGCGTGCTGTGGCTCCAAGGGGAATTAGAGTCTGCCATGGAGCTGTTTGAAGAAGCAGCCAAAATGTTCAAGAATTGCCGTGGCATGGAGCATCCCTACATCGTCATTGCGTATTCCAATATGGCAATGATACATAGCTCCCAAGGGAACTACGGCGAATCTATGAGGTTGTATCAGCAATCATTGGACATGAAACGAAAGACATATGGTGAAGAACACTCTGAAGTCGCAACGGCTTACAGCAAGTTTGCTCAAGCATATTTTGACATGGGAGGACTGGACAAGGCGATGCAACTCTATGAAATTTCATTGGATATCTACAAGAAGACACTTGGGGAACGGCACGCAGATGTGGCGACCACGTTGTATGGTATGGCTTGTGTATGGAAGCAGAAAGAAAATTGGGATAATGCAATGAAACTATTCCAGCAATCGCTCGAGATATTTCAGAACACTCGAGGTGCGGATCATGAATACGTTGCCATACTTTATCGCAACATGGCGGAGGTACTGCGGGAGCAAAACTATGCAGATGCTGCGGAGGAATTGGAGGAGAAGCGGATGGCGATCAGCCAGAAGATGAAAAGAGAGTCCAAGGTCATTGCTGCGCCAGAATTTATTGGCCGGTAGTAGGCATTCTCCGGTGTTACGGTTGTTGAAGGTAGTTGTAATTATGGATATACTCTAGAAGTGTGGAAAAGAAAAGAGAAAACGTTGGATTTTATTATTATTAGAAGCTTCCTTTGCTATTGTAATCCCCTTTTGGAATTTGTACAACTCGAATACTTTCGTCGACCTTGTGATTAGGAAGGTGGCATCAAAGAGTGCCCCAATTTCATGTAGAGCCACATGGTACTCTGCCGATTCTCAATCAGAAGGAACAGAATTTGTGTACCTAGCGTCCTTTTGCTCTGGTCTTTCAATGGTTCATGTTCATTCTACTCAATATATCCCAACTCCTTGAGCAGTTCCTCCTCTCGTGTAACCATTTCTTCATACTCGTCATCTTCCTCGTGATCGTAGCCCACTAGGTGAAGCATCCCATGTATTAACAACATGTGAATCCGTTTGACTGGATCTAATTCGCTCGCCATTGCACCTGAGACTCCCCGTTCGACTTCGTCTTCGAAACCTGCGTCATCAGCTTCGTCCATGTCTTCTTTACATCTGCGAATGACGTATGGAACATCCACCACCATGTCTCCGAGGGTATAGTAATCTGGAATATCGAACTCGGGCTCCTCAAGTAGTCCTGGTTTCTCGTGGAAATGGAATGGGAACGAAAGAATGTCCGTAGGGGCATCGATGCCCCTCGATTCTAGGTTGGTTTCCTTCATCTCCTCATCGTCAACAAGCAACAGTGTGACATCATAGGTCTCGTAGCTACGATTGAGAAATTATCAATGGTTAGGGAACCTTGCATCCGACGACACTCAGCGAAGGAATCGACTCACCCTATTATTTTGGCTATTCGATGTACTGTGTTCTGCAATGCTTCCTGATCTATATCCTTGATATCATTTTGATCATCATAGACTACAACTTGTCCCAAAGGATTACCAGGAATGCCTCTTTTGCTTCCAAACAGTCGCATCGTTTGTCGAGATGCCAAAATCGTGGATCCCATTCTTCGTCCAATTGTTCGGCCAAAAGCAGAATTCATAGCGAAAGCGTTAGATACTGGGAGGAAAATCAGGCCAATAATGAGGGAAAGTGTGGTTACGTGACAGTTAGAACTATTGTGAGGGTAATGCTTCATGTGGACCGATGGTTAAATCAAGTCGGAACCAAGAGATCCTCGCTTCTCTTTATTGTGTTGGTTGGAGTTGGTGATAGCTTTGAGATCTCTTGATTTGGGCGCACGAAGCTCGAACGCAGTTATACGACTGTTCTAGTACCCAATAGTTGCGGTTCCAGCAAGAGTATAGGTTCCAGACCTAGTAGGACTACAAACCACGTTATCTTCAATACAGCGACTATTTGTAACTACTGTTCATTTTATAATTGCTGCTACCTTTCAGGACATCTCAAAGTGCAAGAAGGTATTGAAGCAAGAGGTTGCACGTTTGCATCAGCACCACATGGATGATTCAATGGGTACTAGCGTGTGTTCTTGCTTACAACTGAAGGGCGCAAATATGATGGAGCCCCTCGAGCAGGTACACATTTCTCCGAGCTGTAATTTGTGTCTATTACTTGAAATGGCGATGTTGAAGCTCTACGTGTTCGATTCAATGGGTAGTGTGTGTTCTTACAACTGGTGAAGGGCGCAAATATGATGGAGTCCCTCGAGCAGGTACACATTTCTCTTAGCTGAACTTGTGTCTATTACTTGAAATGGCGATGTTGAAGCTCTACGTGTTCTCGGATCTTCGTGGAGCTCATTTGTTTGCCCAACAGTTTGGATTCAACCTCGGTCGTCGGAGGTTTCCTCAACGCTCCGATGAATTGGCAAGAAATTGATGCCAGTAGCTTGTTGTTCCAGGCACGACGACTTCTCAGCTTGGCAAACAGCCAAAATCACCTTGTTTTGTCTACTGTATTTGTTCCTACGGGAAAGACTCCTTGGGAAATCAGCAGTGTCGTGGATGACGCCGAAGTGGTCAAGATCAAATCATCATTGGTGGAAACTGAACAAAGTGGCGAAAAACTTTTTCGTCAATTTTGTTCGAAATTTCGAAAGCTCATTGTTGGCAGTTGATGAGTTGCTGGTGCAGGTATAATACAAGTTTGCGCAAACCAAGACGTCGCGGGATCGGTAACACAGTGCAGCAAGAATGAAACCAATCCGGTAGATCATCATATTTAAAGTATTAGCGATGGGAATCCCATTGCATAATAATAACTTCTCTGAATCGTCAATTATCGCCACAGCGTGGAATCTTATTCAGAATGGTAGCTTTCAGGATGCGCACAGTAGTATGGCAACACTTGGATTCAGGATCAATGTCAAATGGAACAAAAGGTACCAGCTTGTTCTTGTTCTTCACGGGTCCACTACTCATTGCTGGGGTCTACGCTTACAAGGCAACTAGTACCGAGGTAGATATCAGGCTGATATTTTGAGACCATCCAACTGATACTTGTTTCGATGACTGACTGTTTGGATGAAAAGAGAGAAGTTGGTGGTGATGGGAAGGGTTATAGGGTTAGGGTATCTTGTTGGATCTTTTTTATGGTTGAAAATGAAGTCGAATCAGTCGTCGATCCATCGAATCTTTCGGCTTCTGGATGTCGAAGAATCGAAACCACAACAGAGCGCTTTGGTCATGCAAGGGCGGAACAAAATCCACAACTATGACCTAAACTTTCCATAGGCAGTAGTATCCCTCCCATTTGTAATTTCCGCGATGGATATCGAAGAGAGGCTTGAGGAATTGAAGCGTTCGTTCAAGGATGACATTGCGAATCTCGTGGCCAAGAATGCCGAGTTGGAAGCACGGAACCAAGAGTCCGATAAGAAAATTTCGGAACTCCGACAGCTGGTAGAAGGAAAGAATGGTGGAAGAATTGATAACGACGAAAGTGATGACAAGATTTGGATGAACACAAATGCATACACCTTCCTCTATACCTCGCCGATGTGTAGTGGACCGTTCATTGCCGGCGTCACAACTTGCCTCCTGCAGTATATTGTTTTCTCGTTGTTCTTGTTGGATCTCTTGAACACCACGTCGATTCCACCGGGAGTGGCCGCACTTGTACGAGTATGTCAGGCGATTGCTATCCTCATTGCCTTTGTGGTGGAATCCGACATGCTACTTGCTCTGCGTGCCATATTCTATTGTGAAGGATTTGTGGAAATGATAGTCGATTTCGACGACGACTTTAATCCACGAAAGTTTTATTTTGGAAATACTCTCATGGGCATGCAGGGCTTGCTGGGCAAATTTGTTGCATTCTTGCTGATCATCTTTGCCGATAACGTGTTTGATTTGCTGCTGAATTTTACAGCGGTCATGTTCGTATCCGAGTTGGATGAAATCGTCTTCTTACTCTCGGCGAATGGCTACGTTGGCAAAAAAGCTGAATTTCTCGCCAAAAAGATCCAAAGAACAAAGTTTCCACAGCGCCCTCCAAAAGGAATCATGCGGTACATGCACCTATTCCTTTATGGTTTGACAATGGTCGTTGCATTCATCGCCTTTGCCATTATTGCTCGTCAGCAAGACAGCCAAGAGAGTCTTGCCGATTTTGTGAAGGTTCAATTTGGAGATGAAGTCGATCCGACTCTTGGTTTGTTCTCAGGCTGCTATGAGAAACAATTAAATGATGGTTGGAATGCAAGGGTCCGGTATGTACAGACTCAGACCGATCGTGGAAAGGGTAATTTTGAATATTGTCTTGACGATGGTCTACAAACATGGGTGTTTGCCAAGGTTCAATCGGAGACGGCTTGTACTGGTAATTTCGCGCTTCAGTCAGCAGAGGAGCGGTCGACTAGCTTTGACCTGCTCGATGCCAAGGGCGACCAATGGTTGCTGGGAACTGGGAACCCGATTGGAGAGTTCCAATTGGGAGAAATCGATCCTAGTCGGTTCGAGATTGAATGTGGCAACATATCGGTCGAAGGCGGCACAGCGAATGCACCAGAGGAGCTGTGTCCGATCATGACGATTGATGCAGATGCGGTTGGATTTTCTGGTAGCCGTGATTGGTCCAGAACCTTTGTGCTGTTGGAGAACGTGAACACCGAAGCTGTGCAGTACTACCAGCGTCCAGTGTTCATTGGAGACTTTCCGGGTACGGAAGGATACGAAGTGCTGTTTTTTGCAGGGCGCAGATGGGCTCTAGCAAGCGCTAAACAGCTGTTGGCTGAAGACGGCGACCCTTTCAATAGGGATGAAGTCATTTCGTTGTTTCAAACCTCCACCTTTTGGCTTTTGGAGCTTTCAGCAGAAGCACTGTCCTATCTAAGCGAGGATGTGAACCAAGGCAATGATCGAGGAACACCACTGGGTCTCCAGTGGTACAATGCCCGACATGCAGACGGTGTTGCCTTCCCTTTTGCTGATATCAGTCGCCCAGTCGATGCATCATTCCGATGTGGCAAGTGCAACGGTAGGAACAATCCATGTCTGTATGAAGGGATATGCCAAGATGACGGCACGTGCAATTGCAGGCACGGGGCATCAGGGAAACTATGCGAGATCAAGCCACTTGGCGATGGAGTTTGCAATCCATTCTTCAACACGGCGCCGGATGAGTACGATGGTGGGGACTGCTGGTAAGTTTGGAACTGACTAGGTTCAAAGCGATCGACGATGATACTCAACGAAATTTTTCGGTTATTGTTCTTTCAGCGTGGCCACATGCTCGAAAACAAGTTGTGGAGTAGGAGCAATGGACTTTGCCTTTAGTCAAAGTCTGACACGGAATGGTACTGGTTTCCAACATTGTACCGACCCGTCGATGGTACCACTTACCATACTTCTTGATACGGAGATTGAACTCGTACAAGGAGGCACTTTCTTTGAATCATATACAGTTGAAGTCATGTGTGAAGGTGGAGCAAGAGCTCCCTTGCGTGTAGCCCTGGACCCATATATAGAGGGGAAACTAAACGAGACTCTGTACGTTGATGACAAGACAGGATCGTGCCTTTTATCGTTCACTGGTATTCAGTCTTTTAGCGGGCTCAGCATTTCCTACCAAATAGTGGATGGGTCAGATTCCAGTGCAGAAATGTTGTTGATGAATGAAACAAAGAATATCTCTGTGGATGGGAGATTTACCTTGCCCACACTATACAGTAGGTGCCTAAAGGAGACTCTGGTAGGGGTTATTGACCCTAATCATTTGTATACTGGGAGTTATCAAGATGAGGCATTTGCTTGGCTCAGCAATGAAGCGCCTATGTACCCGGACTGTTCCTCGAATCAAGATTATCTTATTCAACGCTTCGCGATGGTGGCTTTGAACACTGCGGAGGAAGCACCCAAAAGTTGGATCTCGTCCAGTGATCATTGCCTGTGGTCACGAGTAACGTGTGATGGTTCGCGAGTTGTAGAGTTGACCTATGGTAAGGGCGAGAGTGTGTTTGTATTTCTTTTTAAGACCTATTTTCTGATATGCTTTTCTCGTAAAACACAGATGGCAACACAAATGGAGGGCTGGGGGGCTCTCTGGCAAATGAATTTACGCTTCTCCGGCATTTAGGTAAATCTTTCCACGGTTGTTCGAGTTGTTCTGGCACAGTGTTAACTGACTCGTTTTTATCTTTTAGAGCGACTTGAAATTTTTGGCAACAATTTTATACTGGGCACAATTCCAGCAGAGATTTCGGAGCTAACGGCTCTGACAGCCTTGATATTTCAAGCCAACCAGAGAACTGGAACCATTCCATCTGGGATCTTTGAGTTGACAGCATTGGAGGAAATATCCATGGCAGGCAATGCTTTGTCGGGGACCCTAACCCCAGCCCTTGGATATTTGAATTCTCTTTCGGTCCTTACATTGTATAGGAATTTTATAGTGGGAACTATTCCCTCAGAGGTTGGAAAATTAAGCTTTTTGCAAAGTCTAGATCTAGGGATCAATGGTTTGGTTGGAACGATTCCCTCCGAGATTGGAAGACTTACATCTTTGACGGTACTTGGACTGAACATCAATGGTCTATCAGAATCTATACCCTCCCAGATTAGCAGTTTGACTTCTTTGCAAACTTTATATCTGTTCTCTAATTTTTTGACAGGAGCGCTTTCTTCAGAGATTGGATCATTGAGTTCTTTAACAGATTTATGGTTGTACAACAATACTTTATCAGGCACGGTTTGCACGGAGATTGGCAAGTTGACTGATCTGGAGCAGCTTTTCATGGACAACAATGCTTTCACTGGTACTATTCCCTCAGAGGTTGGAAACATGAGTTCTTTAATATGGCTATCTCTTCCAGATAATGCCTTATCAGGAAATTTGCCTTCCGAGATTGGAGAATTATCTGCTTTGACCGCACTTTGGCTCCATGACAATGGCTTTTCCGGAACCTACAAGAATGCTTTCACTGGTACTATTCCCTCAGAGGTTGGAAAGTTGAGTGCTTTGAAACAGTTATACTTACAAAACAACGCTCTATCAGGAACCGTTTTGCCCTCGGAGATTGGCAATTTGAGTTCTTTGGAGGAAATGGTCCTATTCCAAAATGCCCTTTCAGGAACGATTTGCTCGGAGGTGGGAAAGGTACTCTCCTTAAAGATATTGCAACTGAACACCAACTCAATAACAGGAAGCATTCCCTCCGAGATTGGAAATTTGAGTGCCCTTTCGTTTCTTTCCATCTACGACAACGCTATTTCTGGAACGATTTGTTCGGAAATTGGAAGATTGAGTAATTTGACATCACTTTTCCTAAACACCAATGCAATAAAAGAAACGATTCCCTCAGAAATTGGGAGTTTGAAAGCCCTAGCGTTTCTTTCACTCTACGACAACGCTTTTTCTGGAACTCTTCCGTCGGAGGTAGGAACCATGACTGCTTTGAGAGATTTTTGGTCATACAACAATGCTTTGTCTGGGACCCTTCCGTCGCAGGTAGGAACTATGACCTCATTGCGCACACTGCATTTGAACAACAACGTTCTATCTGGAACGCTTTGCTCAGAAATTGGAAGCTTGAGTTCTTTGTCTGAGCTATTTTTGCACAACAATGCCATGTCTGGAGCTGTTCCCTCAGAGGTTGGAAGTTTGAGTGCTTTGACAGCACTGTACCTCTACAACAATACTTTCTCTGGAACTTTAAGTTCTTTGATAGGAAACTTGAAGAATTTGATAGCACTTGGACTCCACGAAAATGCAATCAATGGAAGTCTTCCGACTACGATTGGTTTGCTCGATGATCTAGTCTATCTGAATGTGCGAGACAACCTTCTCAATGAAACTGTACCAAGCGAAATTGGACTCTTGACCAATCTTCAGTTTTTGATTATGGATGGGAACAATCTAGAATCACCGCTTCCAAGTGAAATCCTGCAGTTGACGAATTTGAATCAGCTGGCATTATCCGGAAATCGTTTCAGCGAGGAAGAAGTTAATGACGCCATGGCTGCCCTTGGTTTGTTTTAAAAGTGCACTGTGGCCGACTCGGTTGACAATCTTGAATATCTTGAGCCATCTGGACACCCAGCAGAAATAGTGCTCATCGAAGACTCGCATCCCCCGAATCTCGACAGCAGATGGCACTATTGTTGCATCGGAGGCGGATATTCCATTCGGAAGTTTCGCCCACATTTTGATGCCTGTCCCTATTTGGCGCCCTTTTTTACCAATGTCACGATGGTGGGCCAACTATGGAAACCTTACAAGGGCGTTCACAAGCACGACGGATATAGATGTATGTGCACAATACTGTAAATTGTAAAGCAATGTATATTCGTTTTATCCCACACTATTGGAACAGTCCAACTACTATCTGCGACGAATACAAGGCAAAGTCTTTCTAGCGACGTCGTAGTTGCAAGTTTCGTTCCAAGAATATGTTTGAGTTCAAATATCCGAGTTTTAATTACCTTGTTTCATTGGACTTTTGCATCATCAAATATTGTGTTCCCCAAGGAAGCAAAATGAAGAAACAAGTGTCCAATGGATCCTCTTTTTTCACCGGTGGGTCATAGGTCCAGTCGAAATGAAGCGTGTACGCCCCAGCTGGCGACAAAGGGGTTCCAAAGTCGTATTTGGTTTCCAGCACTTGACAATACCCTTGGTGTTGCCCAGTTTTGAAGAAATGGCGAGCCCACATTTTGCACTGACCGAGTCTGAGGACAGAAGACGATATGTTGATGGGATTGTTTGGTATTGGCAAGCGAAGATACTTCTCCCATCCGCGAGATTTGAAGAGCTTCTCGAACTTTTGGTTCGAACCATCAATTATTCGACCTCTTGCAATGGCACCTTTTGGTCCGCTGTAGTCAAGAATGTTAACTCCAAACACGTCCATCACCCAGTTCATGGAATATCCGAAGTGTCGAGTGTTGTCATGAACTGAGCATGCTCTTGCCAATGAATGAAAGTCTTCATATTCCATGTAGTCAGGTACATTGGACCAACTCATTGTCCTGGGCTTTTTCGAAGCAATGAACTGACTCATGTTTTCAACTCTATTGCAGACGAGATGGAAGGAGATCTTTCCCTGCCGTTCCCAGCTTGCAACCTTCAAAAGTCGATCCATAATGTGGTGATGGGCGGCCTCGACAATGGTGGTTGTTGGAGAAAGCAGCGAAGCCAAGACCCCCCAATTCAAAACAGAGAAAATGCTTTCTTCTTTTGCCAATGTAGTAGTGCCTTCTGGACAATCAAACATGATGGTGTGTTTCCGCAAGTTGGGGGCAATTCGCTTCGAAAACCAAAATCACCAGTGAGTTCATACTTGGCCCATGGCAATCCTATCTTGTTTGCGCTCCATGTGCCCGATGTATGTAAAACCATTTCGTGATTGTCTCTCTCAATGAGCGCGAGCTTTTTCCAGAGGCAACATCGCAGCGGTTCTCCAGTGATTCAATAGAGTGACAACATGCTGATGCTTTTGCTCGCTAGAACCGCACAGACTATCTAATGCTAGCTTTACACGATCTTTTGTTTCTTTTTCCCATGTGGCACTGAACCAAACTTGCATTACATGGCGGAGATGATGATCCTCGTTGCATTGACAAATCATTTCCCAAATGACAAGCGCCTTTGCAACGACATACGGACTCATATCTATACCCAAAAAGTGAAGAGGCGCACCCATATTTGACACGACAGTGCTTGAAGGATCATGCAACTCGGCCTCCAGAAGTAGGCCAAGGTCAACGAACCCCACTGCAACATGCGTAGTGCCATGAAATAGGTCTGGTTGCTGTAGCTCTGGCGCAACCCACCGTAGTATGACGATAGCACGAGGACCAATGTCGCCAACTTTTCTTGATGGATCAGTGTACCAATCAATTTATTTGGATCATTTGTACGTAGGCGTTGCATAAGTTTGGTGTGCGACATTTGGTACTCAGGTTCTTTCAGTTGTGCTTCGTCCACATGAGGCTCAGTGCTTGCTTGTTCGAAACTACTTCGAAGGTACTTGGTGGCCCAGACAGAGTTGACACCAACCGGAAATCCACCGCCATCGTCTCGTAATTCATAAAAAAAGTTTGGCATTGGTTGGATTTTGCGACCAAAGATCTGAAACTTTTGTTCTTCTGTCAAAAATGCGTCCATCATAGTTCGCAACTGCTCCATTTTATCCGGATCAACGCCATGATCGTCTTCATGGCCTGGCATATTTCTGAATCGTGTCTGATGCTGTGGGGAGTTGCGGAATATGTCTTTTGTTGTTGTGGACCTGTGGCAGGTTTCAAATTGCATGGGCGAATGGCAATCTTGTTACCATCTAGCGATACTCCATAGCGAGAGTTACCACCTTTAGGTTTCGAAATGACAGTCCCAGTCTTTCCATTGTATTGTGAAGCATTCTTCAGCCCATTCACAATGACTTTGTCGCCAATTTTCAATGCCATGATCGATCCTGGAACACCTTTTCTTGTTGTCTTTGTTTCAGTCTACCGTGACACTTCGCTTTGCTGGTCTCTCGCCTGAGCTTGGTCAACGATGCGAATTGTGCGCCCTCGAGAAGTTGTGCCATCTGTGGTCTTTCTCAAGGCAGATCCGTTGCATGATGTAAACGGGACCGTGGAGTCGTCGCCATCAACAAGATCTGTCATTTCGTGTGCGCGTCGTGAAGCCTGTTTGAGTACCTTATATCCGGGTTTGATTTGGTGAAAACCCATCCTCACACAAAACCGCTTTTCACTCCGAAAACAAACAGCTCACGTTCTTCCCAAAAACTTACCACTTACCACTCCTATTGGGCCTCTGCTGTATCGTTGCCATGGAGATAGCCGACACGAACAACGCAAACAACGAATGAGTCTTTTCTGACCATAAAATCGCGTTGACCGAAGACAATTCATTTTACACTCAATGTGTGGCTGCGCTGTGGCAAGGTTGGATGGACAATGGCGACTCTCAAGCTATGTGGAAGATGCAAGTCTGCTGCTTATTGTAGTCAAGAATGTCAGGTACTGGA